CCAGGAGTGCCGGAAGTGCCAGGCTGACCGGGAGTACCAGGGGTGCCAGGGGTGCCAGGGGTACCGGGCTGACCGGGGGTACCAGAAGTGCCAGGTTGACCGGGAGTACCAGGCTGGCCAGGGGTGCCAGGCTGACCAGGAGTACCGGGGGTACCAGGCTGGCCAGGGGTGCCGGGGGTGCCAGGGACACCAGGAGTGCCAGTGGTACCAGGTTGACCAGGAGTGCCGGGAACACCAGGAGTGCCAGGAACGCCAGGGGTGCCAGGGACGCCGGGGGTGCCGGGGACGCCAGGAGTACCAGTCACACCAGGCTGGCCGGGAACGCCGGGAACGCCGGGAGTTTCGGTGGCAGTCTCGGGGCAATAAGTCGTGGTCAAGGTTGTTTGAAGTGTAACCGAAGATCCAGCACCGCCGCCGGCACCACCGCCGGGAACGTTGGGAGCCGAAGTAGCACCGGCGCCAGGAACCGAAGGGGTGGAAGCACCACCGCCAGCACCGCCGCCAGGAACGTGGGGAGCCGAAGTGGCGCCGCCGCCGGGCACTTGGGGAACCGAGGGGGTGGAAGCACCACCGCCAGCACCGCCGCCAGCACCACCGCCAGGAACGTGGGGAGCCGACGTGGCGCCGCCGCCGGGCACTTGGGGAACCGAGGGGGTGGAAGCACCACCGCCGGCGCCGCCGCCAGCACCACCACCGGGGACATTGGGAGCCGAGGTAGCACCGGCGCCAGGAACCGAAGGAGTGGAAGCACCACCGCCAGCACCGCCGCCAGCACCACCGCCGGGAACGTTGGGAGCCGAAGTAGCACCACCGCCGGGAACCGAAGGGGTAGAAGCACCACCGCCGGCACCACCGCCAGGCACAAGAGAAACGGAGCTAGTGGCCGGGCCCGAAGGACCGGCAGAGCTGGAGCCTCCGCCGGCACCGACACCCAAGCCAGCACCAGTGCCAGAGCAAGTGTCGGCCATCAACACGATGTCCTGGCACATGGTCACATCTTCACTCTCGGTGGTGTAGAGGTTCAGACCACCGTTCATGCCAGTCTCGCAGGCAACGAACGCCTCGCTGTTTTCGTAGGTGAGCTGACCCTGGGAGTTGATCGAGAAGCCCGGCGTGGGCGACTTGTTGAGGTCGCATTGGAATTGGGTCGTGGCACCGGTGACGATACAACCGCGTCCGTTGGCGTCGACGATACCGCCGTTGGCGTCGATGCAGAATTGGGCCTCGGACAGGCCACCGCCGATACGGTTCTGGCCATCATCGAGCTGGCCAATGGAGCCCGAAGCACCACCCTTGGCGGACATATGGAAGCAGCATGTGTTGTCTCTGCCAACCAGGGCGTGAGCCCCGGCCGCGAACGCCGCGATGTTCGCGAAGTTCTTCATGCTCGAATAGGCGAGCGTAAGCACCAACAACTAAACGAATGTATGAATTTCCCAGGAGAATAGGGCTGGGTTAGTGATAGATTGACGGGTGAAGGACAGATCAATCGGGAATGAGCGAGGGAGGTTCAGTATTTATGAACCACGGTGGATACGCGAGTGAGAGCGTCATGGCTTGTTGACCGGCAAGCCGGGCACGGTAACATGCAGCACACCTCCAGATCGTAAAAAAAGAAAAACGAAAAAAGAAAAACAGATTTTGAACAAAAGATAAAAAAAAATAGAAACACGCTGCAGCCAGTTGCAATGCAGATGGGTACGGTTGACCATGGACGACCCGGTGGAGAATTACCCTGTCAACAGCACAAATAATCAACAAGGCGTCCTCCGTCCGAAGAAGCCGGGGCCTGGAAGCATCGGGGTTGTGAGGCAGTGAGGGAGTAGACGTCATGCATCAATGGGCATTGTGTATGTGGGGGCCGGAGGAGGAGCCTGCCCCATGAGAGGGAACAATATGGATGTTTTCTCAGGCTCCAGGATAGACGACATCTCAATGGCCAAGGCAAAGCAGGGCATCAACTCGCGGTGGATCCGGGATCCACCGGGTGGCTTGCTGGATCGCCCGTAAGCCATGTCTTGGTCAACAGCCCCGATTGCATGGTTTCCAGGCGGTCAACAGGTATTCCAGTGGCAATATGAAGAGTCATCCATGGTACTTTACACGCCCACTGTTGGTTGAGCCAATGCTACTCGGGATCTGGCGCTCCGAAGGAACCGAGAGAGCCATGGCTCCGAGTGTTCTATTTTGACCTCCCCTGACGTACACAGTGTACAAAGGTACGGAGTACACCGGTTGGGCTCAAGCCGACACCCGAGATATGAGATGGGACCATCGATGGTCGACATCGGCTACTTGATAATACATGCGCACAGGGAGGACGCAAGTGTGGAGGCTGGGGAGAAAGGATCGAGAGCAGATCGAATCACTTCATCCACCCATGGACCCAAACATAAGACATCAACAAGTGTCCGAGTATCAAGGTCTCGGATTCGGTGTGCCTTGCATGATCATCATAACTGCCGAATTGGCATTGAAGCCGACACTATCCATCCGTCAGATTCATCCATCCATCCATCGAGTTGGACTCATGACGAAAGAGGAGGATGGGACTCGGACTAGTATACTGTAGTGGGGATGTTGGATGGTAATTTCCCAAATGTGTGGGTGGGACAAATATCCCCAAGGAAGAGTTGAGTAATTGTCAAGTAAGTCGCAGAAGTCGGACGTTGATGCTCTGGGTCAGGTGGGGTCACGGGGGAAGTCACGGGCCAACCACACTACTTGTTATTTTTATGCCTCTTGTTGATTTGTAGATGTTCCTCTTCCTTGCTCCAGATGAATCCAATCGGTATCCTTTGGATGTTCAGAGTTATTAGATTAAAGTGATGGTGGGATTCGATCATCGGAATAGCGATGTGCAACCATCATCCATTCGTCTTCTTTCCATGTGAGATATCCACTGCGATCGTCTCCAGCCGCCACGTCATATTTTCTTAATATCTCCGAGCTTTTTCCCTGCGCCGATGTACTGACAGGCTACAGAAGGCAAATTTTCATTATTCCCATCCATCTGACAGATCAAGTGCCCACATTTGCTATCTCCATTCCAACCATACCGGTCGATTCACTGGCTATGTCGACAAGAGGGGTAACGGTGCCTGGTTCAATCGGAGGCAGTGGACACCCTCGTTCTCACCCATGGACAAAGAATACAGATATAGAAACAGGCAAACACGAAAACTAATTAATCAAAGGTAGTTTGGAAAGAAAACAAGGAAAAACGAATAAAACAGGGAGCCAGACGGGGATGACTACCAGTTCCGTCTCCCCTCAGTCAACTTTTGCCCGCCTGCATGCATACGTATGCGTTTTAGGTACATCTGTCCTGCCTGCAACTTACATCTCCGACGCTGTACCTGCTCTGTTGACCCCCAAACCTCCGTGGGTGGTGTTTGTGGAATGTGGATGGCCATGATCCAGATTTGGTCCACATCGTCCCTCACTTTTTCCCCCTCCCTTTCGTGGAACAACCACAGGTCACCTTCCCCACCTTTTTTTTCATCGAAGATTTCGATCTTCGGATTTTTATGTGCGTTCACACTGTAGTATGGAGACCCAAGAGGCCAAGACATGCCCCATGATACTTACACCCCCAGAATGGAAGGGGGAGAAGAAAGAAGAAAGAAGAAAAGTGAACCAGAAACGACTACACTCCATAATTTTTCAGCACCTGAAACGCTCATCCGGTCAAAAGCAGTGCCATTGGATGTCCTAGCCCACGGTGACATCTACGAAATAATCCAAACCAGCCGATCCCTCGGATTTTTAGAATTTGACTCGCTTGTCAGTGTTAGTGGCGATTTTGAGTGGAAGATTGAATTGGATTGAATCGGATTGAGTTGGATGGAATTCAATCGAACTCAAGGTCATGATTGACACAGTCCCCGCAAAACACCTGTTCCAACTGTGATGCCTTACGAGGATCCAATCCAATGATCCAAGAGGCATGAACACCTTTGCCGTGGAAGAATCAAGAACATGTAATGCAGTTGCCACCTCAGGTAACTCGCGGCGAGAAATTCTCTTTTCCTTGGTATATATTTAGTATACTAATGAGTATTCCACAATTACGGCAGCCTTATACGGAGCCCAGACCGTATCCAAATATTTTATACTATGATATTTTCCCTGCCTTGGAAGGAAGGCCAAAGTCAGCCTGAGCCTTGTTTATTGTGCTACATCTACGTGGGTACGAGTACGAGTACCAAGGACTATACTTGGAATTGAAGCCCGTACTCGGGGACTTCACCAAGGAACCATAACCATGAGCTGCTTCTATGCCGCTGACGTTGCTACCACTATCTACGGAGTACTATGCCGATGTTACTTCTCTATTGCCTTTTTGTTTTTCTTTTTTTTTATATTGAATTTTCTATCTTTCCAACTCTTTGTATCTCCAGTCGTTCTATCCACCCTCAGATCTTTCTCAAACAGTAACCAAAAAAAGTCCAAATATCTGCATGTCTCACACCCATACAGGAGTCACATAGTAAAGGAGCGAGGAGTGTAAACAGACGACATCTAAAATAGTATCTCACATCCTGTAAGGTCTTTTCCATATGCGATCTTCTTTCCTTCTTCTGCGGATTCAGATCCTTGCTGGGGTAAGAATGTACGATCTTGATATATTCTAATATTAGGAGTTGGGGAGGTCCCTGTGTCTTTGCATTCGCATGTCGGCGATATTTCGCCCCGCGTCTGGGACGGGGCTATACTTGGTTGTTTTTACTGTAAATTATTGATTAGAGCTTAAGATATTACTAGATGTGTCTATTGTATCAAAGTAAATCTTTCGATGTTGATGTAAAATATCACGTACTTTAACAAAAATAGTGTTCTATATATATTTATAGCACCAACGGATGTGCATTGAATATACACCAGGACACCCGAGACACACCTACGCGTCCACAGTATTTCATATACCGATGACAACTGCAATTGTCAATGAGTATAGATATCAGGCCACCCAGTCCCCATTTCAGTAATTGCTATTAATGTTACTCGATACCTCAACGGGACACGGCACCCGAGATGGGATATCCGTGCCGTCTGTGAACGCGTCATACAATCGAGCCCCCAGTCAGCTTAGGCTCACCATCTCCAGCCATCTCATCAGTCAGATTCTTGAAGATCCGCGATCTGTCTGAACTGATGACGTGGAAGGAGGCTTATAGGCAGATGCAAATCGAGATGATTGGATTTGGGAGGAAAAGAAGAGGTCTAAGATTTGGATTTCTTTTTTGTGCTCTGTTTTGATTGAGAACCGGAAAATAAACACAGCTTATGGATGATAAATGAATGAATGATAAACGCCCTCGCTATGCACCCGCTGAAATGCTGATTGATGGTGAGCTCGTTGAAAATGGTTAGCCAAAATTTCCGAGCTCCAAGACAGTCTACAATGGTTGTATGTTATATAATGGGCCTCACGACTGTCCGGTCGTGGACACAGGCTATCCGGCGCCTAGAGGAGCGGCCGAATCTCGTTCGGAAACCTCCTCATCGATAAAGCAGCCTAGACCGGCAAACGCCTCGAGTAGTGTCCGCGAGTAATACTCCCGCAGATCGAAACCTCCGGCCTGCATCTGGGCATTGTGCCGGATCGGCTCCAGGTAGCTGGAGGGATAAGTCTCGCTCTGAGTAAAGTAGTCTCGTTTGCCGGGAACCAGCCCGCCAAACGGATCGTAGGGTTTCTCGGGCTCGGGGGTCTTGATCCGTTTGAGACCCTTGATGAAGCCACCGTCGTCCTGACCCGCAGCACTGGCTGCTGGATGCCCGGACCTCTTCGCATCTGAGTTCCGCAGCGCAGCCTGTTTCTGCCGGATGCGCTCTTCCTCGCTCCGTCGAGCGGAGGACTTCTTGAGCAGCACCTTCTGGCCTTCGCGCGCGATAGCCGCCGCATCTGCGGGGCGTCCAGACGCAAGACGGCTGAGTACGTCTTCTCGGCCTGCGATGAGCTCCTTTCGTTCGTTCTCGTATTCCATCTTGGCGGCCTGTCGGCGGATGCGGGCCAGTTCTTGTTCCTGGGTTTGCTGTTCCTGGAACGAAGAAGCCTCTTTCTCCTCGAGCGCTTGGTTGGCCCGGATAGAGCGCACGTTGCTGGATGCGTATTGCTGGAGGTTGGCTTCCGTTTTGGCGACGTCGGTGCCGTAGACGAGATTGGCGATGATCTCTTCTCGCTGTTCCAGGAAGTCATCGTAGGCGCGCTTCGAGTCGAACTCCTCTTCGCGACGGTTGAGGCTGCACGTCTCTGTTAGCTCTCCGCCCCCTTCCACCCCGCCAAAAGAGTCTCAACATACATCTGCATGACCCTGCGCCGGATATCTACCTCCCTCTCCACGTTGATGTCCTCAAAGGTCTGCTTGCGAAACCGGTTCTTCCTCAGGGTCTTGTGACATCCCGCGACGGGACAGTTCGCCGGACCGGACGAGAATATTCGGTCGACACAAGACTCGCACATCTTGTGGTAGCATTCGGGGTTGATGAGGAACTCCATATCGGGGTTCAAGTATCGCGATGACTTGCAGACAGGGCAGACCTCTTAGAAAGACACTGTTAGTACGTGCTACCTTTACCGGGCGCAAAAAAACATACCGTCATCATCCCCGCGATGGGCCATCGAGGCACGAGGAGGCGCCATGGTGCGAGCTGAACGAGACAACGAGGGGGCGAGGTAAAGGATTGAACAATGAAGCTGATCAAGAGAACTGCCTGGAAGGAAGTTCAATGAGAGCCTCAGGTATGCGGGATGGTTTGATAATCGATCCGCCCGTCTGCCAATCAGAAGGACCGGTGGTGTTCCGCCATGCGGAACTCATCTTTTTTTTGACATTCTTTGCCGTCTATAACTTTTTGCATTCTTCTCAGTTCACCCACGCTCTTTTATCTGGTTTAATAATCTTCTACATTCATATATTTTGATAGAGGATCTTGTCATTTTTTACTATGGAACTTTCAGACCGCAGCTTGAACGATCTAGAGCGCCAGCGCCAGCAGCTTGAAGGCAACATCTCGAAACTCCAAGAATCGCTCTACCACTGGCGCACATGGGAGGCGGAATATGATGTGTTGAGGGAGGAAATTGGCAGCCTGGAAGATGATGCCACGACGGACGACTTTCTCCAAGTGGGACGGGACATGGGTGGAACACAGGTCAACGAAAAAGAAGTCAAAGTGATCCTGGGAGACGACAAGGGCGTCACTCGGACCAGACAGCAAGTGGTTGATCTCCTATCGCGACGCATCGACTATGTGAGGCAGAACGTGTCGGTCATGGAGCGCAGGCTACGCGATGCAGAGAACGAGCTGCAGACGCTTGACTCGATCGAGCAGCTACCCGCGGAACCCACGGCGGACTTTCCCATGACGGAGATTTTTGAAGAACTTGACGAGGAGGGGAATGTGGTCTCGAGCAAGACGTCCCGACCAGGAAGTGAGGCAAATGATCTTTTGGACGTGTTGAAAAAGGCTGGTGTGAAGGACATACCGAGTGCTCCCCAGTCGGATACAGAGGTCGGGCGTTCGCAACAAGTCACGTCGGAGCCTGAGGCCAGTGAGGAAGTGGAACACGAAGAAAAACAAACGGATATCCGACCACCTACCCACGATGTTGAATCTACGCATGAGAATAACACATCGGCTGCGTCGGAATCAACAACTTCTGACGACCGGGAGGTTCCCATTACGGACGTGGATGAGTCGCCGGAAGATGCCGAGCTACGACGCGAAATGATACGATACAGCTTGGATGAGGTTGGCGCTGTAGTTGCTGAACTTGAAATGGATGAAGATGGGAGCGACGTCACTCTTGACGATGATTATGATGCCCTGGCTTACGATGACGACGATGACGACGAAGAAGAAGACGAACACGGTCGGACAACCGGGCGTGTCCTGGATGAGGACTACCACCAGCAGATGCGCGACCTGGAGGCAAAGCTGAATGCTCGAGGCATGTGGAATATGGGCAAAAACACCGGATCTCTTCCCGAGCAGGTGCAAACCGAACTGGAGCAGCCGGTCGCGGTCAAGGTCGAGCCCGCTCCAGTGGCGGAGACGGTCAAGGAGAAGAAACCGAAAAAGAAGGTGGCTTTTGCGGACGACCTTGACATCGCCCCGGCTCCCAAGTCGCCGGCCCCAGAAAAGAAGATCACCCCGACCAAGGAGTCTACCGTGCCGGCCGTATTGGACTCTGTCATCGAGCGCGCAAAGCCGGCCGAAAAGGCTCCCCCGACGAACAGTGCACCGAAGAAAGTCTCGCGCTTCAAGAACCGGAGCGCAACCGCAGGCAATACAGCTGCCATGACTGAAAGCTCTCGCCCGGTCAATCCCGGACCACAACTCAGTTCAGGCGCACCCGCACCACCACCATTGTTTCCTGCTAAACCATCCGAACCAAAGCCTTTCTCCCAACCGATCCAAGACATCGACGAGGAGCCACCCACCCGCGGCCCCAAGGGCAAGATCATGGCCGACAAGCTCACCGAGCACGAGCCTTCCGCCAATGCCGTGGCCCCGGAACCTGATGAGCTCGACGACCAGCTGCACCAGCGGGAGATAGCCAGCGAATTCTACCGCATGCGCAACCGAATGATCCAGCAAAACGGCGGCTTTTTGGAAGAGCCCGAAACGGTCCCAATCGAGACTGAAGATGCTCCTAAGCGCGTGAGTAAATTCAGAGCTGCGCGGATGAAATAGTTGCTGGGTAGGTGAGAGAAGTATATACAAAAACAGAGATATACCCTATTTTCGTTTGACCTTGTCCTTCTGCCGTAGAATTGCTTTATATATGAAGCCCGGAACTTTCATTGCCATGTATATTGAGTATATGGCAAGTGGTTATACCAAATCAGTGGTATAACCATGCTCAAGATTCCAAGATTGATCTCACGAGGGCTCTCTGACTGCTTCTCGCTTACGTGTCATTCACCGGACGTATTGGACTCGATTTGAGTACTTATGGACGGTGTGACAAGGAGGCAATGGAGAAGTGGTTACGTTTCACCCCCGACATCTAGAATTCAACCGAGGCATATACCTCGATAATACATATTTCTTCTACTTCATCCTCTTTATATACCTCTTATCGTATGTCGCATAGTGGTCACCTGAAACCTGTAAGATGATGCCCTTACATTGATAAGGCTAGGTATACACAGATCCAAAAGTACAAGCTCATATGATTGCTTTGACAGTAGAGAAAAATAAAAGGAAAAGTTGATAATATACAGTGGTCCAATACAGCTCACAGCTTGCCACCGGTGACCTGCTCTCCAAGCTTCTTGACTCTGCCCTGGATGAGCTCCCAGCGAGAAGCCTCGCCCTTCCGAGACTCCGTGGCAAGGCTCTGCACGGTCGGGGGCACGCCCAAGTTCCAGACGTTCTGGCCCTGCTGGTGGTCATTGCGCCAGGCTTCGTTCTCGCCCTCGGGGAAGATCCGATCGATCTCAGCGGCCAGCTGCGCCTCCGTGGTGATGAAGTTTCTAGCACCCATGTAAAGATCTTGTACCGAGTTCAACCGCTCGAATTCCTTCAGGGCCTTCTTGTACTCGTGTCGCTCTGCCGACTTCGCGAGTCGCGCCTCGCGCGTCGGGTCCGGCAGCACCGTCTCCTTCCGGGGCAGCATGTCCTGCGTCACCGACTGACGGGTGAGTCGCTCGTCCTCCCGCTCGGGCTGCTGGAAGATGTGAGCTCGTCGTTGCTGCTTCTCGGCGCTCTTCCGGACCATCTGATCGGTCGTCTTCTGCTTCCGGCTGTACAGCTCCTGCAGACCTTCGCGCAGGTTCTGCCTCCGCTCCTCGGCCAATTGTCTCCGCCACTGGAGGAAGTCGGCGTGGGGATCATTCGGATCGATCTTGGTTTCTTTCGTTTGAGCCGGGGTCACGGCGGCGAGGTACGCCTCGGTGGGCTTGTCCGCGCGGCGAGCCGGGAAGAGGTCGCGGGGGACGGGTAGGGTACCCTTGACACGGCGCTTCGAGGGCAGGTCCGGCTGGAGGGAGCGAGGGACTTCAATGTAATTGGGAGATTCAGGGCCGACTCGACGAGTGGTAGACGAAGTGAACCCTCGGACTTGCGTCGTGGCAGTGCGGCAGTTGCGGAGGAAGGACATGTTGACGCGTGAAGCCTGTGGCTTCTGATGGAGATATAATTGATTCGGAATATATTCAGCAAAGAAAGAAAGAAAGAAAGACCTCAACAGTGACTGACCCCAACCGTGGCAACAATCAAGCAAAACACGGCCTAGCAGATAGAGACACTCGCAGTACTGGAGGGAGTCGGGAAAAGATCGCAAGCGTGGATTTTGTCGCTGCTGGTCCGTGCTCGGCTTGGCTTGGCGCCCGCAGAAAAAAAAAATAATCTGCCGCTCACTTTTTCTTCACTTCTTCTCTCTTCCTCTACTTGCGCTTTGCCAACTCTCTCTTTTTTCACACCCACTCTTTTATTTTTGGGTCTTCTTAATTGATTTGATCGGTCTTTAAGAAGTACTGTTCATCATGGGTACGGGAAAGAAAGAAAGGTCCCGGAAAGACCGGCAGGGGAAGACTGGAGATGGCATGGCCAATGTCACGGTCAAGGGTGAAAACTTTTACCGGTATGGTTTACTGTCTTATTTTGAGGTGTTATGGCCACTGATTGTCTGTTAGGGATGCCAAGAAGGTCAAGACCTTGAACATGTTCAAGGAGGGCAAGGCCCAGCGTGATTCTGAAGGAAACATTACCAAGGCTGCTTCGTACCAGTCTCGGGATGCCCCCGTCGCTCGGATCGAGCCCAACCGTAAATGGTTCGGGAATACCAGAGTTATCTCGCAGGAGGCGCTGTCGTCGTTCCGTGAAGCGGTCGCGGAGCGTTCTTCCGATCCTTACTCGGTTCTGCTCAAGACCAATAAACTCCCCATGAGTTTGATCAGAGATAACACTGGGACGGTCAACGGGTTAAAACAACATCAGGCGAAGATGGCTATTGAGACGTCTCCGTATAACGATACGTTTGGCCCCAAGGCCCAGCGTAAGCGTGTCAAGCTGGGTGTTGCGTCCTTGGAAGACCTCGCTGGAGAGACGTCCAAGGTCCAGGAAGCCTATGCCGAGAAGCATGACCAAGAGAAGAATGATGATGGGAGTTTCATGGTCAACGCGGACGTGGGTCATATTGTCGATGACTTCACTACTGCGCCCGTCGCACGCGAGTCTGTGTTCCTCAAGGGACAGAGTAAGCGAATCTGGAACGAGCTGTACAAGGTCATTGATTCGTCGGATGTGGTTATCCACGTCCTCGATGCTCGTGACCCTGAAGGCACTCGCTGTCGAAGCGTTGAGAAGTACATCCGAGAGGAGGCTCCTCACAAGCATTTGATTTTCGTGGTCAACAAGTGTGATCTTGTGCCCACTGGTGTTGCAGTAAGTCTCATACTTCCTTCTTATAGTTCCTTGTTTCCCTTTTTATTTCTTGTTGTCTTTCCCTACCCCACCCCCCACCATACAAACGGATGCTCTCCGTGCCATCGTCAAGTCAAGGCTCCTTCCTTCGGCCCTGGGTCGTATTTTTCTTTCCCATGAAAGGATGTCTGTTACGGCTTTGGTAGATCAACGCAGACCCGCGCCGACCTTCATTTTGAAGCAAGGCTGACTGGCTTTCGTTTTGGAAGCCGGTCGTATGGGTCACGCTGTGTCTTGTAATTCAGCTGAGTCCTGTCCCGCCTTCGAGCGAGCTTGTAGCAGGGCTCTCAATTACATTTCACACATTCTATGCACATCCATCACATTGTTTCTATTGTTTTAATCGTTTTTTTTATTTATTTTTTTCTTTCTTTCTTTCACGCTCTATCTGGCGATAGTGACTAACGAGACGCCAGGCTGCTTGGGTACGACATCTGTCCAAGGACCGTCCTACGCTTGCCTTCCATGCCTCCATCACCAACTCTTTTGGCAAAGGCTCCCTGATCCAGTTGCTTCGGCAATTTTCCTCTCTGCATTCCGACCGGAAGCAGATCCAAGTCGGGTTCATTGGCTACCCCAACTCAGGAAAGTCGTCTATCATCAACACTTTGCGCAAGAAGAAGGTGTGCACTGTCGCCCCTATCCCTGGCGAGACCAAGGTCTGGCAGTACATCACCCTCATGAAGAGGATCTACCTCATCGACTGCCCGGGTGTGGTTCCGCCCAACCCCAACGACTCGCCGGAAGATATCCTTCTTCGCGGCGTTGTCCGAGTGGAGAACGTTGAGAACCCTGAGCAGTACATCCCTGCTATCCTCAAGCGGGTGCAGCCGAGGCATCTTGAGCGGACGTACGGCATCAAAGAGCCGGCGGATGCCATTGAGTTCCTCACTTTGCTTGCACGCAAGGGCGGTAAGCTGCTTCGCGGAGCCGAGCCCGATCTGGATGGCGTCGCCAAGAGTGTCATCAACGATTTCCTTCGCGGCAAGATCCCTTGGTTCACCCCGCCTCCTTTCAACCCGGCCGAGAAGGGCGAGAAGATCGAAGGTCGTGAGGGTAAACTCGGCGAGATGCGTCGCAAGCGTAAGGTCGAGGATACTGTCTCGGAAGAGGTCGACAACAGCGAGCAGACCTCGGCCAAGGCCGGCTCTGAAGACGAGGAGTTCGGAGGACTTGACAGTGATGATGACTCCATTGCCAACCTCGAGGTCAGCGACGTGGAGAGTGGAGAGGAGAATGACTGAGCGTTTGGGCCACCACTTTTCCATCCACCATTTTCCATCCAGGAACGAATGGAACCTCTTGGGGAAACAACCTCACACCCGAACGACAACCAGCGTCCATTGCCCGCAGTAGGCGCACTTTCCGTCGCCTCACACTCAGCCATTTGGCTGGAGACTGCAGGCTGCGAACCTTTTCGCTCCCGGAATGATGCTTCCGACGCACCGGGGGAGTCGAGAACACCACCGTACGTGGTGTCCATTTAGTCGTGGCTTCACGGCCCATGTTGGACATGCCACCTGGGTTGCTTCTTGCCAATGGTTGGGGGGGTGACACCTGCGGCTTAGTGTCCTGTACACATTACTCGTCAAATAGATACCCACATACAAAGCTGAAATGCAAATGCAATCCACCTATGAAGCTATTTTATTTTAATCTTTTTTTTAATATTTTTTTCCATCCTAGTCGTAGCTGCATATATTAAAACTAGGCCTACTATGGGTCGGTTCAACTCACCGCCGGAGCTCACCGCCCAGCCTCACTTTCATCATCGGCCGCCCCAGCTTCTTCTCTCCGCCTTGCTGTGACCTCATAAGCTCCTTTGGCAAAAACCGACCTCAGCCTCCCATGTCTCCGCATTCTGGCAAGGCAACGTGCCAGTTCTCCCTGAATCATGGAGGATGATGGCATGACAGTTGTGCCCTATAACTTATCTAACCTCGATGTAGTCCTGTGAGTTCCCACTAGTCCCTTTGATCTATTAGCAATCGTCATGGGTTTATCCTTATCGTGGAATTTGTGTCCGTATAGGCGTCATAACGATTCCGTCGTCGTCTTAGATCGCGACTCGCAACAGCTGGTCCTCCGAAACACCGCCGACGATGATGATGCAAATCTCGAGCTAGCCGATTGCCCCTACTGCCGCCGCCCATTGCGGGACGGCAATGCCGGACAGGGGAGCCACCATGCTACCCCCGGGGCGCAACCCGAATTCATCAGTCCCGAGTACTTTCGCATGCTTCACAATAGTCTTCCCGCCGCGGACAGATCGAATCCTCCGTCTCCCCGTCGACGTTTTGCGCAGCCGGCTCTTGCGGATGGCTCGTCGCGCGGGAGTAGAGGGGTCCCGACCGCACAAGGGATCTCGTCCGGCGCATTCACCCAGGATTACTTCAAAAAGTTCTTTGTAGAGGAGTCGGTTCTTGGTAAAGGCGGAAAAGGCGTGGTTCTGCTGGTGAAGCATGTATTGGACGGCGTTTCCCTCGGACATTACGCTTGCAAGCGGGTGCCTGTCGGAGACGACCACGAATGGCTCAGAAAAGTGCTCGAGGAAGTGCAATTGCTGCAGCACCTGTCTCACCAGAACCTCGTTTCATACCGGCATGTCTGGCTTGAGAATGCCAAGATCAGCACATTTGGACCCAGCGTACCGTGTGCGTTCATTCTGCAGCAGTTCTGTAATGCCGGAGACTTGCATAACTACATCTGTGGTTCCGTGCAGACCTCGACAACTGCCCAGCAGTTGAAGGATCGATTGAGGAGGCGATCCAAAGGTGAACCGGAGCCTGAGAGTGATCTCAGCGGGCCTCGCAGACTCAATTTCGATGAAATCTATTCCTTTTTTCGCGACATAACGTCTGGTCTCCGACATCTTCATGTGAACGGTTATATCCACCGGGATCTGAAACCGAATAACTGCTTATTACACAGAACACAGGATGGGATTCGCGTTCTAGTGAGCGACTTCGGAGAAGTCCAGTCGCAGGATGCGATGCGGCGATCGACCGGAGCCACTGGGACAGTGTCATACTGTGCGCCCGAGGTATTGAGACGGGAATACCAAGGGGGGCCATTTGGCAACTTCACCTTCAAATCGGACATTTTCTCGTTGGGCATGATCCTCTACTTCTTATGTTTTGCCCAGCTGCCATACACCAACGCCGACATCATCAACGAAGAGAAAGAAGATCTAGATCGCCTGCGGGACGAGATCAGCCAGTGGACCGGTTTCGACGATGCCCGACGGATGAGACCCGAACTCCCAGAGCAGCTCTACACTTTCCTGGGGCGTTTGCTGTCGGTAGACCCAGATCGACGGCCTTCTGCGGAGGAAGTGTTGAATGGCCTTCAAGCTGGCGCCAACGGCAACGACAGTTTCCGCCATCGACGGGCCAGCTCTTCAGGCTCAGACGCCCACTCCAGCTCTAGAATACACCCAGTGGATGACCCAGGCGCGTCGTCCGTCCAATGGCCGTCAAGCACGAAAAGACGGTTCTCCCAAAGTCCCGTTGCCGTGCGACGCAACTCTCACAGTGCCCAAGCAGCCGATCTGGCTCCTGTCTCTGAAGACCTCGACACCGACCAGAGACGAATGTCATTGAGCCCAGAGCGAGACTTGGTAGTCCGACACCGATTCTCCAGTACCCCCGCGCCCAGCGAGTCGCCGAGAGGTCGCGAAGCTCCCGACAACGAGAGAGGAACGCCTCTACCACCTCTACCGCCCCTATTACCCCCACCTCCAGGACGATTCTCATTTCTGAGATCCTTCCTCCCAAGGTCAATCAGTAACATCGAATCAACCCTCTCCTCCCCAATGATGCCCCTAGCATTCTTCCTCCTCAAAGTCGCCACCGCATTCCAACCATGCACTCCCCTCGCCGTCAACCCCTGGGTCTTCTACCCTTTGATCCTCCTAGCGGCCGTCCATCTGGGTACACGCAGTTTCCGGCTCCAGGTAGCTGTCCTCATCCTGCATCTACTCATTGTCGGACTCTGTATGCGCTTGCAGTACCTGTGTTTGTGGCCTGCTGTGCCGACGGGGATGTTTTGATGATGAGGGTCTTGTAACCATATTTCGGTTTCTGAGCTCGGTTTGTTTTTGATGATTTATGTGTCTTACTGTGTTAATACCATTTATGGGCGTGATGGTTATGTACGAAGTAATCGCATTGAGAGTATCCCAGCAATCTGATTGTCAACCTCAGTCCTTAATTGACCATAGACAATATCAAGGCTTTTCATGTGACCATCACCCCGTGTCTTGTCTTCTACCAACGCTAAAAGTAGGACCCTAGTTAATCTTGACGTAGTTTCTGTGAACGTGAGTGAGGGGTTCCAATTGAGTTCCTGAAGCTGTCAGTCCATGTACCCTCATACTACTAGCTACATCAGCTTCCACCCACCCACAAACACCAACACAGATACAAAAAAAAAATCACCTCACCCCCCCATTAACCTCCAAAACACACCCATTCACAAAACTACTCCCCTCCGAAAACAAAAACGCCACCACATCAGCAACCTCCTCCGGCCTCCCAATCCTCCCCAGCGCAATACGGCCCCTCGCACGCTCAAGTGCTTCTTCCCCACCAGCCACCTTCGCCGCGTTAGTCGGGATATCGGTTGACCTGGGCGCAACGGCATTAACCCTAATGCCTTTGGGGCCCAATTCCAGTGCGAGGGCCTTTGTCAGACCGACGATGGCGAATTTGGTGGCGCAGTAGATGGAGAAGTTTGGGGCGCCTTGCGTGCCGCAGATGGAGGAGACGTTGACGATGGAGGCGGAGGAACTCTCTTGGAGAAGGGGAATGCATGCTCTTGTGACGTTGTAGGTACCGCGCAGGTTGGTGTCTACTAGTTTGGTGAAGTAGTCGTCTGTGGTTTCTGTGATGGGGATCGGGGTGGGGTTTATGCCAGCGCAGTTGAAGAGGTAGGTAAGGGGTGGGAGTGGGGAGGAGGAGATTGTTTGGGCGAGGGAGGTGCAGGCTGTGCTGGAGGTGACGTCTAGGGGGTGATAGATGTGGTTTTTTGGTGTTGTTGGAGTGTCTGGCTCTAGGACTTGTTGGAGCTCGGTGAGGGCGGTGGTGTTGATGTCTGTGAGGATGAGGTTTATGCCTTGTTCATGGAGCTTGTGGGCGGTTGCTTTGCTGGTCAATGGTTAGTCTTGATCATCTTGCTGGAGATTATACGAAGAGCGACAGTAGTGGTAGATTTAGGTTTTTACTGACCCTATACCGCTGGCAGCTCCGGTGATTAGGGCTGTTTTACCACTCATTATGATGTTCTGCTATCTGGGGGTGTACAACTGTGGGGGTTTGTAGGAGAAAAGATATGTCTTGTCCTTGAGAATAGAAGATTGAATTGGAGACGCTGCGGGGTAGTGACAAGCGAGATATACTTAGGTCTGTATATGTTAATGTTGATAGCTGATCTTCACTAATGTCGCACCATCTATGTGTCTGTACAGGATGAGTTCAAGCACCAACACTTAGCTCTGACCCTGACTTCTATTCTTGAGATTGAAGAATAAGATAAAGGTTTCCAACATTGTCCCCGTCTATAAAGTGCATACAGAGTGCAGGATGGAGTGGACATATATTATCAATCGCATGCGCCATCGTCTGCCCCATGGTGCAATCCTCAGGCACCATAGCAATAGCCTTCATTATCTGGTGTCTATAATGCTGACTACGCTATACCAGTTATGCACAGGATCGGAGTATGTATAGCAGCCAATCACGTGGTGTATGACAATCCATGGTTGTTTCACGTGGGGATGAGAAATCCTGTTCTCTCAGTGGGTCAAGAATGTGTTTTTTTTTTGTTTGATCCCTGGGCTGTGTGATTCTGTCTGCACAGATCTAAATCGGACTAAATAATTGTCTGAACCCGAGACAGTCTCACTTCGGATGGTTCGGAACCGGAGGATAAAACTGATTCAACATGGATCACTGTCTGCTGTATCGAAAGAAAGATCGAGAATGCCTCAGGTACCCAGGCCCTCGTTAAGATTAAGTTAGCTGCCTGATCCTCTGATTCGTCCCTTATTCACGCTATCGTCTGGCGACCCATCGCGCCCAACCACAGTCACATCATCGCCCCCTTCAGACTCAGTAAAGATGCAGCACAAAGGGATGGTGCTTAGTCCTGTTCCGGTATGAATCCGACAGATCCATCAAAAGCCCCTCCAGGCAGCCAGATTCAACATGATGGATCCAATCAACAAGGAGCATCATCTCCGAATGACAGGGCTGAGTAGCGGTATGCGGTATGCAGGCCCCCTCTCAGCCACGATACCATCCTCGATTGGCATCAGTGTCGGGTCGACATTCATTCCCGACGGATTCTCGCGGATGGGGTCAATCATGGACCAAACATGTGGCTGGTTCCCTCGGCTTGTTCGCCCCAATGACCGCTGGTTCTTCAGTGTCAGGCCAGACTAGTTGCGATCGCCCCCCTGTTCGGAACCCCTGGCTCGCTGGCTAATTACATTGGTATTAATTCATGGGGCCCACTCGGCGTTCCAGTGGAAATAAATAATGAAAAGGAACTGGAGATCCTGCGCGACCCCCTCCCCTTCCTTTGGAAATTACACCTATTGTTCAAAGTCGTCGTGATGAGGGCTCCGTTCGCTGCCACCGCCGTTGCTGTGGCCGGTCTGCTGTCGAGTACGTCCATCCCCCCCCTTTCGCCAGACTTGCCGATTGCTGACCTGACGATTGATAGCTGCGACTGCTGCCCCCGAGCTTATCTCAAACCACAAGGCTTTGTCGAACCGTGCGTTGCCGAATGCGCCCGAGGGCTACGTGCCGACGGAGGTCGATTGTCCTACCAATCGCCCGAGCATTCGTAGTGCTGCGAAACTCTCGCCGCAGGAATCGTCGTGGCTGAAGAGCAGACGGGAGAAGACTAAGCCCGCTCTGAAGGATTTCTTTGGCCATGTGAAAATCAAGGACTTCGATGCGGCCGGGTACATCGATAACACCGCGAGCGACAGGCCCGACCTGCCCAACATTGGCATCGCGGTGTCTGGCGGTGGTTACCGTGCGCTCATGACGGGTGCCGGTGCGCTGCATGCGTTTGATAGTCGCACAGAGAACTCCACCGCTACGGGTCAGCTCGGTGGTCTGCTGCAGTCTGCCACCTATGTGGCCGGTCTGAGTGGAGGCGGCTGGTTGGTGGGTTCCGTTTACCTGAACAACTTCACCACCATCTCCTCCCTGCAAACCACCGGCAAGGGCGACGTGTGGCAGTTTGAGAACACCATCTTTGAGGGTCCCGACGACGACAGCCTCCAGCTTTTCGATTCGATCGACTACTTCAAGGATATCGAGAAAGCCGTGTCGGCCAAGGAGGATGCCGGGTTCAACACCTCCATTACGGATTACTGGTAGGACTTCCATACTGGAACTGCGGGTGGGTAGCTAACTAAGTTAACAGGGGACGAGCGCTGGCCTACCAGATGATCAACGCTACCACTGGCGGCATTGACTACACCTGGTCGTCGATCGCCGAAATCGAGGCGTTCAAGAGTGGCGACATGCCGCTGCCCGTGTTGGTGGCCGATGGACGTTTCCCCGGTGAACTCACCATCAGCACCAACACCACTGTCTTCGAATTCACCCCGTGGGAGTTCGGCACGTACGATCCTACCATCTACGGGTTTGCTCCCCTGAAATACGTGGGCACCAAGTTCGTGGGCGGATCCATTCCCAAGGACGAGAAGTGTGTGCGCGGCTACGACAATGCCGGCTTCATAATGGGCACCTCGTCGAGTCTGTTCAACCAGGCCTTCTTGAAGGTCAAGGACTCCGACTCTATTCCTTCTTTCCTGAAGAAGGGGCTCCTCAACATCCTGGGCGGCATCGGCGAGGACGACGACGATATTGCCGTGTACACGCCGAACCCCTTCTACCAATACCGCCCCGAGTCGGACCCGAACTCGCACCAGAAGGAATTGGACGTCGTCGACGGCGGAGAAGATCTGCAGAACCTTCCCCTGCACCCGCTCATCCAACCCGAGCGCCATGTGGATGTGATCTTCGCGGTGGACGCCTCCGCCGACACCACCTACAGCTGGCCCAACGGCACGGCCCTCATTGCCAGCTACGAGCGCAGCCTGAACAAGACCGGCATTGCCAACGGCACGGCCTTCCCAGCCATCCCGGACCCCAACACCTTCGTGAACAACGGCTTGAACGCACAGCCGACCTTCTTCGGTTGCGACAGCTCCAACCAGACGAGCGCCTCTCCCCTGATCGTGTACCTGCCCAACTCGCCCTACACGTCGTTCGGAAACTGGTCCACCTTCGAGCCCAAGTACACCAACTCGGACCGCGACAACAGCATCATCAACGCCCACAACATGGTGACCATGGGCAACGGCACCCGCGACGCCGACTGGCCGACCTGCGTGGGCTGTGCCATCCTCAGCCGCTCGTTCGACCGCACCAAGACCAAGGTCCCGGAGGCTTGCACCAAGTGTTTTGACAAGTACTGCTGGGATGGCAAGACCAACACGACGGCCCCGGCGGAGTACGCGCCGGCTACCGTGCTCGGCGGGGAAACCAGTGCCGGTTCGTTGGCTGGGCCCACGGCCTGGACCGGTATGGTCGCCGCCGCTGTGGCTCTGTTCGCGCTGGTCTAATCTTGATCATTTCACCACTTGGATATTGATTTTGAAATTCACGTTGTATATACCTTTTGCACATTTTACGCACGATTTGATGGATGTTGCTGGATGTTGAGACTGGCGGATTTGGACACATGCATCTTGGAACCGCAGATACGGCCGTAATCCATTCTAGATCTTGAATAATCAAATCACACATCATCTTCACTTTTCTAACTTTTGTTTAAACTTTCACTTCTCAAACTCTTCAATAAAACAAGCAATCGTTAACTAGAGTATTATATAGCCCACGGCCACACGTGCAGTGGACCCGTTACCAGGGCAACCACCACAGTCACTTAACCCAAACGAGCCAACCCAAGAACAACACACTAAACTCCACCCCGACTGCACGCCAACGCCAACGACAACCGTTCGAACCAGCCTTGCAATCTCCAACCCCGGTCTCCATTCCTTCACGAGACCGATTTTAATATCGTTACATATTTAATTTCTTCTCTGTGGTGGTCCTATCGGCGCACAATGACCATCGCGACCCGCACGTATTAACCGACACGACAACGCTACTAACAACAGCAACTTAACAACCAACCCTCCCATCAACGAATACGAATACACATACACTATGGCTCGAGCGGCCGTGATCCCGAAGTCGCCGCCCAAGCGCGCGACGCGCACGACAGCCCAGCGGAAGATGACGACGGCGACATCAACAACGGCAGCTGCGGCTGCCAAGGCGGCACCGAAGACGACAAAAGCGAAGACTACAACAGCGACGGCAACGGACGCGAAGAAACGGGGTACGCGCGCTGCTCCGAGGACAGCTGCGCGGGTGACGCAGCCCGAGTCGGACGATAATACCGATGATGAGATTGGCGTTATCGAGACGAAGCCGGCTAAAACGCGAGGCAGGCCAGCTACTACGACGCGGGGGAAGAAGGTTGCCACACCGCCGCCGCCGCCGCCGGCTGAGTTGGAGGATGAGGATAGTGAGGAGGATGAGCTGGCGCAGGTGGACGAGCCGAAGAAGCGGCCTGGTCGGCCTAGGGCTGTTAAAGGTCAGGAGGCTAAGCCGGCTGCTGCTCCTAAGGCCCGCGGTCGTCCTAAGGGGAGCACCGCGACAAAAGCTACTAGGAGAACCGCCCCGCCGCCCGCCAATGATGTTTCTAGTCAGGAGGCTCCGAGGGAGGTGTTCATCAACTCCAGCGTCATGAGATCGAATATCCTGCGTGGGCCGGCGAAGAAGAAAACGGTTACATTCCAAGTATCGGACTCGGAGAATGAGGAGAGCGAGCCGGAGCCTCCTATTCGTAGCCGGCGTGGAAGAGCGCCCGGCCTGGCTGCCAAACCCGCTCGCAAGCCTGCCGGCAGGCCTGCTGCCACGGCCGCTCGAGGCCGGAAACCTGCGGCGGCTAAGAAGGGCGCGGCCAAGCCTTTGTCGCCCAAGAAGGCGACCCAAGTCGCGAAGTCGCTATCCTCGTATGCCAGCTCGGACGGCGAAGACGACGAGTTGAGTGGTGCCAAGGATCAGTATCATCTTGTGGTCCGCTCCCCTGAGAAACAGGGGTCAGAAACCACCGGCCTCAGTTCCCCAGTCAAGCGCATCAACTTCGCGCCTAGCCCGCCCAAGCATGTCGATGAGAACGGCGAACCGAATCTCAAGCCTCCGAAGTCTATGGACTTCAGCCAGTCACCGTTTATGTCCAGCCCCGCCCGTCGTCCACCCCCTTCACCATTCAACTACACATTCAGGGAAACGCCCAAAAAAGGAGGTTTCTCCATCGGAAATGCTGCAAAGCCACTGGAGCAGCCGGAGTTAACCGCGACCATTGCATCGCCGCTGAAATTTTCCCCCAAGAAAGCCAACATCGAAACCCCCCGACGCGGAAACCTCTTCGGCGGCCATCAGCAGCCCATCCCTCAACCCAACTTCACGCCCGGTCATGACTCACCGCTCAAATCGTCGCCGAAGAAAGGAAACCTCGCAGCGTCGTTCTCTTCTTCGCAGCATAATACACTAGAGACAATGTCTACCCCGCTGAGGAGGAGTCTTTTCCAGAGCCCGGCTAAGAAGTTTTCGTCGCCGATGAAGAGCTTCGTGTCGCCGCGGAAATTGCCTACGGTGGAGTATGAGGAGTCGGAAGATGAACTGAGTGCGGATCATCGTGTGGAGCTTCCGTCTAAGCCTGTGGAATCGCCTTTGCGGATTGAGGAGGCTGGTGACGACGCCGATAACACCGACGAGGTCGAGACTGATGTCGAGGAAGCTGGACCCGTTGACCAGGAGGATACCCAACCAGACGACGAGACAGAAGCCGTTGACGATGCACAAGCGACTTCTGAGCATCAAATGCCAGCAGATCCAGAGCCTGAAGTACACTTGGATGCTGTGGACGAAACTGTGAAGGATTACGACTCCGAAGGGACAGAAGACGACGGCCAGATCTCGGAAGACGAGGCGATCGATGGTCCCGCTGATAAGATCGTTCATCACGTTGATGACGCCAACGATGAGCAAGCTCAGTCAGATGTGGACGATGAAATGTTTGCTGTTGGCGCAGATAGCCGTGCACTGGATGTTGAGGACCTGGATGAAAATATGGAGCGCGAAGAGGAAGATGAGGTTGAGCATGGTCTTGCCGAAGATCCCCTTGATGCAAATGCGGACAATCAAGATCGTATCGAGCAAAGCGAACAACAGGAGGATGCAGTGGACGAGATCCATGAGAATCATTCCATCCCGGATGCGCAGGAGCATGCCGACGAAGAACAAGCTATGCGAGACCTGAATGAGGAAGTGGACCGCGAAATGGAAGACGATCGCACACTCGACCAGTCTAATTTCTTGCTGCGCCCAAGTCTTTTCCAGGGTCTTGAAGATGTCTTCACTGATAGTCCTACCCAGGGACATGGTGGAGATCGCTCGGAGGATCATACCACTCGCTCCAGCCATGTTGAAGACTCTATCATTCCCCCGACTCAGGATCAAGACGGTTCAAGCTCGGAATCCGATTTTGACGACGAACCTACCCTCGTATGTGAAGCGAGCGGACAAGTGTTGGAACCGCCGGTCTCGCCTTACGAAGTCCAAGAATCCACCAACATTGCTAGCCCATCTCTTCACGCCCCTGTCGAGATGCCTCCGGCTCCATCTCCTCCCATCACCGGCGAGTATCGCGATGCACTTGATGACATGGACATGACCACCAATACAGACCTTTCTACGGAATTGGATTACACTGGCGGTTTTGATTATCCCCAGTCACCGACCAAGACCCAGACACCCCGGCGCTTAGGTCAACGGCGGTCACTCTTGAATGGGCCTCGTTTCACCCCCTTGGCACAGCAGCTTGGCCAGTGGAAGGCTAGCAGCCCAGCAAAATCTCAGCCGCGACGTCCCAAGAGAGGTGTTTTCTCTCTGGGTCCAAAGCGGTCCAGCAATGCCAGTGCAGTTGGCGTGCTTTCTCCTGCTATCTCGTCTAATCCGCAAGAACAACCCGAACAGGCATCTCCTGCTGGATCTTTCAAAATCCACGAAGACGCGACTGAAGAGCCCCTTGCTGCGGAATCCGAGACACCGGTTGGCTCACCGGCCCGGGCCGACCATTTTCCAAGCAGAAGCCCTGCCCTCAGCGAAAGGGATGAAATCGACTGCATCTCAGTCGTCCCAGAGAGCCCTGTCCATCCAGCACCTACCCACGAGGAATCCGACGACGAGAAGGAGAATGTGGACGTCCGTCCTCCTATGACGCCTGCGAAGAAAGCCATCAACCCAATGCAGACGTTCCATACCGTGTCCAAAGTGCCTCTCAAGCCTGAAGGCCAGATTTCGCCCCTGAAGGTATCTCGCAAGAGGGGGCTCTCGTTATCGCCAGTCCACACCAGACCCCGCAAGTCGATCTTCATGCCTTCTCCGTCTCGTAAATCCCCCCGGCTTCAACGCCCCACGACCCCCCAGCGCCCCAGGCAATCACTCAGCCATGGCCAAACCCCCAACGCGGGCAGCCAGCAACGCAGACGCTCCACCGCACCAGCAGCCTCACCAACCCCCGTCAAGAACACCCGCCCAGCTCCCAGCCCCGCCAAAACGCCCCTCCGCGGCGGAACCGACTCCTACAGCCAGGTCCTCAACGGCGCAGTCGTCTACGTAAACGTGCACACCACCGAAGGCGAGGACGCCAGCGGAATCTTCGTCGAGCTGCTTCAGCAGATGGGCGCTCGATGCATCAAGAGCTGGTCCTGGAATCCAAGTGCCCGTGCAAGCACGTCTCCGGACGAGGAGTCCGAGCCGAAGATTGGGAAGGTCGGCATTACGCACGTTGTGTTTAAGGATGGGGGCGTACGTACCCTGGAGAAGGTGAGGCAGGCTAGAGGGCTTGTCAAGTGTGTAGGTGTTGGGTGGGTTCTCGAGTGAGTTTCCTCATACGTCTCTTTCTACATTGACACGTCTCACTAACATAACCAGCTGCGAGAGAGAAAACCGCTGGGTCGAAGAAAGCCACTACGCCGTCGACAGCTCCATCATCCCCCGGGGCGGCGCCAAACGCAGAAAGAGCATGGAACCGCGCGCCCTCAGCAACATGAACGGCACCCTCGTCAAGTCCAACGCCAGCACCAGCAGCAGCAGCCGCAAATCCGGCGCCGTCGAAGACTTCATGCGCCAGACCCCTCCCCCCAGCGAATCCCCCGACCTCACCCCCCAGCCCCGCCGCTACGAGTCCAGCCACGCGGAACCAGACCAATCCTACTGCCAAACGCCCAAGACGCCAGGCTCCAGACCCTACGACTTCAACTTCGACGCCATCGGCATGTCCCCTGCGACCCCATACTACCTCTCCCAGCGCTCGCGACTCGTCCAGCAGACGTGTCCACCTAAACAAACGCATCAGGGCCTCTTCGGCACGCCGTCGCGGGCGGAACCAGACGAGGTGGAGCCGTCGTGGAAGCTCAAGGCGAAGCTAGATGCGGCCCGACGGAAGAGCTTGGCGTTCAAGCCGCGGGTGGGGAGCCCTTTGGTTGATTGATAGGGCGATGTGATGTAATTAGATCTTTCTGTTTCTGTCTTTATCTTTATTTTTCTCTGTCTTACTGGTTCATCTATGTTTTGTTCTTGGGATGCCTGAGGCAGGGATTGCATTATTGGTGTGTTTGGATTGAAGATGGAGTTTATGTGGGTTGAATTCGGATGGGATTTTTGATAGGTTGGGACTGTTTATTCGATTTGTTTTCATTCATTCATTCATTCTTTATTTACTTATTCGGTTTACCGTAACAAAGGTAGTGGTATGCTTGAAACTGCTCTAGATAATACGCCCTTTTAACCCGGCGCAGCTTATCTCTAATACTCTCTCCACGCATAGTCCTACCAAGTGAGTGTATTGGTACTCTATTGTCAACTCACCTTGGTAAGAAGAATGTTTGTTTGTTTAGTTTGTCTTTCAAATGAGCGCTCATTTGAAAGACAAACTAAACAAACTTGGATCGCGACCTTGCAGAATCCGTCAAGTATATATTGATCTCATACTAGTTTAGCTACATCTTCTCGGGCTTATAGCCAAGCGTGGGGGGGTGACGGGATCATGTCAAGGCAAGTTTGAACCATTCCCCATTTTCCCAGGCGTGAACCATTATTGACACCTGAAAAAATCGGCATCCCGTTTCGAATGATCGTCGGTATCTCGGGCCTGCGTCATAACAGGCTGTACACTATCCAGTGTAGTCGGATATCATGCTCTATCGTTTGGCTGGAGTAATGATGTCAGCTAAGCTCAGTTAGGAATGATTAGCTCTGCGCAGGAATCCAAATCTCACCACGGCACAGCCACGCGCTACGCTCAGGCTCTCTTCTTCTCTTATTGGTGCTTGATCTTCGATACGATGCTTATTTTTTTAGTTCACTGTAGAGCCTTCATGTGCACCGTAAAGCCATGCAGCATATATATAGGGCACCATCCTTCCTCTTGATGGCAGATGGATTGTAATTTAGTCTATCAGCTTTATCAGTTCGCAGTCATTACCACTCTTCAGAACATCGCTCACATCTGATTGTATCATCTTTGCGGAAAATCCGTTCAAATGGAGTGGGACCCGAACAACATCTGCTGGTATACTCCTCTGTATAGGTTCGATGACATCCAGCCGTCCCTCTCTATAACCGCCCAGAACGAGGTCCCTGGAATTGGCATGCTATCCCCCGAGGATGGCGATCACCCAGCACCCAACACCAATTACTTGGCGTGGGACCCCTCCGTGCAGCTTCCATCCCATGTACTTCCCACCATCCAGCCCGCCCAACAGCAATCGGTAAACTTCCCTGTACTCCAAGCACAAGCCCTACATTCCCCATGGTCTAATATGAGTGAAGGTAACCACTGGACGGAACCCCGACAGACAGTTCCGTTGCGAATGGAGGGACTGTCGGTACTCCGGTACCTTCAGGCGCAAGGCTGAGCTGCTCCGTCATCTCGATACTATCCATGTCAATCCACAGTCGTTCAAGTGTCAGAGGTGCGGGTCGACATTCAATAGAAAGTACAACCTGAAGGACCATGTACGACGGGTACATAAAACTGAGCGGTTGTGATTTGTTGCAACTTCGTTTGTTTAGGATTGGAGTTTATAGGGCTATGTCAGTTCTGGTTTATGACTTGATTTCGGATTGATCATCTATGGGGGAGTAGTAACCTATCAGATGGATATTGGATTATGAATTTAATGCTTGATAAAATAATTATAATAGATGGATATGTAGATACAAGTCACGTATACAGCGAGAGCCACCGATAGATACATAGATCTATAGATAAATCTATTCCGCCCGACATCCAATCCACCTGCAGGGCGGCAACTTCAGAGGGATGATGTAATGACACTATACATTCTTCTAGTTAATCGGAAAGATGGTACGTATAGAAAAGTCCCAAATCTGTGCCTTGAGCACCATCCAGTGTTCCAGCAAGACCACCGCTAACTGGGCAAGGATTAGATCACCTTCGTGCGAATGATCTGGGATTGGGAGGGGTATCCACGATAGGGCAAAATCCTCACAAGGATAGTTTTGATTGGCTAAAGCAACCCGTCGAGTCAGGATGGCCTGCGTCGCAGGCCATCCTGACAGGGGTGCTAACAACATATATTCTTAAATACCTTCTTTCCCCGCTCTCTATTAGAAGTGCCTAAATCTTCTCACTATAAGCTCTCTACAGAAGATCTTGGATGCCGCTCTAATATTAGTAAATATACTAGAAGCAAATAAAAATAATTTGCTTCCCTATTATGGAGAGCTTGAGTTAGCACTGTAAAACCTGTAGATAATTTTATAGCCTATACCAAATGATATGTTCGTCCTAACATGAGTAACTGAGTGATTATAATTAAGAAATATAAATCTAGATACCCAGGACGCTCCTCCTCAGACCAAGACCTATAATAAGCTAGCCACGAGCTAGCAAATAGTTGATAACACTTTTGACTAATTTGGAACCCAAGTTAGATCAATGGACTTTGGTTATATATCGTGAGTGCTCACATGTTATTAGCTTGCGTGCTGTTTTCACACAACAATGGTTCGCTTACAATATAGGAAGCCAAGATATTATAGAATGAATCATGGTGACCATCCCTGGGGCTATGGGGTAGAAGTGCTTGTGTCTGATATAATCAAGCTCTTGATGTGTGCGTTGTGTAATCTCATTTTCCGGGGAATGGTCGATATATACAAAATTTGTGATGGTCAAAAGATCTATCTGTCAACAGAGACCTGGACAAAACGAACCCTAATAAGATCCCCTGTCATTACCGTTAGAATCCAACGTCGCACGTTGAGCATAGACAGTGCTTACCTAACAAAACATAGTACCCTTTGTATACGTAGAGCCATGGTCTCCGTGTGCCCCTATAGCAGGATAATTACTCATGGGATCTCTTTCTTGCTTTATATTTCCGTTCGCGTCAAGTACCGGAGAGCGTTGATGCTTTTTTTTAGAGTGCGGTGCCGAGTATCACTGGGATAGATACTGCTGGTATTGATTATTCTCTTTCAGACGGACCCTTCGATCAGAGAAGTCGACTATGAGCGGCAGGAAGGTTAAGTCCATATGCACCGCAATTTACTTGTATAGAGAAACCAGCATATGCAGGATAGCCACGGTAAGGACGCCAAATGATGGCTCACAGTGGGTCTAGTTGCGTATCGAAAGGAATTATAGATCAAAGCCGGGTCTTGTCAAAGAGGACCTTCTGACGGTGCACCTGGGTCATAGAGACCCTAATGTCGGCCTGGTATATTGTTCGATATAGAATGTTGGTGTTGTAGAATGCCATATATATTTAGGAAGCATGCGGACGGAACGATGAGGTATTATATAGGAAGAAAAAGTGTCAAGTAGAAATAAATCTGAAAACATTGCATTTCATTATCAACTATCTATTATATAAATCTATCACCACAATCAAGTCACCGAAGCCAAAGTTGAAACAGAAACACTGCAGTGACTAAAAATAACCGCCAGTTGAAACGGTTGAAACATCTCATCGAGCCATTGAGTGAGCCCCGCCCCCGCATTGCCCGTGAATGACATCCACCGCCTTCCCTCAACCTTCATCCTCTTTCCATCCCCATCCTCATTCCTCACCACCAAAATGGAGCGCTCCAAGAAACCTTCTGCTATCGGTGTCGGTGCATCTCTGCCCCAACCGTCCATCTCCATCAATGACAAAACCGTCGAAGCCCGACTGCCCACGGGCGAGTCGGTGACGGTCTATCTCTACGGCGCTACCGTCACCTCATGGAAGCTGGCAGACGGCCAGGAGCAACTGTTCTTGAGTGACAAGGCCCACCTGGACGGATCGAAACCGATCAGAGGTGGCATTCCTGTTGTTTTCCCGGTATGTATCCCTCAATATTGTTCCATTCTTCCCCAGAAAGATAGAGATTAATAACGATCGGTCAGGTCTTCGGCCCCCCTCCCCCCAACCACCCCACATCCGCTCTCCCCCAACATGGATTCGCACGGAACTCCACCTGGGAGTTCCTGGGCAAGTCGTCTTCCGAATCCGCCGGCCGGAAAGACGGCGACGACGCCGTGAAGCTGGACTTTGGCCTGTCGCGGGGCATGCTCAGCGAGGAGTTCCAAAAGGCGTGGCCGTATGACTTTGGGCTGGTGTACAGCGTGACCCTGACCAAGGAGAGTCTGGGGACGTCGCTACATGTGCAGAACGAGGGAAGCGATAATTTCGATTTTCAGGTGTTGATGCATACGTATTTGAACATCGAGGTTGGCTTCCCCACCCCTCCACCCTCTTACACTGTACTGACAAGAAAAGGACATCACCCAAATCAACCTCCAGAACCTCTCCTCCCACGAATACGTCGACAAAACCCTCAACGGCACCGCCCACACCGACTCCTCCCCCACCCTCCCCATCACCGGCGAAACTGACCGCGTGTACAAGGCCCTCGACCCCGCAGTTCCCATCGTGGTCGCCTCCGCCGCAGACAACAAGCCCGTCTTCTCCGTGACGCGCGAGGGCCTCTCCGACGTCGTGGTGTGGAACCCCTGGATCGAAAAGGCCAAGGGCATGGCCGACTTCGGGCCCGACGAGGCGTACAAGAAGATGATTTGCGTGGAGGCGGGGTCTGTGGCGGGGTGGCAGACGCTGGAGGCGGGGGATTCGTGGGAGGGAGGGCAGACTATTCGGCCGAGACTGTAGTTGGTGGATTTACGGATGATGAGTTCATGCTGATGATAAGGTCGGTTTATATACTACCTAGTAAGTAGTGCGCTGGAAGCGAGAATATAGACACGTACTTTATGACCTTCCCAGAAAGAAACAGAACAAAAAAGAGGAATTATTTGCACGGATCAACAAACTGCATATACAAAACGAGATAATCTTCCAAATTACCTATGCATACCCCTCGGATAACAAACAGCATATACACAAACAAAAGACAATCCCCCAGAATAAAGAGGCAACCTTCGACAACCTGCGTACCCTCGAATAAAAAATAAAAAAAAACAGCATATGCACAAACAAGACCCAACCCCAGACTACCAACTCCCTGCTAAACTACCTACATAGAATAAGTTTACTCCCCCTTAGCCAACTCCTGCGCGGCCTCCATACTATACTGCGGGCCCCGATAATCCCTCCTCCCACGAACAACCCACCACACAGCGGTCAAAGCCATCAACCCCACAGCAATAACACTCGTGTAGTTCATATTCTGCACAGTCACAGGCATCACAAGCGGGAAGCAGAAGAACACGACCGTGACAACAATATACAGCACAGCCACGACATTAACGATCATGCCGAGTCCATGACCCATATAGAACGGGCCGGGCACGATATTCCGTCTCCCCGTTAACACGTGAGGCAGGATCGCGCCGAGGTAGGATAGCGTGGAGAGCACGATAAAGGATGAGATGAGCGCCTGGAAGGCGGTGGAGCTGCCTACGTAGATACAGCCCAGACAGGAGACCATGGCGCTGACGGCGATGGTGGCGCGCACGGGGGTCTCGTGGACGGGGTCGATGTGTTTGAAGAAGGTTGGGAAGGGGGTTGCGTCGTCGCGGGCGAGACTCCACCACATGCGGCCGCCTGTGACGAGCGTGCCGATGAGGGTCGGGAAGGTTGCGAGGAAGAGCACGGCTGTGAGGCCTGTTGCGCCTGCGTTGGACCCTGTTGCTTGGCGGTAGATTTCGGCGGTGGGGAAGACGGCGATGCGGCTGTTGAGGACGGCGGGGAGGTCGGAGATGGAGTAGAAGAGGGCGATGACGTAGAGGAAGGCTGTTGTGAAGGCTGTGAACATTTGGAGGAGCATGCCTTGCGGGATGTGGAGTTGGGGGTTGGGGACTGTACTGGTTAGTTGCGGGATTGGACGAGAGACGAGAGGGATGGGGAAAAGGGGGATGGGGACTGACTTTCTTCAGAAAGATGGCTGATACAGTCCGGAACACCAACTGCAAAAGCCGCGTTAATAAGCCCCGTCATGAAGCAGATTCCGTCGGACCAGCCGCCGGTGTTATTGTGGTATGTGGTCCAGACGTCCGCACTGCTGGCGTGTCGTTTAGGCATGATAGCGAGGACGAGCACCGTGACGACCAGGCCGGTCATAGACAGACACAGCGCAATGCGATTAATCCACGGGACGAAGCGGTTCCCGAAGCAGACAATAGCGCAGCATGTCCAGTTGAGGCCCTGAAAGGCGATAAACACCTGCCACGGGTGGAATTCTACCTCTGGATGGCGTAACAGATGCATCGCGACGAGCTCGTTGCCCAGCATGGAGGAGATAGATGACGCCGACAAGAGCCATGCCGTCGCATTGAGATACCCCGTGAAGAAGCCCACCACTTTACCGTGCTTGCGGCTCAGCACGGAGGACCAGTAGTAGACGCCACCGGCGGAGGGCATGGACGATGCCAGCTCGGAGAGTGATGCCGCGATCAGGGTGTAGAAGATGCTGACTAGGATGAGGCCGTATAGGATCGCCATGGGGCCGCCATTTTGCAGGGCCGATACTATGGTGCCTCCTGTTGATGCCCACGAACTGGGGCGATCATGTACTTAGCGCAAGATCTAGAGGGAAGACAGATAAGTAACTCACTTTGCGATGACGATGCCCAGACTGGTCAAACTGAAGAGATCGAACCTGCGCACAAGCTGCTGCTTGTGGCCCAGTGCTGTTTCCAACCGCGTCTCATCCATGGTGTTCTATCTTTCTTAATTTTCCTCCTTTTCTTTCTTATTTTACTTGTCACACAGCAGTTGATAGAGACACTGATGGTCGCAGATATGTCGCGAGACTGATCTTACTTCCTGGTATAAAAGAATCGGATATTTTTGCTCATGCAAGGAAGTCAGTCAGTTCCATATGGTCGCCATGTGAGGGAAACGATCAGGATCGGACGCGGCCCGCAACAGCATGGCATGCATGTTTCAAATATCCTGTTACACACCTTGTAGGACGGCAAGCATGGAGGACAGGGAGTGTTGTCGCAGGGAGGCAAATTGAGGAGAAACGACAGGGGGAGAGTTCGACAATGGGAAGGTGCCCAATTTCCACGGGCCTACATACATGCCTTCTCCTGTGTGGTTGAAGCAAGGGTGGAATCGATAGAGGGTATGCTAGAGGCTGGACTAGGCAGGAATCGGATGGAGAGGCGTTAGCTCCCTCCGATCGTATTCTACTAGACCGTTCGCTAGTACCTATCCGCAGTATTTTACTATAATTTCTTATTCAACCCACATGTCTTGTCCTGTAGACACATCCATCTCATCGTGAAGTCCATCAAAAGCACGCCAGTTGGGGCTTGACAGACCACGTGCCCTGCACTTCTGCCAGATCTTTCCGCTCCACCTTTGACTTCAGTCTGGTCTCGATCTCAACTTCACCTGGTGGAACAAGTCGATGCAATCTCACCCTGCCGATCTTGACGAACTTAATCCCAGCCGTCCTCGTCATCAAAGATCTGGAGATGAAGATGTTCCTCCCTTGCGATCAATGTCTGAGGATGATCGGGTCCGCGAAGGCAACTACATCTCGTACTCAGTTGAATTCGAACCGATCGGGGTCTGACCAACGGATATAGATAGCGATCATTGGTCAGGTCCTGGAGAAGTCGACTCGTGTCATTCAAACCGATGAGTACGGGGCGTAGAAGCCCCAAGCAGTGGAAAGAAAGGCGACAAGATCGAATTCTATATGTGGTACCCCTAGTTGATCGGTATAGTCAAGCTAGGTGGGACGAGCACGCTATAAAAAGAACGCTCAAGCCAACAAACGACCAAAATATCTAAGTTTGGCATTCAAATGCTGAGATCAATAATTTGGCGGAGATTACGGATACCACGATCGCCTGTGCGGGTTAAGGTTTTTGGATAGATCTGTCGATCTTTGCCGACCCGCAACGCTGTGGGCCCAGCGCCAACCCAAGAGCCGAAGCAGGAATCCACCAGCCTTCGCATGCACTCTCCCCTAGGATTGCATCCTTTTTGAGTTTTTTGCAGTATGAAGAGCCCAGCTATTGGCCTTGGGGCCGTTAGCTCGCGTTCTCGAGCGCCACGTTATGTAAATTGGTTACTGGTCGATGCGTGTTGTGTCACCCCAGGAACCCATCAGATTGGTCGCGCTCGTGCAGCTTCGTCTCGCGAGGACCACTCCCCTTCGTATACTCGTACTGGTCGATGATGCTCATGGACACGGTCACATCCACCCTCGCAGTCTCGCTTCGCAGGCCTTGAAATGTTAAGCTCGCTTCCAAGGCCGTGCAACGCCGGCACCCCCTGCCAACTGAGCGAGGTGCGCCCCGAAGACTTGTTGATGCTTGCATTTCTCGGTGGGAGTTGGATATCGTGCCACCAAGATTTCCGGGGCGGCGCCCTCCCCCACATGGCGTCACCGGTGTTTGTTATCTGTCCTCGAGAATCTCGAGGCTCGGGAAAGGTTCCGCGAGTCGGCGTTGCTCGACGTTTGCTTCTCATCTAGAAGACCTCGACGCGTTTGCTCTTCTGACTCCGCCATCCCTTGCGTTTTTGCCTAGTGCTTCCCATCCCTTGTTTGTTCCCCTTGGGTCCTAATTTAAGTGCTCTAGCTTCAGGAAGAGGGGCCTGTTTGGTAGACGGAGAACTCAAAATGCTGGCTGTGCTCCCGGTATTTTCCAATTCTCGGTGACATGAGACAGATGAGGCATCCTCCAATAACAGCCAGGCTTCGGCCACTTTTAAGTCGGACGCTCCCACGATACTTCAATCTGGTCGTGCCCAGTATCTAAGTCTTCTCTCAAAACCAACGAACTAACTTGCTTGGGATTTCCATCTGAATCTTTGCGGGCGTCGTGAGCGAGATGGGGAACGTGTCGCCCACTCCGAAACAGCTCATGACCGAGGGTGCCATATTCTGGAGCATCGCGGCGGTGCTATTCATTGGTCGATTGTATGTGCCATCCCGGTCAGTGTCATGGTCTAATCTGACCCGTCCAGGGTTTCTCGGATCATCGGGACTGGTTCAATAAAACGCCTGAACTGTATGCTCGACCAATATAGCCTCCCAGTTCACCTGCCTATTGCTAACGGAGCCGGAGCGCAGTCGAGGACTATACCATGTGTGCAACATTTGTCAGTCATCTTGTTGAACAGAAGAATGCCATGTAACTAACGGCTAGATCGTGCAGGTGGTGTACACGAGTCTTCTAGTACTCATCCCGATATCCTCCCTCTATGCAACTAACCTTATGGATCCGGCCGACTATGACAAGGTTCTTGCCGACCCGGTCGAGGTAAACAGACGTATCATTGGGAGTAAGATTGTGATTGCGTTAGAGCAATGCATGCTCTTCTCGACATGGGGAGTGAAGACATGCATGCTGACCATGTTTTGGCGCCTGACCAAGAATCTCCGCTTACACCTCTTTGTGAAGGGCATTGCCGTCTATGTTGTGGTTGGGTTTGTCGTGATTATGGTGACCTATTACGGCGTGTACTGTAGGCCCTTCTCGCAGTACTGGGCGATGCCGGTGCACGATATGCAGTGTGCGACGTACCAGCACTATTCGATCACGCAGGCCGTTTTCAACATCAGCTCGGACGCGGCCATGCTGGCGGTTCCGGTGCCGCTGCTGATCCAAGCACAGATGCGAATGAGGAAGAAGGTCCTCCTGATCTGTATCATGAGCCTTGGTCTCTTCACCGTCGTGGCGGCCATTCTCAACAAAGTGTACAACTTCGCATCTCCCCTAACAACGACATACCAGATCTGGTACATCCGCGAAGCAAGTACAGGCATCTACGTGGCCAACCTCGTCTGTCTGTGGCCTCTGTTGCGCAAGTTGTTCGGCTTCAAAGCGTTCCAAAACAGTGGAAAGCAGTACCGGCAGCATCTCGTCCGACCCGATAAGGAATGCTCCGGCGCTACGCGATCCGCTGGAACATCACGATCGCGACCGTCATTTTCGCTTCAGCGGGCCTTGCATCTGAACGGAAAGGATCCCCACGTTCTTGCAAAGTCATTGGTGCCGGGTCGGAAGAACAACGGACAACGGGGCAGCCAGGAAGCAATCACTAGGACCTCGCATGGCGATGATGCGGAAGACCATATACCCTTGGATGTCTGGGACAAGGGAGGTCGTCAGCCAGATCCAGAGATTGGAGTAGTTGGCGACAGTATCTCGCGAACCTCGTCGCATTCGGGGATCGCGGTTCATGGAAAGCCACCCCAAGAACCTCGGTCCCCATAGCTGCGTGACTTCCTTTCAGCGTTGCCTGTTGTCTGGGCTTTACGCCACCAACACATTGGCAGTACCGCTGATTGGTTCCTCTCCCCATATCTTGGCAATGGTCTCAGCCGTCGGGGTTCCGCCCTTCCAAGGTGCGAGTGATTTCCAGGCCTTTTGAGAGCTATCAAGAGCCCTCAGCGTGCGTGTGAAGTGGCGAGGCTGTGAACTAGGACTGCTGCCGGAATCGAAGGCATGATCGTACGAGATGCATACACATGGCTGCTTGGCTGTGGCTGGGACGCTGGCCGGGAGAACTTTGTTTTGCAGAGAGGACAGCGCGCCTGCCGTTTGGTGAGCCAAGGGTCTACACACCCGGCGTGAAAGATATGCCCGCAGGACAAGACTCGAATGCTGTCCTCATCGTTGAATGATTCCATGCATATCACACAGGAAAGGTTAACGTGTTCCGCGTTGGCCTCTATCCCATCATTACCGTCTTTCCTGTCGAGAGGAATGTCTTCTAGTGCATCGGGTGAAATTGCCCCGGGCTCAGACGTCTTTATTGGTGTTTTTCCTTCCGGTTGTACGTGGCGTCCGCTGTCATCCTTTGAACCAGCTTCCGACCGTGGCGCATCTTCATGGGGGACAGATTCCCCCCAAACGCTATCACGGTGGCAACGCACCCGCCAGACACCATACTTTGTCGGAGGAAACCGCTCCTCGAGATCGGATTTCGTGATGGTTCCTGGGCGGTCATCAAGTGGTAGGTTTTCCGGGTCGGGCACTCGTGCTGGCGCAGTCTGGTCATGCGAACGAAAGCACAGCATCTGTCTTGCGCCATACATTGTCCTGTGTCCCCAAGTCTGTCAGACAATACCTGCATATTACCGACAAACGATGCAGAGCACATACAAGGCTGCAAGGAAAAATATGGAAATGATCACAGCTGCGATGTAGCTGAGTGGGGCTGCTGCCGAGGGCTCGTCGGAACGATCACTCATCGCCACGCGACGATGCTGGGACACTTTTCATTTGATCGCTTTCTTGGTAGCAAGAACTGCTGGGGGGCCTTACTTGGGAGTGGAGAGAAAGTTGCTATAGCGAAGGTTCTTGTTCCAATCATCTAAATATATTACAACCCCGCTCAATCTATACTTTGTTCGACCAGCTCTCGGATGACCCGACTGCCGAGTGATACGCCAGGGATATACCCCGCTCGCAGAGGCCATAATCATTCTAGCATACACGATGATTTGTTCCTGTCATATAGCCAAGTGACATCCCTTGTCTGGGGGATAACCCGTGGGGAGGGATGCTATTAGAGGCGAACGGCGAACCTGATGGTCGAGCGACAGCAGGGACTTCCTGGGGAAATTCGAAACAGGATGATCACCGTTACAGATACTGAATCTGGCCGACTACGGACGTTAGTAACATCATTTACCTCTACGCTACCTTATCCTACCTTATCCTACCTTATCATTTGGCTTTATCTGGGTGGATACACGCTAAGGCTAGCTTGACCAAATACTAGCTTCCCCAGACACGGCCCAATCCGATAATCCTGATTTGAGCGGACGAGATGAAACAGTGGCCGCCTCTACGGAGTACATGTCAGACACACCGACACTGTCAAGACCATGCGCCTGGACCTGTAGTTCCATCTGAACATGGTTGGTAACATGGTTAAGTCGCGTAATCACTTACGAGGCCGGCGACATCCCATTCGGCATGACCGCAGGGCAATGCCTGATCCTTCCTGCCCCCTCTCGCTTATCCTGTCTAGGGGTCCGCGCCGGAGCCCCTATTTTCGCAGATCCAATTGTATCTCATGTATCTAGCGGCTTAGTGGCCCTTGGAGAAACAGCCCGAACACGCCAAGGAACGTCGCCACAGGCCAAGAGCCGTAAACAACCTCTCAAATGTGCCCGTGAAGGCCGGAGAATGGTTTACCTTGATTTCTGTTCCCCGGACTCGCGTGGTCAAGTTGCGACTGTCGCTCCTCGTGGCCTAGTGCATTGTCTCGTGGAACAATCAATTTTCTTGGCTGGTCTAAGATTGCCATTGCAACCTCAGCATGTGTGGGCGTGCATTGGGACCCAATGGCCGAGTCGTCCCGACGTCTCGTAGCAAGGGTCCAGTAGCAGGGTCCAGGGTCCTTATCTCGATGGGCAAAATGAGCAATAAAACCGCGCAATGCCGCACTTTTCCCTGCGCTTTTTCCCTCCCACTGCTGTTTCCTTCTTTACCTTTCTTTCTATTGTGTAGTACTCGACACTGGTGCACCATTAAACATGAAGGAGAAAGCTGAGTCGGAGACGAAGGCCCCCTTCGTAGGGGATGAAGCGGTACCGGCCTACGTCCAAGAAGAACCCGAGTCCATCCATGGCGAAACCGAGGAGCTCGACTTCTGGACGCGCAATGGCCTGAATATGCAATCGTTCAAGAGACGGTCTCTAGGGGAGGTCCAACAGCACCAGAGACTGAAGCCTCGCCATATGCATATGATTGCCATTGGCGGGTCGATTGGTGCTGGGTTTTTCGTTAGCTCGGGCAGTGCACTGAGTACTGGTGTACGATTACCCCAGATGAAGCCATTGAGGTCTTGCTAACTGGACTTCAGGGACCGGCTTCCATGCTTATTGATTTTGTGATTATCGGTGTTATGATGTTCAACGTTGGTGAGTCCTCTTGACCCTGGTTGCTGGGCTGTTTAGATACTGACCATCCCAGTGTATGCGCTCGGTGAATTGGCAGTCATGTATCCCGTATCCGGTGGTTTCTACACCTACTCGGTTCGGTTCATCGATCCGTCATGGGGCTTCGCAATGGGATGGAACTACGTCTTCCAATGGGCCATCGTCGTCCCACTGGAACTTACAGTGGCCGGACTCACAATAAACTACTGGCAAGTGGACGTGAACGTGGGCGTGTGGATCACAGTGTTCCTCATCGCCATCATAGTCGTGAACATCTTCGGGTCGCTGGGCTACGCGGAGGAAGAGTTCTGGTCCTCCATCCTGAAACTCAGCGCCATCGTCATCTTCATGATCATTGCCGTGATCCTCGCCTGTGGTGGTGGTCCAGCCAAGGGTGCCTACTCCGAGTACTGGGGTGCAGGCACCTGGTACAATCCCGGTGCTTTCCAGAATGGATTTCGCGGCTTCTGTGCCGTCTTCGTGACGGCTGCTTTCTCGTTCAGCGGAACCGAGCTGGTTGGTCTCGCAGCTGCTGAAGCAGAAAACCCCGCCAGGGCGCTCCCAGGAGCCATCAAGCAGGTCTTCTGGCGAATCACCCTGTACGTCCCCATCCATCCTCCCTACCATCGAACGAACTCATCTAACCCCACAGATTCTACATCGTCGGCCTCAGCTTAGTCGGCCTTCTAGTCCGCTCCGACGACACCCGCCTCCTCGGCTCTGACTCCCTCATCGACGTAACAGCCTCGCCCTTCGTCCTAGTCGCCAAAGACGCCGGCCTGATCGGCTACGACAGCTTCATGAACGTCATCATCCTCATCTCCGTGCTCTCGATCGGTGTCTCCGGCGTCTACGGCGGCTCGCGTACCCTGACCGCCCTCGGCGAGCAGGGTTTCGCCCCTCGCATCTTCACCTACGTTGACCGCTCCGGCCGGCCCCTCGCATCCGTCAGCGCTCTCATCGCCTTCGGTCTCCTGGGCTACATCAACATCGACGCGCAGGGCCCGGTCGTGTTCGCTTGGCTGCAGGCTCTGTCGGCCCTCGCTGCCCTGTTCACCTGGGGCTCGATCTGTCTTGCGCATATCCGCTTCCGCAGTGCCTGGAAGCACCACGGACACACGCTGGACGAGATCCCCTTCAAGGCTGTCTTTGGCGTGTGGGGCTCATGGGTGGGATTCATCCTCGTTATCATTGTGTTGATCGCACAGGTTAGTCTACCTTTCTTCTCTCTCTCTTTACCTATTTACCCCGTCCGCCCTCTTCCTCCCCACCTACCACCCCCTCCCAAAAAGAAACTCAACTAACGAAATTCTCCAAAGTTCTTCGTCGCAATCTGCCCCGTCGACGGCGGCTTCAACGACGTAGAAGGTTTCTTCCAAGTGTATCTCGCCCTCCCCGTCGTCCTCTTCTTCTGGGCCTGCGGCTACCTCTGGAAGCGCGAGGGGTGGCTGCGCGTCCAGCAGATCGACGTCGACACGGGCCGCAGGCCGGTCAACTGGGCGGAGATCAATGCGGAGAAGGCTCGACTGGCTGCCATGCCTGCTTGGAAGAGGCTGTTGCATGTAATTTTTTAGGCGGGCCTGGACTATTTACCATATGGGGGGTGTTGGTGGTGTTAAGATAGTGGGTAGCTTGCTAGTTAGTTAGTGGGGTAGGTGGTGGGTAGGCAGTTATTACTACTACTTTATTTATTTGTTAACCTTTTTTTTTCTTTTCTTGACATGCTGGTGTACTAGATAGTGGAGCTTCCATGATAGACATCAACTAACTAGGCTCTTATTCAAATTGCTTAGTGTGATCTAAACCGGTGTTTTACTAGAAGTAGGTTGAGTAAGAAAAGATGATGTATGCGTTGTTTAGCAGTGACAAGGGAACAATCAAGTTAGAGAAAGTAAAGAGAGCAAAGAAAGACGAGAAAGGAATCATGCAAGGATGTTCAAAGAAAAAAAAAATCTCGAGTGAAAAATAATTTATATGTGAAGACTGACTATACAAATACCAAACTATCCATAATCGCACGCGTATTAAACATGAAGAAACATACTAGATGTATCAAAAAGCAAAAATAAAATATATAAATATGGAAGAAGACGCCATCGCTATGCAAAATTTTCAACTACCCTGGTTATTGTTGTTGTTGTTGTTGGTATTGTTGTTGTTGGTATTGTTGTTGTTGGTATGATTGTGTCTCCTGGCCGCCTCGTGCATTTCGACCCTAATGTCGAATAGCAAGTCGTCCATTTCTTTGAGGGTGGATTTGTTTAAACTTGCTGTTTTCATGTCTGCGAGGACGCTGCGAAGGGGGGTGAAGAGGTCTGTTGTGGTGTTGGGAGGAGGAGGGGACTGCTCGATTTGGGGAACGGGGGGTAGGGGGTGGAGCTCGGCTGCGTCTTCGATGGGCTCGGTGGGTTCGGTGGGTTCAGCGTCCGCCATGTCGGTGTCTTCTGTTGGTGTCGGTGCAGGTGCAGGCGTGGGTGTTTCCTCGGTAGGCAGCTCGGGCTCAGTCTGCGCGGGTGTGTGTTCTTCGCGCTGGGGCTGCGGAGAGGGGTTCTCCGCCAGACGCTCTGGTTCCGGCTCGGGGAGCGGGGAGCTCCTCACTCTCTCAGTCGGCGGGTGCACCACGTCTAGCTGGGTCTCCTCGATTGTGTCGACCGGAGGAGGCAGCTGGCTTTCGGCTGTATTGGCTGGTGAAGGTTCCCGAGATGGTTGTTGGGGCGCTGGAAGCTTGGCTGAGCTATCTTGCGTCGACTCCTGAATCCCTTGCGAGGAGGATTCGCCTGATTCGGGCCGAGCATAGGAGCCTTCTCTCGCGGCGTTTGCCCTTGCAGCGGCTTCCAACGAAGCAGACTTCCGACGCCTCTCGTTCCTGCGGCGGTTTCGGTTGCGCGAACGGGGGGATTTGGACCGCTTGGGTGGTGGGGTTTCTTCGGGAATGTCTGGAGCTGCCTGGCCGCTGAGGCGCGAGGATCGCCGTTTTTGAGAGGCGTCCAGCAACCCTGCGTCAAGATTGTTACCCGCGCTTGCACCCTGTTTTTCAACTGCTGGTTCGATTTCCATTTTGTCATCCGCTCCGCCTGGAGGCTCGCGTCGCTGCTTCTTGGGCGCGGATTCGGCTGGTGTTGCGGCATCTTCTGTGGCGGCTGTGGAATTTTGAGATGTCGTGGATTGGGTAAGACAGTCGTAATCACCTGAATCGTTGTCTGCGGGGGCTCTTCCGGAAGCTCGTCTGGAGGAACGACGGAGCTCCTTGTTGCTGTTACGCTTGGTAGGTGTGGCCGCCTCGCTCACCTCGCGCTTTCGCTTCCTCGTCATCGGAACTTGCCCGGAGGATTCTGTAGGTTGATCATGATTCTGTTTTCCTACCACATCTGCGGCGCCTTCCAGGTCTTGCTCGAGTTGAGAAGCCAGCTGAGTATCCAGGTCGTCACATGACGAGTCTGCAGCGGTCTCAAGGGGCTGAGAAGCGAGCGTGCCGTTGCCGTCCGAAGGAGAAACAGTGCGTAATTTGTTGGACTTCGGCTTCGGAGTGGAGGAAGCCCTTGTCTCTTCTTGGGTGAATCTACCAATCGATCCACGCGTCATCTTCGTTGGCGATCCATCCGTTTGGGAATCCAATTTCTCCGACCCCTTGCCTGCTGAAGCACGAGAGCGCAAGCGGCTACTCAATGGAACATCTTGGCGCTGGTTCTGCGACTCAGAATTGTTCCCGTTCGTGACCGGTGTCGAGTTGCGTTTCTTATTATTGCGCGACTTCAGACGCTTCGGTGATTTCTTTCGTCTGCCGCTTGTGGTTGGACTTCCCGTGTCCGCGAAACTCTGGGATAGCTCCGACACTTCACGATGGGGACTGATGTCCTTCATCTGGGGAGGGGAAGACGGAGGATCTTGATCCATCTTCAAGTCGATAGCTGATGTCGTCATCGAGAGTTGTGTCTCGGTTCTAGTGCTTGGAGTTCTGCCTCTGGCACTAGGCGTGGGAGAGGACCCCAGGAAGACATCCTCGGGATCGGCAGCTGTAGGAGGCAGCGTAGGGGTCAAGGGAGTTTCTGATTCACCCTCAGCATTGCGCAGATTGCGCAAATGCGGCGGGGTCATGAACCCGAGTTCCCTTGGCGTGGGCACAACAGGCGAAGACGACCTGAGGTTCTCTATCATAGCCAAGACGTCCTTACGCTGCTTGCGATCTCCAATTGCGTCCGTAAGCGACATTGTACCATCCAGAACAGGCAACTGGTCCGCTATACCGTCATTCTGGGATGATTCAGCTCGAGGTCTATCGGGCTGGTCCAAGGATGCAGGGACTGGCTCGCTTCTGACGACCGGCGACGATCTGAAACCAGGGGAGTGGGAGTTTTCCACATTATCTAGGATATATGCAATGTTTGATTTCGCCGACATATCCGATTGGGTATCATTCATCTCCTGTGGAATGTTAGAAATTATTTGCTTCACCTCAGGAACTGATTGGTGTAGTGATATTCCATCTGTTGGAGACATACCGGTCGGACGTTTGTCGAGGAAGAAAATTGCTTGCTGCGAGACTCTAAAGTTTGCAGTACATGCGAGACGTTCGCAGATGCAAGATCCTTGTGTGAGCTTGAGACAGAAGTACAGAAGTCGATAAATCTCTTGGCAATTGACGCGTGGGAAGATTCCAAGCCAGCACAGATGATAACTTCAAACCTCTGAAGAGACGATGTATCGTCTAGCGGGGGAGATTGCAAAATATTGAGCACGGCGGAGGCGAGAGCGCGGCACTGAGACAAGGTTAGAGTATGTTACCCCTTGCTTCGTTGAGGAACACTTACGGCCGTGAGAACCCTACTTTCAACGCCACTGGCAACATTCAACTTGTGTCCGTCGTCCTTGATCCATAGAGCAAGGGATTCCTGGAGACTTTCTAGGAAAGCCGATCGAAAATGCCAAACCCCGGACCCAAGGAAGGACGTCAGAGACTCGATGAAGTTCGCAATCCCGCTGGTTTCCAACGGCTCGAACTTGTCATACGACTCTCGAAGCGTCCTGTTCACCGACTCGGCTAGATTGGTGGGAAAGAGTCGTTTCTGGTAGGCGGCCTGAGCGCTGTTCACAGTGCCTTTGGTGCCAGCGATGCCTTCATGGAAGTATGGGATCGAATGAGAGTAGGAAAAGAGAGATGCTGAGGGCAAATAAGTGTTTCGAACGTTAACATTCATCATGCATTCGGCAAGCGGCTCCACGACCATTGTGGCAATCTCGCGATGGCCCTTCTCATTCCCCACAACGCGTACCAGCGAGCCAGCCAGCTGATTCCATGTTTGGAAGGCATCTGTGAACTTTAAGCCCGCCGACAGAATCTTGATAGAATTTTCGTAGTCACGGGATACAGATCCATCGCGTTCGCGAGCGGATTCAAGGGGGTAGGAGCAAAGGGAATCAGAGGCGAGTTGTGCCGCCGATGTCCAGACGATTTGGGCGAAATTATGGATCGCAAAGTCAAATTCTGTCTCGTTCGGATACATTTCTGCACATTGGCGGAGTAATTCTAGACGAGATCCTCTAGACATTCGCCCGTTGCATGCTGCTTGGAGTGTTCCGTTGATCAAGCTTAGATAGGAGGGTGTGGGTTCTGAAATTCCAGACACGTCGCTGATCAAACGCAGAAAATGTAAAATAGGGATATCGAGGGTGGAGTTTGCTTTGGGATGACGGTGCGTAGGTGTAGTGGCAGCTTGGAATGTCTCGTCAGCCGTCTTGAGGAGAAGCTTTTCCGTGAAGGAGATGCTGCCGAGGGAAGAGATCATGGTCGTTGACAGAAAGCGGAATCGCTCGAAGAATTTTTCCATCGCACCGTCTCCAGCGGCATTCAAAGAGGAGGGGCCCGCTATCCAGAGCCGCTGAAGGAGGCCAAGTACATGGGCCACTGCTTGCATTGACTCCGGAGATGGGGTGATTTCCTTGCTCGACGCATAAGACAAGGCCCTTGACAGATTGACCCAGGCGACAGCAATATAAGACTGCTCGATATCGTCTACCCAGACAGATGAGTTAAGGATGTTTTCAAACACCTTCAAAACAGAAGTGATTCTAGATCTCAACCACTTGCAATCCACACAGGGCAACTCCTCGGGGTCAACTTTACTGCTCTCGTTGACTTTGTTCTCAGTCCACACCTTAGCCTGGGAGCTCCATAGCATGTGTGACAGCACCTGGGCCAAACGATCGCTCAAGCTTGGAGTTGAACCGAATATGCTCAAAGACGGGCATGCGATGTATTCCTCCCAGACAACATCGATATGCGAGAAAGCAGCCGATGGGCGGAACGCGTAGTATAGGAGGTTGTAATAGCTGTTGAGCGCAAGATAGCTTGGATGCGAGCCGTTTTTGTCTTGCTTCTTCCGTTCGAACTGAGATAGGACGGGTTTGCTTAGCATTTTAAGCATGGAACGGCTAGTGGTCTCGCTCGGGCTAACAACAAGGATGAATCGATTCCACCCAACAATAGCTTGAGCCTTGATTGTTGGGTCGCTACAGTTGAAGCATTTCTGGAGGACTAGAACCCATTCTTTGAAATGTTCCCAATGGTCCACGCTGAACCGCTTGGTCCTCAGTAAAAGGGTGACCACGCTCCAAACCTGCGGCACATGGGAGCCAGTCTCCGCATCTGACATCATGCGTGACATCCGCTCGCATATCTCCGACACCATCTTCCTGTTCTTATCGAGAGATCTGTCGAAGAGATCGCGGATACACTTCGACAACGTGGGGTTTGGACCAAGTGAGATAGTCGTCTGGAAACCGAGGGAGATCGCTTTAAGCCTGATATCCTTAATATGGTGCAGCAGACCGGACACAAGATGCTCTATCCAGAGTGAAGAGTGAGACACGAATGTAGACTTTGCCTGTCCCAGAACCCGCTGGTAGATGCTCAGCCGCTGTGAAATGATCGCGCTTCCATTGACTCGACCGGTGAGAGTGTGAAGTATCGTAAGCAGACGCACTATCCGAGCATTCGTCACGATCCTTGCATTGAAATTCTGGGTCGAGAGGATTGACATGTAATGGGTCAACACGGACTTCGGCAACTTTGCCTCCTGAAGACTATTCAGGGCGTGGTCCACCAAAAAAACCTTGAAGTCATCCGGCAATTGCATTGAAATGCTCGGATGCCACACCAGAGCCGCCGATAGCTTCAACGCCTGTATGACTAGGTTTGTATTCCCCGGTCCACCAATGTCCAAATCCTTGGTGATATCACGCTGGATAAACTGAGTGACCAAGGCCAGTTTGTCCGCGATATCCTTCTCCCCAGGAAGATCCTCATATGCCCTTAACGCCCCAAAAAACTGCATATAAGCATCCAACCGGGAACTAATCGCGTCCCCGGCCAATGCCTGCGTGATCGATTCCAGCAACATAGCAAACGACTCGGGGGTATAATTTTCAACGTTGGAGGACGGAACGGGTACGGGGGAATTTGTCGCTTTCAGGATCGATTTTGCCGGCTTGCATTCATTTGAAGGAGGTAAAGATTTGACTTCTGGTTTCAATTTCGTAGTCGAATTCGTAAACATCGGAGGCTTGATGTATTTCGTCCATGGCGAGAAATTCACGCGCTTGGATTGTCGGCTCGAGGGGACCCCCGTGGAGATACTCGTATGGAGGGCAGAATCGCGTGGCGTCTGTACAGCTGCCGGCGAATCCTCCGCCCGATCGTTATCAAGCAACGCTCGCGATGTCCGAGGAGGAGTAGGCGGACGAGCAGGCAAAGGGCCCAGAACCTCGACCATATTTCCCAAGGTGGAATGAGATGAAGACGGAGGATGGAAACGAATGAAGGGACTGGCACATTTCGCGACCAACCAGTTCTGGAATCAGACCGTTATTCCCATTATCCAGGGGGGTGAAATCCCTGTGCCGTGAGTATAGAGATCAATCTGAAGAATCAAGACGAAGAAAGATGACCTTTTTTTTCCCGCTGGACCAGACGATCCTCCTGCGGCCGCGCCAAGACCGTGTAATTGCCTGGGGTGGACGCGCCCGTGGCTGAACCCACGCGTTAAGTGTGGCGGGTGTGGCTAGTGGTGTCTTTCGCGTTTGGTGCCTGAGGTGTATGTTCTTCTCTACTGTATCTAAGCAATTATCTACATCTCACTTGCAACCCAGAGCGTTTATATTGTTTCTAATAAAGATACAGGTCTGTGGAAAGACGATTGCTTAAATTAACGCGCTATAATGTAGGTCGTCGCCGCGACAACACATCTTGAACGGAGCATCGTACCTACCAGTCACCAGCTCACGAACTCGGTTCGAAACTCCAGACCTGTGCCGTCCTTGGTTCTCCATACAAACTCCACTGGACATGGGTTACAGAGCCCAAGGTCCATGGTCCTGGTTTCATACAACCGATGCTGTTCCTCGGGAACCCGCTGTTCAACGGGGAGATGGGCCAAGAAAGCCTCCTCGAGCTCCATGGTATGTGTAGCAATGGCACTGTTTTCCTTCGTATTCCACAATCCTTCTTGTATCGGACACTGTTCCAAAAGCTTAATTGCGCGGCGTCGGATTAGAGGATGTCGACACTTCCTTGCGGTCAGATACAGAGCCGGAGCGATATCCGTTTCCAGCAAGAATGGACGTTGATGGTCTGCGGAGCTGAGCTGTTTGATTTCCTCTGACCATCCAACAATCTTTTCGAATTCATCATTGAAATTGTCGTACACCATCTCACTCGTGGAGTGAACGCCCAGGGTCCAAAATCGCAGGGTCTGGTGGTGCACCTGGATCACGAGAATGGCACGAGGATCTGGAGCCCGCTTCTTGGACCTGCTCAGTCGCTTTTTCATCCGTTCAAACGCTACCCACCAGGAATTGTACTGGCTCTCTAGCTGTTGCTGCATTTTCGCGCAACGCTGTGCCTCATGGTCAGGAACCAGTGGTTTGTTTTGATGTACATGCATGGAAAACCTGATCAAGACCATGGAATTAATCATGATCCGGTTCAAGACCGCCCTGGCTTCTGAGAGGCTGGTAAAAGCAGTTTCCTCAGTCGATCGCGGCTCTACGGGGGCCTCGTATGGGCTCAAAGGTCGTGCCCAGAAGGATATTTGGAGGTTCATTCGAGAGAAAAAGTGCGATAGATCCCGGTCTACGTCCGGCGGCAGTTGAGATGGGATTTGCTGTTGTTGGCGCTGGCATAGAATCCGCAACCCCGCCTCAATATGTTCCATGGCCGGTTCGAAGTTGAGCTTGAGAAACTCCAGACAGACAAATAAACTACAGGCGAGGAGCGCGTGTTCCGAAGACACAGACGGGCGGTTGAGGAGATGGTGGATGGCCTTGTTGTACTGCTGCAACTCGAACGGATGGGGAGGCTCCCTGCCCGTTGGAGATTGCAAACGGCGCCGATGGGCAGCACTAATCGCGGTGATTGCATGGCGGATTGCGCTGTCAGAATGGCTGAATTGGGGCAGATAGTATTCCCAGAGTTCGGACCCAAAGAAGCCAGACAGCGACTGGATCGTCTCGGTGCAAAACAAGTGGAAATGCTCGCGTTCTTCCCGTGTACCAGGGAGTAGAATCAGCCGCGAGTCGGTGCTCGGTGAGGGCCGTGGATTGGATTTGGTCACTCTCTGGCGCAGTTGGCTCTGCGAGAGATTCTCGTAGCCAGCGCACTTGCGACCGGTGCTCGTGCACTGGACACACTCGGGCTTTTCCTCTCCACATTTGACATGACGGAATCTGGTGTGTCAGCGCGATTCTAATGATTCAACGCCTATACACGTACTTGCAGGTGCTGCATCCGCCCTTGGAAATAGGGCCTCTATTTCTGCGGTGACTTTGTGACATAGCTAATGCGATAAGGGATGACTTGGGCAGAGATCGCCAATGATGCGTGCCACGTTCAATAACGATGCGATCCTTCTCTTAGTGCTGATTTATTGCGCTTCTTCAGCCGCAGCCTTGTCCGTTATGGCGTTTGTGGCTGTGTCTGGATTCCTCTCCGTGAAATGGTGAGATAACCCAGGACATGCTTATAGACTGGCATATTTCCAGCAATATCTATTAGAAATGATGTTTCTCCTCCATCATTAGCAGTATATCTGATTCGATCTGTGATCCAAGGAAGCCTCAGGAACAGAAGTATATATTTTGCCACTGACCCTGATGTGAGAGACACTACTAAATAACATTTCTGCGGAAGCTCGAGGACTTTCCAACCCCAAAGTCCCAACCCCGTGCTTCATGGGAATCGAAGACCAATTCCAGTACGACTCGCCGATGATATCTCCATAAAAACTATCCAATGGTCTGTCTTCATCAGCCTCGATTGACATATAACCACTACAAACGAGAGCGATGCACTCGGCCTCTATTTCTGACATGGAGCTCAGTCTCGACAAGGTTAAAGTAATAACTGAGGCTAAAAGTGTAAAGAATGCTATCAGGAGAGAAGGCAAACCCTCGTCAGCGACATTCAGAAATAATAAAAATTCCCGTGCAGTCCTATTGTTTGTGATTCAACTGTTGCGCGGAAATGCCCACTTACTACGCCCGTGGCGTGAATGGCAAGCAAAGAGGAAGATATTTCTCTCACGATCAAGTGTCAAAATGGACTCTGGGTTTAGCTATGACACTCTGCAAGACCCGGAAGCTATGATTCGTGTCTTGACTATTCTTCCAGGGGAGGAGTTTGAAGATGTACACTGTCGGCTCGAGAGTGCAAACCTTCACCAGGCAGAATATGAAGCTCTATCCTATACCTGGGGACATGATACAAGGCTAAGCCCGATCGCATGCAACGGAACGAGAATCAATATAACGCGAAACTTGAAAGAGGCTCTGCATGATCTCCGATACACGGATCGTCCAAGAGTGTTGTGGGTAGATGCGATCTGCATCAATCAGAGCAACATTTCGGAAAAGGAAAGTCAGGTAAAAATTATAGGAGATATTTACCACCACGCAAAGGGTACTATCATACACCTTGGGATGTTTTTCCCTGGGATCAACTTCGTCTTTGGAGCACTGCGTGCGTTCCATCGCGAGTACCAAACTCTCATGAAGGGGGGTATGGATCTGACAAATGTTTTCAGAAGTATATACCCAGAGATAGCTATCGAGGGGTACGCAAAGAAGATCCCGTTATACATTGCACTGTTGGCTGTAGGTATACTATCACCCATGCCATATTTTACTCGCATGTGGATTGTTCAGGTTAGTACAAACGCGGCGGTCGTTCTGTTGCCTAAATTGTCACTCAACATGTCACAGGAAGTTGCTCTATCACAAAACCTCCGAATTGTCTATGGGTGTCAGGAAATTGAATGGGATGTCTATAAAGAGGGGATGGTCATGCGGTCACTGATCATACTACCGCACTGTAATAACCTCTTGCATACCATCCACGACTCTACTGCGTTGCGCTTGATGGCATTACGACAGCAAGCCAGAAAATGCCCCTCACATCCTGAACTACATCTACTAAGTCTTTTGAACTATACACGTACCTTCAACTCCACGATAGCGCTAGACAAAGTCTATGGCGTATTCGGTTTAACCGCGGCCGACGTCAAGCTTGTCAACCTGCGACCCGATTACCGCAGGACGGCGGAAGAAGTTTATATCAGTGTTGCCCTCGGTTTATTGGCCGCGTCGGACAACCTTGATATTTTGTCTGTCCCACATCCAGACAAGCATGGCCTCAAGGACTCGCAGCTCCCATCATGGGTTCCGGATTGGAGTCACACAGCGTACTATCCCCGCACACTGGTATTCCAGAAGATAAATGACCAGACACAATATACACGGCAGCCTTTCAGTGCTTCCAAATGCTCTGTATACAGCCACAGACCCATCGACAAATCTTCGCTGCGGTGCATCGTTGTCCGTGGCTGCTTTCACGATTGCATTTCCTTCCTCACAAGTGCAATTCTCTCATCCTGCAATCCTGCAGACGTAGGTGCTGCATCCCTCGCATCCTACGTAAGTGGGTCTCGTATTTCACGCCCAAAAGTCATACAATGGATCATTCGTTACTCCTATGACAACTGCATGAAGAGAGTGAAGGAGGCCTACGAAAAACTAGAGTTATACACGTTTTTCAAATTCTACTCCGGTGGAGCAGCAAAATCCTACCCCCCCACAGGGGAGCCAATCATGCTTGCCTACTTGCGGACTCTGTGCTGCGGCTATCTACCGTATGAGGAAAAAGGCGCCAAATCTGCGTTTAAGGCCTGGTTAAAGAGTACCGAGGGCGTTCGGCATGACATGCGAAATGACCTGATGGAGATTGGCATCCCTTTGCCTGAATTAGGATCGTCGAAGGTGAATATCAACTCGTTGATGGGGATGGTGCTCGGTCGGCGCGTGCTGAGGACTCGGAATGGCTACATTGGATTGGCACCCCCTGGAGCCCAGAAAGGGGACCAGGTTGTGCTCCTTGAGGGAGGCCGTGTGCCGTACCTGTTGCGTAAGGTAGATGATGAATCCTATAAACTCGTTGGCGAATGCTATGTGCATGGGATCATGTATGGTGAAGCTTTCGATGAGAAAAGGTGCCGTGATATCATGCTTGTTTGAGGCTATCGCTGCTGTTTTTACTTGATGCATTCCTGATCCTCCTCGATCAAGTTCCGTATTAGCCTGAGCTGCTATGCCTACTAGGTAAATATATCCTCATCATGTCCCATCTCCTGCATTTGTCACTATATATAACCTGTTGGGAAATTGGTTGCCTTAGGCCCTGCCCCCTCTGAGCGAGGAAATGAGCGGCTTTTCGGCCACATTAGTAGTAGACCATCCACCTTTTTTCACCTCTCTTCAAGAGGCTTAGGAGATAGAGAAATTGAAGCTTTTTTACTTGATTTTATTATTACTAGATTCCTCACTGCATCGAAATCCTCAATCGGTTATGAGCCCCGGTCAGGCTCTCCTTTGAAGCCGCTGGGATCTATACTTCATCACTAAAGCCCTGAGAATCTATATTTCGAGCTATAAATCGCTGCACGAGGCCCTAGGTCTTATTAATATATAATATCGTGTTGAAGCAGGAGAAAGGTCGAAATTCACGTAGAAGAGATGGCGGAGACAGAGAGCTAGTAGCTATAATTATAATAATCACTGTCGAGGACTCAAGTCACTAATCTCTATATAAAATCTCCCGATAGTTTAGAGGGCGTCGCTATAAAGTTAGAACACCCCAGCCTAATCCAGCTATTAGGCAAGGGAACGCACAACTCATGAAAATAGCTGAGATGAAGTGGTGGGAGCGCTGCCATCGCCTAATAGAGTCTTGATTATGATCTGTTATGTAGACACAGGATTAAGATAGTTAGCAGAGCGGTACCTAAAGAATGTGAGCGTTATGCCTGGGCGTGACAGCTTTACACTAATACCGAATATAATTATGCAGGGGCAGGGGTAGAGAGTGGCATAAGCAATAAATTCCGCAAGTAAATAAAAATCAAAAATTAAAAAAATAAAAGCAACCAGTTGTAGTATAATAATTACTGTACAAGTAACCTCTAGAAGCCCCGAGTAAGTCCCAGTGCTTTCTGGCTCTGGATGACGTACAGCAGCTAGTGGGGTCCTGGGCGGGCAACAAAAAACTCCGCCCGTAAAAAAAAAGCACACGCGGGGTACTTCACTTTACCAACTTCAATCTTGAGCACAGCGTACAATCGGTCGTGCTACCTCTTTATTTTACTACTTAAATTTACGAATTACATATTACATATTGAACAAACGGACAGCCCGTTTCAACCGCCAAAATGTCGAAGCCCTTTGACCCAGAGACGGCGGAGAACTTCGAGGACGTACGTACCATGCGACCTGGACTTGAGGAATGCAGGAACAAGTGGCTAACAACAAGTGTAGATGGAGAAGCAGTTTGCCGTGAAAGGTAATCGCAGTCCGATTCCATCCTGCCCCCGATCATTACTCACACTCTCCAGCGGTCGAACACCTGATGACGTACTGGTCGATTCTCGAGAAGGTTCGCGGCTCGCAGCTCCGATTGACGAAGATCGACGACGAAATCTACGAGGACTTCAAGAAGGAATTCCCCGACTTCGATCCCAGCGCGACGATCAACGAGGATGAGATGAAGAGCAAGGAGGGCAAGGAGAAGTGGCGCAACTGGATGAACAAGTACGAGGAGAAGGTTGCCGACTTCAACTTCGGCACGATGCTGCGCGCGAACCCCAGCGTTGAGTATGAGCAGGAGACTACGATCTTCGGTGCGTGATATCTGTTTGAAAAGATTTGGCTCGGTGCGATGATGTGCGACGGATGGATGGCTAACTGGCAGGACAGCTTTGCGAATGCAGTTCTACGCGATTGAAATCGCAAGGTGAGTTTTCTTTCCTGCCGCAATCGGTCGATGAGAATGAGTGTGCTGACTAGGATGCTCTAGGAACCGTGCTGGCTTGAACGATTGGGTCTATGAGAAGAACCATCCCGGCGAGAAGGCTTAAACACTCTGTGCTCTCGCGATAAAACCACCTGCTCTGAAAAGACATACTAGATTCGGGACGGCTCGGCCTTGCAATGGTCGCGCGGAGGGCGTATAGTATTGTTTGCGACACTAGAAGCATGTTGCCCTATCGGTATCTCAGTCAGGTGGGCTACACATGGCGGATGAAGACAGTCTCGAATCTCCCTGGCATCAGCGCTATTTAGAAGTCCTGGAACCAAATATGTACATACAATATATCATTGCCTCCTTGATGGGAATATAACGACGATAAATGGCATGGCACATGGCTAGCCGGGAAACCCCGACATGCCCGAGAACAATGGCAGTGGCGGACTGATTATTCTTTGACCAACTCTCGTCTTCAATATTACCGCATTTGGACAAGGGCAAAATACATACCTCCCCCCGTTGCATCAGACCGACCAAATTGAATATTCTGTGAGAATGGCAGCCATTATATTGTCTCTTTCTCCACTCTTTCCATTCGTTCCTGTCCCAAATTCAAAATAGATATACCGCTAGGGCGATGCTTTGAGCTATACGATTCCACCCACAATACTGCATACTGCCAGTGTTGATCCAAGGGAGCTCGCTATGAAGTCAGAAGGATTTCTCCGACGTTGGACGAAATGGAGTCCTGCGTGGACGGCTCTCTTTAGCTTCACAACTAAAAAGCATGCCCCAATCCTGACGTTAGCCATGGCTTCTGCTCTCATTGCCAGCTTCACCACCCCCATCTTTTCTGTACTACTCGGCGAGATGTTCGACCTGTTTACTCTGTACGGCGGTGGTAAAATCAGGGGCAGTGACCTGATGGACAAGATGACCACGTATACACTCGGCGTTGCTGGTCTCGGGGCCGCAGGGTGGCTCTTCAATGCTTCCTACTTCATCTTGTTTGTGACATTCAGCGAGCTCCAAGTCGCAAATGCGAGAAATAGCGTGTTTGAGGCGCTTTTCAAGAAGAGTCAGGAATGGTTTGAAACACAGCCGGATGGAACGAGAGTGTTCCTATCTAGTTTACAGGAGTAAGTTTTCCATCGTCATTGCTCTGTCCGTCTAGTTAAAAGCAGAAGCCAATTGCACGAACTGCAAATGGCTACATCACAGCCTCTCGGCCTCGTCGTCCAGTACTCCTTCCGAACAATCGTATCTCTAGGTCTGGCGTTCTACACCTCCTGGAGCCTATCGCTGATCACCTTGGCTGGGATTCCCGTCTTCTCGGCCATCATATCGTTTCTCTCGTCCAAGATGAAAACCAGCATCGAAGGGCAGCAAAAAGAGCTAGCGAGCATGTCAAGAACGGTCAACATAGCTACCGGCTCAATAGACACAGTGAAGTGCTTGAACGGCCAGGCCTTCGAGCTGCGGAACTTCACCCACGGGATGGAAATGGCCGCTCAACACTATCTAAGACAGGCACGCCTCAACTCCTTCCAAATAGCGACAATACGACTGATGATGTTCAGCATGTTCGTCCTGGGCTTTTGGTACGGTAGCACACTGGCTACGTCTGGGAAACTGTCGGCTGGTGAGGTTGTCAGGACATTCTGGGCGTGCTTGACAGCTGCCCAGTCCATCGAGATGGTCTTACCCCAGGTTTTGGTGCTGGAAAAGGGCAAGGTAGCGGCATCTGCTATGAAGACGGTCATCGACGACCCGGCTGAGAAAAGGCAAGACACGAAGGAATTGTTATATCCACAGTTCTGTGAAGGCGATATTGAAGTGAGAAATGTGAGTCATCCAGTCACCATTCTATCAGCACCACACTCTAATAACAGCCATAAGTTGTCCTTCGCGTACCCAAACACAGACATACTGAGCCTGAACTCCGTGAACTTCTTCTTCCCCGCAGGAGAGACAACTTTCGTTATCGGGAAGAGTGGTTCAGGCAAAAGCACCCTGGGACAGCTTCTCGCACACTTTTACCTGCCAACGACAGGCGAAATCCGCATTGACGGCGTGCCCATGCAGACACTGAGCGTGGACTGGATCCGAAACAATGTCACAATCGTTGAACAGCGCAGCGTGTTATTCAGCGAATCGATATTTATGAACATCGCATTTGGACGCAGAGACTACGACCAGATCAGCAAGGGCGACGTGCAGGAGTGCATTGACCTGGCGATGCTGCAGAGCACGATCAACAACCTTCCCAGTGGCATCGACACCTGTGTTGGGACTGGGGGGAGTTTCCTCAGCGGCGGTCAGAGACAGAGAGTGGCGATTGCAAGGGCCAGGTTAAGGGATACTCCTATCCTCATATTGGACGAGCCCACCAGTGCCCTCGACGGCGCCAATCGCGTCGAAGTCATGAAGGCTATTCGGAGATGGCGCAAGGAGAAGACCACTATCATGATCACCCACGACATGTCGCAGATCCAAGATCAGGATTTCGTATACATCATGGAGCAAGGGACCGTGGCGCAGGCTGGATACGGTAATGAACTCAAGAGTGATCCGCGATCAGCGCCACTCTTCGCTTCCGTCGACAGGGAAAATCGATCGGAGGTTACAAATGCGACCGACAAAGAGACGTACGGCGCTTCCGGGTCTTGCGATGACGTCTATCTCTCGGATTCGTCGGTTGACTCCATGGGCAATGAGGACTGGAGGTATTCGGGGATGTCCAAGGCTATAGCCGGAGGCACCTACTTGTGGGGATCCCGACCTAACACAAGAGACCATCGCCGCTCTTCCTATCGATCTTGGCGAAGTCCAGTCCGCGCAGACTCCCATTTATTGCGTATCTCGCTCAGTTCCCCAATGTATGAGCTAGATACACTAGGGAATGATGGAACGAGACCCAAATCTACAGCCAGCCACCTCCCTGCACGGGTACAGCCGACTCCACCAAAACGTCGAAAGCGAAGATTTCCATATTCACGGAAAACAAATGCCCCAAAACCTCAGGACACGGCGTCTCTGCGTCGAATCATGAAGACTATCATTCCGAGTCTCACAAAAAAGCAACGTGTGGCGCTTCTCTTCGGGTGTATCAGCACATTAGTCCACTCGAGCGCGACGCCCGTGTTTTCCTACTGTCTCTCCCAGCTACAAGTGTCCTTCTACAAGCCAGGCCAAAGTGCCACAAAGTGGGCGCTGGCAGTATTGGGCGTGGCGATCTGCGACGGCACAGTATCGTACTTCATGCACTATCTCCTCGAGCTCTGTGGCCAAGCCTGGGTAGACAGCCTTCGAAAGAGCGCTTTTCGGCGAATCATCGACCAGCCGCGGCAATGGTTCGAAGACGAACGGAATAGCCCCTCCCAGCTAAGCACCAGCCTTGGGCAAGACGGTGAGGAGCTGCGGAACCTGGTTGGCCGCTTCGGAGGCTTCGTGCTAGTGGCTGTCTCCATTGCCATCATGTCTGTGATCTGGAGCATGGTGGTGTGCTGGAATCTCACCCTTGTTGCGCTGGCCTGTGGGCCTGTTATATATGCCATCACGCGGGGGTTCGAGAGCACGAGTGGACTGTGGGAGCGACGGAGCAATGATGCCAGTCGTGGGGTATCGGAGATATTTGTCGAGACGTTCGCGGAAATTCGCACCGTCCGGACGCTCACGCTCGAGCCGTTCTTTCACAAGAAGTACATCAAGGCTGCTGCGAAGTGTCTGAGTGTGGGCCTCAGACGAGCTGGTTATGTAGGGATTCTGTTTGGTCTGGTGGAATGCACTGTCATTCTCGTGAGCGGTATGTAGTAGACCCATGGGAGGACGGACATGTCACTGACGAGGCTCCCTTAGCGTTGATATTCTACTACGGCGCTGTGCTGGTATCGTCTTCGCGATTCGCCGTTGAGGACATCATGACGGTCTTTTCAATGCTTCTATTCAGCATTGGGTATGCCAGCTCAGTGCTGGGTTGGAGTGAGTTCCTCAATGCTCTGTCTTTGCACCCAACTAACCGTGTGTAGTCCCCCAGATCAGTACCTCGCGTGATATGGGCGCACGTCTCCTGCGCCTCGCCAGCCTCCCCGAGGGCGCATCACACGAACACCTAGGCGTACTAGGCGTGGCCAAAACCGCCCCGGTAAAGATACTCCGACTGAACTTCCGGTACCCATCACGCCCTGAGGCACCGGTCCTCCGCGGCGTCTCCATAACCATACCCAGAGGCTCGTGCACCGCCATCGTCGGTCGCTCAGGGTCGGGTAAATCAACGATCGCATCGTTAATGCTGGCGTTATACGAATCGCCCGAGGCTACCGACGGCGGCCCCCCGGCTCTCTCCCTCGACGGGATCGACATCAGACGCTTGCACACCCCGACCCTCCGGTCCCTGATATCCGTAGTCTCACAACAACCAACCATCTTCCCAGGAACAATCACATCCAACATCTGCTACGGGCTCGACGAGTCATCCACCCTCCGCGAACCGCACAACGTCCGCGCCGCCGCCACGGCGGCGGGGATCGACGAGTTCATCATGTCCCTCCCAGACGGGTACTCCACGGTCATCGGAGACGGCGCTGTGGGGATATCAGGCGGGCAGGCGCAGCGGGTAGTGATCGCACGGGCGCTGATTCGACGGCCTCAAATCCTGATTCTGGACGAGGCCACGTCTGCGCTCGACCCGGCTAGCGCTGAGGTCATCCGGCGGACGGTTCGGGGATTAGTTTCTGCTCGGTTGGGTCTTACTGTTATTATCATTACGCATGCGAAGGAGATGATGGATATCGCGGACAACGTGGTTGTTCTTGAGCAGGGCTGCGTGGTGGAGAGGGGTCCGTATGAGGTGCTTTCCAAGCGGGCTGGGGGGAAATTGAGAGCGTTGATTGAGGATGGAGGGGAGGATATGTTTGATGACTGAATACCTAGGGAGGGTATAATGAGAACAATCTCTTCCCAAAGCCCTATACATCTCTAATGAGAGTGGGGAGATACCGTTGTAGTGATACAGATGCTATGGAGGGCATAACATAGCATAACTGGATAACAGTCATTAGTAATCTATGCAATCTATGTGTCTGCCTCAGGCATTGTTCTAAAAATGGAATGGCTTTGTCGCCTGAAAAAACGGTTCGTCCAACGTGGATTTCCCAACTCCAGTTGGCGACCCACGGTACAGTTGTAGGAAGAGAAAATATTTACATTCAGAATGTTAGCATCCTGAATATAATTATCTTCTGAGTTTAATCTGAAATCTAGAAAGTCATCAACATCTGGTCGAATTCTTTATCCCTCAGACTCAGCCACCCAGCCACACGAGCAAACCCCATAGATCGTCCAGGTTTGTTCAGTCTCCATAACGCGCTGCTCTTTCAACATCTGATTCGTCTAAGATGACCCCCCCTGATGTCGCTGATTAGTCGACTGTGAAATCATCCTCTCATCTGTCTGAGACTAATCAATAATCCGTTGTGGTATCGCCTGCCTCTCGCTTTGTTTCCCTTCTGCCTGGCCAACCCACCCCTTACCATTCTCCCTCTCCGGTTTGATGCGACCGCTGATCCTTGCCTGCACCTTGCGGGTTTTGCGTCAAGGGCTTTATATGCGGTTACCAGGGTTCGGACAGATGCAATCAATATAGGCGACCCGCCTGGCCCCATGTCATCCTGATCGCCGGCCACTAGGAAGCCTTGCGTCGTTCTGTTACTGCTCCACTTCCACCTCATCCGCCTTTTCCCGTTGCCTGTCTTCAGGCGGCCAATTCTTTTCCACACCTCTTCCAGAATCCGGAGTTAATCGTTCATCGTCTGTTTCTACTTGGCTACATGCTTGTCGTCTGAGGTTTTGTCTGGGCTGTCGCTGCTCCAGACGCTTCGGCATGTTTCTTCCACCCCCTTATCGCCTGTTGGTGGCTCGTGAGGCGGCCTCCAACCCAGACGCGACCCAGGACACCCCAAATCCGAAGAAGAAGACGAATATCTTCATCATCGTGAGTTTGGCCTCCCCGCAATCCCCCCACAGTATTGGGTTGAAACAGTGACTGACGTCTGATCGGATCGATAGTGTGCCGCGTGTATCGTCTTCTCCTTAGCCTTGATTGTTATGATATACTTCGTTCTACGCAGTCTCCGTCGAATGAACTGTCGCCCGAGATACGTGCCCGGGAAATTCCTAAAGAGTCGATGGAATCAGTGGAACGCGGGAGGGGCGTCCTCATATGGCCAAGTCTCCGACTCGCCGTCCTCTCGAAATGGGAATCGATCCAACAACACCGCATACCAAGGCGCCGCGGAAATGAATCCCGGCGGGGAAGTCCGCCGCGAGACATCCGTCCGATCGGTGATTACGCTGCCTGCCTACTCGCCCAGCCCGAAGCCCAGCGAACAGGTCATCGCCCGGGAAGGAGAACGAGGCGGCATGGATGTTGTGGTTGAATTTCCCGAGACGGCGGAAGAAGAGGAGAATCGCCGGGAGGAACTCATGGAGTCGCTCTATCAGGTCCGCGAACAGCGCCGGCGAGAAATCGCGGAGCGAGAGGCCCGCCGCCAGGAGCGCCGGGAAGCCCGTGCCCGCGGTGACTACATCCGCCTTGAACAGCTGAGACAGCAGAGCCGCGCCCGAGCCCGGAGTCGCTCGTCAACCAACGGGAGCAGTAACTCGAATCTGGCCCACGCGGAACACCAAAGCCGTGGCCGTGACCAGCGGATCGCCAGCGTCAGCTACGCCGAGCTCGGTCGCGTCCGTCATGATGGGTCGCGATTGCGTGCCACCTCGCCCGACTCGGACCGCCGGCCCCTATTGACCTCAGATGGGCCCGATCAACGGTCCACGTCGAGCCTGACCAACGTTCATTCTCGAGGAGAGTCGTATTCGTCCATCGGCTCTGATACGGATAGCTTGACCCCCGTGCAGTCCCAAGCGATCTCCATGCACTCGGTCGATCCGGCCACGACCGCTCCCGAAGATGGCGATGTGGGCGCGTGCAGTATCCCTCCCCCGCCAGACTACGACCATCTGGACTGGGGCGACGCGCCGCCCTACCAGAGCCCGATCGCCGACCGCGGGGAGGGTCCTCCCCAATTACCCCGGTTGACACCACTGCCTTCGATCCAAGTGGACGCAGCCAGTCCGATCAGCAACACGCCAGCGACGCCGACCGTGCCGTCCCAGTCCCAACGGCACGACCCAGGTCCAGCGGAGCACCCTAATACACACACCACTAATTGATCGTCTCTGGTCGACTTATATTCCTGTCATCTATCGTGGAGCACCAGACTACATGATCTGGACTATCATCGCTTCTATATAACGAGCACGACACCTCACGAGACTTTGATTCCCACCTTGTTCATTTTTTTTTTATTTTCTTTCTTAGCTACTTATATTTCCTGTGTTTCATTTCTTGACGGCTCATTAGAGTACGCACGTTAGCGAGGCGTTCGGTGGCATCATGGGCTTCGGGCCGATCTGTGTATAGGGGGAATGGGTTATTTTGGTCATGATGTTGATTTTGGACAGGGCTGGGCTGGTGCATATAACTGTGTAAATGAAATTGCCCGGATAGACCATGTATAGACCATATTAAACATTACTGAGACTAAACCAGTGCAGACCTAGTCAGGTACATCGGGCAGATGCCAACTGGCAAAGTGGGTTGGGAAGGCGGTCGGCAGCTCCACTTGAGGTAAACAAACCACTTCACTCCAACCTCGCGCATTTCTTCCCGTCAGTTTCCCACCGCAACTCCATACGTTTTGATCAGTGTGGGTTGACTATTGTTGGTGTTATTGCCCATTCTAATTGACACATCTCTCCATCGATCGAGCCTTCTCTTTCCCTTTCTATCGACGACTGACTCGTTCCTGAGTCCCAAGTTTAAACACTCCCGTTCGTTACCGTGGTTTCAGGGACCGCGCCTGACGCGCTGCTCTAAACATTCCTACGTGCATCATCGACGCGGACGTGGGTCATTGTTCGGATTGATGTCCATCTAGTCGACCTTGACCTCCTATTTTCTGCAGTGTAAACTTACACTCCTATCATCCCCCGGGACGTCGCGTCACCCCCGACCGACATGTGCCACGACCACACTGCGAATAGCTTCGCGTCTTTTGGCTCAGACTTTGACCCTCAGCACGAGGCACTTGAATCGACCCGGGAAATTCCCGAGAGCCCCAATCTTCCGGATATGAACGGCAGTGCGCGGAAACAACACCTAGCTATGGAGGAGGAAGAGCCCGACTACGTCTTTAACACCTCGACCATGGAACGCGTCTTCCCCGAGTTTTCACAGATCGGCACGTCGGAGGAGGAGAACGGCCAGGATGACGACGACAGTATTTCCATCGAGGCCGGACGCGGGCCCACGAAGCCGACGCGTCGTTTGGACGACTCCCGCAACTCCTATCCTAGCATCGACAACAGCATCCGGTCGTCTTCTCCGGCCATCCGACTGGATTATCCCACGCAGACCCCGCCCAAGTCGGCCCTTCGTAACTCGGGGCGTCGCGCTGTCAGTGAAAATCTTCGGAAGGACGCTCAGCTGCGGCGCGCCAGCCTCGCCCAAAAGGAAAATCTCGACCTGCAGTCCAAGTCTAACCGCCGGGATCAGCGACGGACGCTGTCGGAGATGCATGCGAAGGTCCGCGATGCCTACGACGGCTCTTACATACTTGACGAAAGACCGGCAGCGGTCGCCAACAGTGCACGGCCGACACGCTTTGGCAACGGGAACCTGTCCCACCAAATCGCAGACGCGGTCGAGCGCGCGTCCCAGGACGCTTACGCGCGTGAGGTCCGGAAGGGCAAACTTCCCAATGGGACGGGCACGCCTATGAGAACCGGCGGGGATACCGGCACCCAGCAGTCCTTCCTTCTTCCCGACCTTCCCAATCTGTCCGAGCTTGTTTCGGGCGTGTACGAAGACGGCACCCCCGTTTACTCGCGCAGCAAGGCGCGAACCACGCGATTCGTGTCTCCTCCGCATGATGCCACCGAATCATCCTTCACCCGCGAGCACATGCCCCTTGATGCAGTGCCCATCCCGGAAGATGAGAAGGCCCTCTTTGTCTCACTCAGGCTCCTTCAAGATAAGGTGGCTGAGCTCGAACGCGGTAAGGCCGATGCGGAACGACGCATCGAAGATATGAAGCACGAGAATGCCTCCGTTAGAGTGGGCAAGTCCCGCCAGAAGGACAAGAGCAGCCGATCTAGGACGTATGAGTCGGAGGAGGACGACTACAGAAGGGAGCGCATTGCCAAAGAGAATCAAAGTAAGCATGTCTTGTCATCGTTCTACTTCCATGTACTAACCACGCGCAGAGCTGGAAGCGACCAACTTGGCTTTGCAGAACAAACTCGACCTCGTTGAGCGAAAGGCCGAAATTCAGGACGCGACTCTGAAGCGCTTGAACCGGGAGCGGGACATGGCAGTCTCCCAGCTGGGAGTGGCGTATCTCGAATCGCAGGATCTCAAGAGTGACAATGAGACTCTCCGCCGGGAGAATGCGGAGCTACGAGCCGCGCTCGAAAAGCTCGGTTTCTCCGTCAAGAACCGTGAAGTTACCCTTCAGTCGGAGCAGACCTCTGCCAGTGAGGACAGCGGAGACAGCCAGGTCGATACCCGACAGAGTGCCAATGTCAGTCGCACCACGAAAGAGCTTACGTCCAAGAGCCGCTCGCGTTCTAAGAGTGGACGGCGCGAGGAATCTCGCCGAGTTTCCAACCAGGTTGACAAGGAGATCTCGCGGCTGGAGAAGGAGCGGGCGGAGGAAGCCCTCTTCTCCATCGACGTGCCTCGCTCTAGGGAGGCTACGAGGACTGACAAGTCCGAGACTCGTCGCTCGAAGAAGCAGTCCAACACTGGCAAACAGCGCGTCAAGCGCGTTGTCGTCGAGGAGGTGGACATCACTGACCCTGTCGAGTCTACGGGCGAAGCGACTGGAAACACCAAGAAGTCTGGAGCGGATCGTGACCTCACGTTATTGAGCTTTGTTGATGTAAGTTTCTTACTTCTATTTTCTTGGCCCCTGCTAATGTTTTCATAGGAGCGTGAAATTGCGCAGTTGCGAAAGACACTGGAGGAGGAGCGCCTTTCTCGGAAGAAGCGCCAGTCCATCACGATCAAAGACCCCACTGAGAATGACACGGAGCGCTCCAAGGTCTCGCGGCCCGTCCCGCGCAAGTCGTCCCTGAAGGAAAGCAAAAGCGTTCCCGCCAGGCCCACCTCCGCCATGGGCGATTTGACGACGACCTCCAAGGTCAGCGTCTCGGAGAGCAACCTGTCGGTTCCCATTGAGAGGCCTAGACGCCACTCGGACCACGCGGCGACCCCCCGCCGGCGTCAGCGCATCGCCGACGATGTGACGTCGGCGTTCATTCTGCCCGACATCACCTTGCACGGCGCCCACCTGGCTGCTGAGAACCCCGGGCATCTTCCCGAGGCGGCCCAGCGGGCGCTGGATGGCGCCACGCGGCACGTGGGGAAGAACTGCACGGTCTGCAAGCGGACTGATTCTTGTGACCACACCCAGAGCTCCGTCAAGGTTCCCAAGCCGGTTCCAGTGTCTGAGCGCATGCCGGAGCCATCCCTGTACAACCCAGAACCGACCATCCGGCCCTCGCAGCCTCCATCCGTTGCTCTCGCAACCGTTCTGAAGTCGCTAGAAGACGAGCTGTCCCATCTGAAGATGCAACTGATCACCTACCAGGGTGCGTACAACAAGCTAGACGCGTCCCTAAGCAAGCGCCAGCGGAAGACCCTCGGCGAGAAGCTCGAAAAGCTGCTCAAAGACATCGACATGAAGTCGGACCAGATCTACGCGCTGTACGATGTCCTCGAGGGCCAGAAGGACAACCTGCAGGAGATGACCGAGCAGGAGATGGAGGTGACGCTCCAGTCGATCGGTATCGACCCGGGACGCGCCGCGGACGTCACAGGCACGACGGATAAGTCGTCTGTCCGGCCGACGGAGGATGACGATGATGAGGAGCTGCCGTGGGAGGGAATTGAGAGCACTATTGATACGACTGGGCGCAGCCGTCATAATTGACCATCTCTTTCGATTGGTATCTGATGGAGTGGTCCGTGTATGTCCTGATTACGTTTGTGTTCTTGGTCGATGTTTACTGGCATGGATAATGGATGTGGAGACTGTTGAGATGACTCGTTCCTTGAGGTTGGCTGTGTTGATTAACCGTATGGACTATCCGCGGCTTTGATCTCGTTCCGAGGGTCTTTTATCTGTCGTCCATGAGTTGGTGTATTCTCGTCACGGAGGTCTATCATACTGTCGTGCCGTTAGTTGGTGTTGTATTGGCTTTGATCAAGTTGTGGGGGTCGTTTTAACCCTGTGGTACCATGAGTTAGTTGGTGTTTATTTGCCCCTTGCTGGGTTGGCGTTGATGGTCGCATTGTATATTAGCATTGTTGTTGGTTTATGGCATTGATTCTATCACCTTGACTTGTAGATCAGTAAGTTACTTCTGTTACTGTTTTGAGCTGTGAACTCCCTGCATCTATACCATATTCTATCATAATAATCTAACCAAACGGAAGTCCATCTCCGACAAACAATCCAATGATCCTACAGGCCCGTATCCCCTATCCCAGCATCAACATCCAACCCCAGCAACAATGAATAATAACAGATATCCATAACAATAGCCAAGCCCCCCTCATCCCCCACCCAGATCAGCGCGCGGAGATCCCCAAACGAGCGTTTCAGGGCCAGAAACATCCCCGCTTCTACTAGCAGCGACGTCACCCGGGGGTGGTATTTCGTGATCGATTCCCAATCATCGCGCTCTGAGGTTGCATTCTTACCGTGGGCTGTGTGCCGGGTTCCGGGTGTTGGCTAGTTGGGTTAGATCTCGGTGGTTTATTGATACTTATTGGGTGTGTTTTGGCTGTCAGGGCATAGATTAGCGAGGGGACGTAAGTTGGTGACGTTATTGCGTGCTTGCGACGCTATACGTCTAGTTTGTGGTGGGTTGGTTGGAGGGCTATATAACCTGGCAGAACCACGGAGTATGATCTTATTGTACAGAATATCCTTCAATACTCTGCTCAAATGGCTCCTCTCTTGAACCCCGCGCTTCCTGTGCGCTCTGTGTCCAAAGGACCAGACGCCCATACCGACACCGAGCACGTCCAGTATCCTACCCCGTTGCAGAGCAGTGGTGCTTTGGATAATTTTGCGTTTGAGGAGACGACTCCTGCTATTGGGAGAGAGTACGCCGATGTTAATATCGTTGATGATCTTCTCCATGCTCCGAACTCTGATGAGCTGGTGCGCGATCTTGCTATTGCTAGTATGTTCCTTTCCCTTCTCCTCCCCGCGCGACAATCCTAACGACTACCAGTCTCCCAACGAGGCGTCGTCTTCTTCCGCGCCCAAGACAACCTCACCGACGATCTCCAAAAAGACCTCGTCCAGCGCCTAGGCCAAGCAGCCGGCAAACCCGCCGACTCGACGCTGCACATCCACCCCGTCCTAAACAACACAAACGAGTTCGGCGTCCCCGACGCCCAAGTCAGCACGATCAGCTCACTCGCGCGCAAGAAGATGTTCCGGCACGGAGCCCAGTCCAACAAGCGCCATTACGACTCCGCGCAATGGCACTCGGACATCCAGTTCGAAGCCGCCCCGGCAGACTACACCTCTCTGCGCCTGACGCAGCTGCCCAGCTCCGGTGGCGACACACTCTGGGCGTCTGGCTACGAGCTGCTGGACCGCTTCTCGCCGCCCTACCGCCGCTTCTTCGAGTCTCTAACAGCGACTTTCATCGGCGAGGGCTTCCTCCGAGCTGCAGCGGACGACCCCGAGAACGTCAAGGTGTACACCGAGCCCCGCGGGAACCCGCTTAATATCGGCCCTGATCTAGCAGCCGTGCATCCTATCGTCAGGACGAACCCTGTGACGGGGTGGAAGACGCTGTTCGCGCTGGGCCCGTTCCCGCGCCGCATTAACGAGCTGAGCGCGGAGGAGTCGGATGAGTTGCTGGGGAAGATTTATCGTACCGTGCGTGAGAATCATGATCTCCAGGTGCGGTTTAAGTGGAGGAATCCGAATGATATTGGTATGTTTTTTATATCCCCCTCCCCCCTTCCCCCCCCTTTTTTTTCTGCTTTCCCAAACTTCTTTCTGTCCCCCCCCTTGTCATTACTATCTATAAAAGAAAACAAAAAAACTGACTGAACAGCCATCTGGGACAACCGCTGCGCTTTCCACACCGCAACATTCGACTACGAAGGTCTCGGCGAGCGATTCGGTCACCGCGCTGTTGGGATCGGCGAGAGACCGTATCTGGATCCGAATAGTTTGACGAAGGAGGAGGCGTTGGCTGCTGCTAGTGGGAGTGAATAGTCAATATATTTTCTTCTCTTTTATTTTCACGGTTTACATGTTGTGATGGTCTCTAGTAGCCTCTGCTGTCATGAGCTGTTCTGTTGTAGGGAGGTAGTTTGCTAGGTACCTATAGTTAACGGGCTTTGTCTGATTTGTCTTGTATTCTAACTCATGTCGTTATTTTGTCTAATGTAGACTGTAGGATCGTGGCTGTTTGCTGTTAGGAGTTATGCTAAACTGGTCTATATTGCTAGGGTAGTACTCTTGGATGGCCCTGCAGTCTCAGAATAATTAGATCTGGCAGCTGCCAAGGCAGTGCCTCTATCAATCCACCGTACATTGAAAACATTCACCATGCTGGGTATCAGGGGTCGTACACAACGAGGTACATACATAACCATCTGTCGCTCTGAATATATGGGTTGCTCATGTACCAAGACCAAGAAGTGCCATTATATCTTTCGTATCCAAGCGGTAATTCTTGCAACATCATCTTAGCTGAAGACTACAGCAGAAATTACAAAGCAAATAGACAGTCGAGACATTATACCAGGGAAGAGAAACTAAGATGTGCCACCCATCTAGCTCTGAGACCACGAGTCATACCACCTACCACGCGCCCCCCACCATCTTCCCCATACAGCATATTCCATGATCAAACCCCCATAGGCCACGCGCAGTTCAATCTATTTTGAGCCGGGCTGCATTGGCAAGGCTTCCTTCCATGCTTATGAATACAAATACAGCCGCTTTCGATCTTCTCGGCAACCGAAGTGCCACCGCACTTGTCCCCCGCGCAGCAGGTATTGATCAGATCCTCGGCGACACCATGCGCGGTGGCAGCGTTCGCTTCCACGCCATTAGGGATCCATTCGATCTCGCAGTTGCCCGACGACCAGGCACCGTTTTCGTTGCCACTTAGTTTGCCGGTGTTGGTCATTTTGTTGATCGCGGCGCGGCAGTCCGAGGTCGTCCCTGGGTAGCATTCGCTGTTGCAGACGTGTTTGGCAGTCGCGGCAGTGGCAAGGAGGGCCAGGGCGAGGGATTTGAAGTGCATTTTGAAGGAGGGTGGGTTCTTTTTTCAGAGAACGATTGATTGGATTGGAATTTTTGTCTTGAGGATGGAGAAGTTGGTTTCTCTCTGGGGTGACTGAATGAGAATACTGGAGTATGATATCGATAGATGAGGGCAGTTGCTGGCGTATTTATATCTTTTCCATTTGTCGTCGTCCTCGGCATTCTTGCTTCATTGGTGATAATTCTGGATAGAGTACGAGGCATGTACAGTCAACTCCTCGCGGACCAACACAGAACTGGCGATCAAGTTGGGCTGTACCCAAGAGGAGTTTCTGCTTTTGGCTATATCCACAGGGGAAGATGGAGATTCCCGCCTTTGACACTTTTAACAGGAGCCCAAAAACCGAGAGGAGTATCTACTTCGGGCAATAGCCAGAGAGTGAGATACTTCCGAGATGGTCATGTTTTATTCTGGAAGGATCGCTAGTTGAAGCTTCTGTACTGTTATCCTATCAGAGCTATCCCCCCCCCAACGAAGACCCTGGGGCCAAATATGAAAGCTGTGTAAGATCCATGTGCCTAGAAGATGCTCGAGGAATGGTATTTTCGTCTGTATAGCTCGAGCATTCGTTCCTTACAAGTGTGTATATCTCATGGTGTATCACTTGGTGTATCAATATTCGACTCGGTAGTAAACTTTGTCGCAACAGAAGGTCTGGAGCAGTCTTCTTGACCATCTCAAAAAGAAGATCGTCTCATGGATGCTGACCAAGGATGTTTCACTAACGTAGCTTAATCCTTCGCCTAGAAGTCACTGGTTCGCCCCATGGTGAACCCACGGAGCTATGGGTCTTGGCATGGTGGCTATGGTCAATGCCAGAAAAAGCGCCCCTATGTTGGTAAGACTTTCTAGCCCTCCCATTAGCTAGAGCTCCTTCATCCCTCGAAAGGTAAGATCCAGCGTGCCCTGATAATCCTCGGTCACACGCATATCAGCCGATAGATACCCTCAGCATCTTTCCGTCGACAGATTGAACAGTTAGAATAATAGATACTCTACCCTGTAGTGTGGTCAAGTCAATCTGCAAATGGCTGCTTCAAACAACTTGAGTATCCAGCAAGCATACCCACCAGATCAAACCGATCTATATCAATCGGTGCTTGAGGAACAAGCGGCTCCACCCGCGCCATGTGGAGCCTGGTGCGTCTTGGCGTCTTGGCATCGCGTGCCTCGAACCATTTCTTCCTCATCGATTCTGCATTGACCAACCTCTTCCTCTTCACCTTTTTTCTTGCGTCATACGCTTCTCGCATCGGTGATCTTTTGATTCTGACTTATGCTAATGAGCCTTTATGCGTCCATCACAGCATGACACCCGCTCCTCTGTCGACAATGTACCCACCACAGGCGAAGTAGCCGGCCAGCACCATGTGCCGCCCCGAGATCCCCACGGTTCACCGGGCCGGGACGTGCCCGACGAGGAAGACAATACCAGCGTCAGCACCGTCATCTACGATGGAAACCCTCGAGTACAGCGTGACGCTGCACCGCCTTCCAACCGCTCCGACAGTTCGGACGATGACGACGCCTCTAGCACCAAAAGCGAAAAGCCGGTCACCTGGCGCACACTACCCAAAAAAGGTCAACTGGCGATCTTGACCTTCGCGCGCTTGTCGGAACCTCTGACCCAGACCTCGCTGCAGGCGTACCTGTTCTACCAGCTCAAATCGTTCGACCCGTCGCTGCCGGATTCGACCATCTCTGCCCAGGCGGGCCTGCTGCAAGGGACCTTCACCGCCGCGCAATTCGTAACGGCGGTCTGGTGGGGGAGACTGGCGGATGCCGAGTGGATGGGTCGGAAGAGGGTGCTGATGATCAGCTTGTTGGGGACATGCATCTCGTGTCTGGGCTATGGCTTCTCGCGCTCCTTTGTGACCGCGGCGATCTTCCGGACGCTGGGTGGGATATTAAACAGTAACATTGGGGTGATGAGGACGATGATCGCGGAGATTGTCGAGGAGAAACGGTACGTTTGAAGTAGTGCTGGGTAGTATCACTTGGGGCTGATCGATCCAGGTATCAATCGCGCGCGTTTCTCCTTCTGCCCATGTGCTTCAATATCGGCGTGATTATCGGGCCGGTTTTGGGCGGCTCGTTGGCCGATCCGGTCAACAGTTATCCGCAGTTCTTCGGTCCGGGTTCATTCTTCGGTGGTAAGGAAGGCGTGTATTGGATGAAACATTGGCCTTTCGCATTGCCCAACGTGCTGAGTGCGATTTTCATCTTTGCTTCGTTGATCGCCGTCCTGTTAGGGCTGGAAGAGGTACGTTCCTTCGCTCCGCTCCTTTGTCGCACGGATGATCAGCTAATCCCGTAGACACATGAGGTTGCTCGGTACCACAGCGATTGGGGTCGCAAACTCGGCCGCACCCTGGCCAGATCCCTGTCCTTCCGTCGCATACCCCGGCACTATCGGGCGCTGGTCAGTCATCCAGACGATGAGTCGCTCTACGTCGACGGCAGCGTCACAAGCCGGTCAGCCCCCGCCAGTCCGGCTCACGTTCGTGCCTTGGTTCGCCGTAAGCGGCCGTCGTTTGGCCAGACCTGGACGCGCAATGTCCTCCTGACACTGTTTGCCCACTTTCTCCTCGCCTTCCACACGAGCGCCTTCAACGCCATGACATTCGTGTTCCTGCCGACCCCGCGCGCTCCCAAAGGCAGCAACGACGGCTTCTTCCATTTTGGAGGCGGCATGGGTCTTCCCTCTGCGCGTGTCGGCCTCGCCACAGCCATCATCGGCGTCATCGGCCTGCCCCTGCAGATCTTCGTGTATCCCCACGTGCAGTCCCGGATGGGGACCCTGCCGTCTTTCCGCACCTTCCTGCCGTTCTCACCCATTTCGTACGCCCTGATGCCCTTTCTGGTGTTGATCCCGCGCATCCCGTGGCTGGTCTGGTCGACCTTCACTTTCGTCGTCGGGCTGCAGGTCGTCTCGCGGACATTCGCCCTTCCAGCGGCGATCATCCTCGTGAACAACTGCGTCACTGATCCATCCGTTCTGGGGACTGTGCATGGCGTGGCGCAGAGTGTCTCCAGCGCCGCACGCACTCTGGGACCGCTCCTCGGCGGCTGGGGCTTAGGTCTGGGCCTGAAGTATAACATGGTGGGAGCGGTCTGGTGGGCTCTGGCGGTGGAGGCGCTGCTCGGGTGGTTCTTGCTGTGGTCGATCTTCGAAGGACGAGGCATCGAGAAAAGGGATCCCCCAGTCGACGAAGACGAGGAATCATAAATTCTGCTGTGCTGCATATATATAGAGATATATAGATATGATGAGATAGACGAGAAATGTTTCATGATCCAACGCCGTCCATTGTGACTATCAAAGCGCATGCATATCATATTAGGTCATTAGTTCATCAACGGTCCATGACTTATTTACCCATAGCTCCACTAGACATCCACCGCGCGAAAAAGAGCTATGCCCCCACAGCGGGGGTAATAAACGCCTTGATCGCTCTCTTTGCATCGCCGTCACACGACTTCAGCAGCTCCGTCGCCTTAATCTTAGTCAAATCCAGCTCCTCAACCTACACACTATCAGCACTTCTACCCCCTTGAGTGAATCCTTTATCAAAAACAGATCGACCTACCAAAAGATTCACATCCTCAGCAGCAACCCTAACCGCCTTCTTCTTGACAACCTCCTTCTGCGCCTCTCCCGTCTTAGTCTTCGCCGTCCCGCCCTGCCCCGCAGCGATCTCCAATCGACTCATCGCCTTGCCGAGCGCCTCCTGTTCCGCAGTGGAAGTCGACTGCTTGGGGGTCGAACCGGGCCCGATCTCGGTGGCATTGAGGGCGGAGAGCGCGGCGGCTGCTTTGCGGTCTTCGGGGTTGGCGGGAAGTTGCTGGTGTTCAGTGTCTGCGTCGGCGTGGGCGGAGGGGATGGAGTCGGACATGGTGGTGGATTTGTGCTAGCTTGATAAGTTTTGTAGGATAAAGCAAAGGATTGACTTGGGATGAGGTTGTAGATGGAAGTTGAATGGATGAATGACGTGGATGTCCTGGTTGATGCCTTAGGCGGAATGCCACCTTCTCGATCAGGACTAGCGCAGTTAGCTACCCCGGATGAGTCATAATCCCGTGAATAACCGAATAGATCAGCCGGTCGAATTTTTGGCGTTTTCTCTTCATTCTTCGCGTTCGCGGGTCGCGTTTGTTGTGCTTTCTGACTGGGGTATATTACTCTATCCTAGTCTCTGTCTTACTTCCGTAGGTCTAGTTTCCTCAAGGCGTGTTTTTAAGGCTCGTCAGCTCGACAATTGACGCCCCGCTATCCGTCGATCAAGCACCCCACCTCGCTCATCAGTCACCATGGAAGATTGGACTCCTAGCTGTGCGTACTGAGTCTAGTGGGATCATATATTACTGTTCTAGCGTACTGACAGTCGACAGCCTGGGCGTCGAAACCCATCAAGCAGGACGTGGTGTACGGTGACTCTGCTGGTCTGCAAGCTTCGTTGCAAAAGCTGCGGGCTTTGCCTCCCTTGATTACCCCGCAAGAGGTGTGTATTACTTGATTATGTATCAACGGTTGAGGAGATCTGGCTAACGTATATAGGTCGTCAACTTAAAAAAGCACTTGAAAAATGTGGCCCTGGGCAAAGCATTTGTCCTTCAAGGAGGTGCGTGTTTCTGACACTATAATTCTATCAGGCCTAACAACATCGTCAGGTGACTGCGCGGAGCTGTTCGACTATTGTAATCAGGATATGATCGAAGCCAAGGTCAAGCTACTCTTGCAGATGAGCTTGGTCTTGATCTGGGGTATGTCTCTCCATTGTTTATCGTCTCGTACACGCTAACTCGCCCAGGGGCCAATCGGCCGGTGGTGCGGATTGCGCGGATTGCGGGTCAATTTGCCAAGTATGTTCTGCCTGAAGTTTTGATATACAGTAACTAACTATCTAGACCCCGTTCAAGCCCCATGGAAGTCGTAGGCGGGGTGGAGATGCCCTCCTTCCGCGGCGACAACATCAACGGCTTCGACGCCACCCCCGAGGAGCGCAAACCGGACCCGTCGCGACTAATTTCAGCGTACTTCCACTCCGCCTCGACCCTCAACTACATGCGGGCCTCGCTCTCATCCGGTCTAGCAGACCTGCACTCGCCGCTAGACTGGGGCCTCGGACACATCATCACGCCGTCCATCAAAGAGAAATACGAGCAGATCGTAAACCGAGTCAAGGACGCCCTGCGGTTCATGAACACCGTCGGCATCGACACCGACCGCGGCTTCGAGACCGTCGAAGTCTTCACCAGCCACGAAGGGCTCCTCCTCGAATACGAGCAAAGCCTGACCCGACTACTCAAGAACCCCCACAGCGAGTCCGCGCGTCGCGCCGCCCACCCTCCAACCGCAACAACACCCTCCCAAAGCTACTACGCGACCTCTTCCCACTTCCTCTGGATCGGCGACCGCACGCGCCAACTCGACGGCGCCCACGTTGAATTCTTCCGCGGCATCACCAACCCCATCGGAATCAAAATCGGGCCCAGCATGACCCCAGACGAACTCACCCGCCTCCTCGACGTCGTCAACCCGTCGCGCGAAATCGGCAAAGTAACTCTCATCTCGCGCTACGGGACCTCCAAGATCGCCCAATACCTACCGGAGCACATCGCTGCCGTGCAACAATCAGGCCACCTTCCCGTCTGGCAATGCGACCCCATGCACGGCAACACGCAGTCGACGCCGTCGGGCGTCAAGACGCGCCACTTCAGCGATATTCTATCCGAGCTGCGCCAGGCGCTGGAGATCCACCGCGCGGCGGGGTCGTTCCTCGGCGGTATGCATCTCGAGCTGACGGGTGAGGCTGTCACGGAGTGTGTGGGCGGCGGGGAGGGACTCACCGAGGACCGGCTGAGTGAGCGGTATACGACGTTCTGCGACCCGCGATTGAACGAGAAGCAGGCACTGGAGTTGGCATTCTTGGTGGCTGGGTTTTATCGCGAGATGGATGAGGAGGGTGGGAATCTTGTTTAGTCGATTTACAGATGATTTTCTTGCATTTCGGATCTAGCTTTTTGTGAGTCGTTGGGTAGTGAAAGCAGTGCAATGAGCGAGTCACCTCCCTCATATTTCCAGTTTACTATTTCTTCTATAGTAAGATACAGTGCATCATCCAAATTTTCACTTTTCCAAGGAGCACTATCTATACCTCCTGGACGTGTAAACATTAGCAATTACAAATAAAAAGATAAATATAAAGATTAAAAAAAAAAAAAAAAAAAAAAAAATAAAAAGATTAAAAAAAAAAAAAAAAAATACCAATCCTCAACACCAATAGCTGAAAGACAACGAAAACAACCTCAAAAAAGAGAGAGAGAGAGAGAGAGAGAGAGATAGAGAGAGAGAGAGATCAACAATTCCACCCCACCCGATAAGGAACCCCCTTCGTCTCGCCCGCCAAATCCACCATCCGCTTCCACCGCCACAGCGTCTCCCCAGGGTTCACCATCTCATTATCGCACCCCATACTCCAAGCCGAGTGATCGACGCTCCCCTCGCCCATCAAGAAGCGCAGAAACGGCCCGGGGTCCTCGGCGGACTTAGTCGCCGCCGTGACGGCCCTGTACCGCTTGAGATCGATCTCAGAGACGGAGATGGAGCCCGCGCCGGCGGATTTCATGACCCCTGCTATATCCGCCACGCTGAGGGTGTCGCCTGCGACGTGGACCGCGTCGGGGACGTTTTCGGGGGGGCGGAGGGCGAGGGAGGCGACGGTGCGGCCTATGTCTGCTAGGGAGGTGAAAGATACAGGGGCGTAGGCCGAGCCGACGCATTGGAAGCGGGCGTGGGCGGCGTCGAGGCCTAGCGCAGGGCCAACGCTTCGTTCGAGGACGAGGCCGCCGAAGACGCGGCAGATGCGGAGGGAGGGGAGGAGTTCCGCGGCGAGGCGGCAGTGGGCCTTTTTGCGGTCCCAGTCGCGGTGGCGGAAGTTGTGGGCGCGGTGGTCGACGCCGAATTCGGAGGGGAAGTAGAGGCGGACGGGGGTGTCCGGGAGGGCGCGCAGGAGGTTGTCTTTGAAGGCGTGGGCGGCGGGGCCGGGGCCGATGGCGTTGACGAGGACGTCGACGTCGGCGAGGGAGTCGGCGAGGTCGAAGTCGTCGTAGCGGCGCATTGTGAGCTGGATCTCGGCGGGGAAGACGGCGATGGGGAAGGAGGGCTGCGAGTCGCTGCGGGAGAGGAGGACGATCTCGGAGAAGTGGGTGATGAAGGGGCGGGTGATGAGGGCGCGGACGATGCGCTGGCCGATGGTGCCTGTTGCGCCGGCGACCGCGATGACGGGCTTCTTGGGACGACGCATTTTAATTGATTGGATGACTGATTGAGGTGAATTGAATGAATTGGGGTAGCGATGAGGAGATGAGGAGATGAGGGGAAAGTTGATATACGGCGGTGCCTGATTGTTGAGGATCTAAACTACATATCGTATGGCCAGATTTCCTTATCGATAAGGCCAACCCACTTGAACTGCAAGGCAACCATGGACGAATGCCGATCCTGGCGGATCACGTGTGCTCTGTGTGTCACGTGCATACAAAACGCGCTAGTGCACCTCGAGGCGATCCAAACGCCAAATCCCCCCCCCCCCAAAATCAGGCTGATCACTATCCTCAGGAGATGAATTGAAAGTGATCGTTTTTGGGCCATTGCACGAAGTATCTCGGAATTTAGATCTAAGAGCATGGTTTAAATCATCCAATCCGGCTGATTACAGTGCTACTAATGTTCTTGTCTATTTTCGGAATGCCGCGGAGATATTAAGAACAATGTCTGCGAGGGTCGGGCAGACGTATCCCCTCGTAAATTGTATGGCAACCCGTCCAAGTCACATGATTTCAACTTTATTGGCACTGCATTCTATCTCACTTCTACATATTTAGCACGCCTCGACTAGACCTTAAAATGAGGCAGATCTGGATTCAACTTTTCAATCCTGATCCTGATCTGCTAGATTTCTGGATTAAAGAATTGACTGGTAGGCGAGATGAGAAGTAAGGTCTATCATGTACATAAACTCTATAGTAGGTAGAGTGTTGAGGAGTAGAAACTAGATTCAAGGTATACTCTGGCTTGGACTGTGTATTCAACATGACTCACTAAAGCTGTAGATACATGGTAAATGAATGTCCTTATTTATCCTCTGGTTCCGGTGACTCTGTGCATATTTTTTGAGAAAGGTAAGAAGCAAGGTCCCATCATCGCGCATGCTTGTCAATGGTCATGTACACTATGTTTATCTATCAATGGTACTATCCTCATAATAACCTGACTACCTCTTTTCCTTTCCCTGATGGTGCATGATTATATATATTTTGAACAAAGATAGAAGAACCCTTCTGTCTTGATCCCTAACTGCGTAACAAAGGCATGTTTATATTTGTCCTGATAATGGCATTTTGCTCTCAGAAGGCAAACCAGCCTGAATTCAAATTTGGACCAGACGTCCCTTCATCGTGATTGACGTGGTTAGGAGTTGTATGTCTGCATCCTGTCTCTACAGTGGTCAAAAGCAACTTCGTCGAAACGCCCACAAGCCATCTTTGAGAGGGCCAAGTTTACAATAACCGAAAGCTTTACTGCTTGCAGATAAGTTGTTGAAATAATGGAGTCATCTTTAAGCTGTTTTTGGATGCCTGAGATACACCGCGAGTACAAATAAGAGCCTGCCAGTCAGAAGCCACACACCAAAAGTCCAAACTCCTTCAACGTATTACTTAGGCTCGGATCTGTAAGCCCCATATCGGTTCTAAGAAGGCTTGGGTACAAGTTTAAAGCCTTGTCCATACCGTTCCTTGAATTCATTTATCGCTTCATTTTCTGTCTCATTTGGAACAACTGATGCACGGCCTTGCGAAGGTTGGCCGTAATGTTCAGTATTCCGGAGGTTAAAGCTGGTCATATCCCGAGATAACTGTTGGACTGTGGTGTCGCTGAGGTGGCCTCCAACTTGCCTTGTCCGCCACCCAAGCCCTCGATTTTTACCGTGGACGAGCTGCCCACTTGTCGAAACCATGAATTGTAAAGCATCACCAGTAGCATAGTTATCAATCGTGCTGATGTTCTCCTTCAGATTATTGTTTGCCTTAGAGCAGATATCCATGCACTTGTGGGCTGTATCCCACTCATCCCGTAGCCTGACAAGATCCGTATAATCTTCCTCGGACGTCATGGCTGTCTTTGACTTTGCCACCATTCGGTCCAATACATCTTGCATACGCTTTTCCAGTTTCGAAATTGTCAGTTGAAGGTTGTCTTTGCACTCTTGCAGGCTTTCACTGGTAACTCTTTCAGGCACGGTATCTGGGCTGGAACTAGGAGAGCCACCACTGTGCTGGAATGAGCGCTGAATCTGACTGATGTGTTCTGACAACTGGGCACAGATTTGGAGACATTTTTCTGTGCTCAGCCGTTCTTCTTTGATTTTTCGGAGCTCCAATGCGTCCGAATCAGAGGCTGGCAAGGCTTGCCCAAGAAGAAGCTCAAGCTTTTCATCAATGTTTTCAAGGTGAGCCTCGAGGTCAGCCTTCGCAGACTCAACGAGATCTTCGTAGAGCTCAAGGTTTTCAGAGGTGATCGAGGACTTGCGACTGATAAGTCTGTTAGTTCAAATATCCGACATCAAGATAAAAGGACCAGGATCAAGGAGGGACTAAAACACTTTTGCCGCGGACAAGACAGCAAACTTACAGGTTTGCATCGGTGAGGGCAATATTAATAGTGGACTTGTACCCCGCCAAAAGGCGCCTGAACCCATCAATGTCATCACCCATGTATCTTAATTTGGCCCAGTCTCGAAAGCTGGTCCGACTTCCACTAGACCGTGACAAACATTTCAAAATTTCTTGCTGGAACTCTTCGCAGGCCTTCCCGCATCGTAGTAAGGGAAGTTCAAGTGCAGAGAGATCTATATCGGTGGTGGCATCAACTGTTTCAGTGAGCGGCTCTAGAATGCCACTTAAAGCCTCGAGCTCATCTATGAGGTCGCGCACGCGTTTCGGGTGGCTTTGAAAACTCGTGACCGCCTGATATAATGCGACGCTAGACTGGAAAGCGAAAGCAGCCAAAGTCAACAGCCCGGAAGCTAAACCTATGGGTTCTGCCATCATGTAATCGCTTCAATATGCGGTAGAAGGTGAGGAGTGTATGAAGAAGGTGGTGCTGTCAAACTGTCGCCGGACAAGCCAGACTTAATATGTGTATCAGGCAGCGGCTCAATAGGGGTGAGCTCAAATCATGATCGAGGTGTAAGCGCCCATTTAAAGGATCATTGACGCGCTATGTGGTGTAGAAATGTGATGGTGAGATAGAACGAGTTCGCGACCCCCGCAGGGTGGGGTTGGCGGCTAACCCCACTCTGCTAAGATTACCGAAGGACTCGTTTTATCCCACCATCACATCTCTCCAGCACAAGGCACGTCAGTGGTGCATTAGATAAGGCTATGTTTCTGTCACTTCAAGTGGGTGCTCGTTAGCTCGCCCCTGTCGGGGAATCGCCCAATACAGAGCCGTCGTCAACCGCCGGCTGGTTAGACCATGGGTGCCCAATCTTTCTTCCCGGACGAAAGCCCACGGTGCTGCACGTGACGAACCGCTCTCACTACGAGATCTGTGATTGCGTCAGCACTAGAACTGGCGGGCATCATTGAGAAACCAGTTACCGCTCGACTGCTTTCCTCGTTGGCTCTTTCCCATGCTTTCAGACTCGCTTGCTGCTCGTCCAGCGGAATTATTAACATGGATGGGGTAGTTTAATTCCGAAGTCAGCAAAATCCAGGCAGCGCCCGGTAGTCGTTGTCATTTTCGTATGGCTAATAAAGAAAACAGACTCGGACTCTCGTCTCTGAGGGAACCGTAAAAATGTTCCTCAAAGTGGAAGGAAATGGCTCTAGGCTCCATGATATCACCAGGCTGGTGCTTAATGGAGTAGCCATGTTTGGACGAGATTACTGATATAAACAGCGAGGTTACTGCTGCTACTGCACCAGTTCTTGATCGTCCAATCATGCTATTGGCGAGGTCGCCCAGGGGTGAGCGCCGATGAGCGCTGGTGATCGCGAGGGATCGCGGGTGATCAGTGTCGTTGGCGACCGTGACACATCAGTCTGTTTGTATCTGGTGGACGATCTTGAGGGTAGGAGTACTGTCGCGACTGTGTAGTAGAGGTTGGCCTTTTCTCAGCGAAAAAATGGCTCTGGTTGTCTCTGTTCTTTGATACTCATCTCGTTGAAATTATAGGAAGAGATGGAATCTGCAGAATTAGAGGCCTGGAGGTAATACAACAGTAAAAATTACCAATACTAGAGGAATCTAACCAGTGGTCTGCACCGGTGGGATGTCGTGTGGCTGGATAGATATACATGGTCGCAAAGGTCGACTATATCTTTGGCCTGAATTTCCAACGCCATTCGTTTAACATTACCGATCCCATGCCCATTATCTGAAGTTTCTAGTGTGGGAATCGGAGGTAGAGTCTATAGGTGGGTGGGCCACACACTTAGCAAGGCATAAACCAAGTGAGTGATGTCACTACTTTGGAGTATGGTGGTAGTCACGAGAGCGAGGTGACAGCCATGACAACCCTTTTTAATCAGCCCGACAGGTCTGGAATATAGACCCGCCCACGATGAATTCTCCTGCTTGACCCTCATGCTGGCCCTTCCCGACAATCCGCTGCTGCAAATAAACCTGAGCACTCAAATTCTATGCTACATTTTCGTAACGTTGCCGGTGGCGTTTAGGCTGGTGATTTGGAGAGAAATAGGACGGCCCTTTGGCGTTGAAGATGGTATGCATTCGGCGAATGTTCCCCGACTCTAACGGATACTCACCGATGCCAGTGACTTGCTTTGTTGCCTGGGTATGAAACGCCCTCTTGATCCCGCTTACGAGCTCTCTTTAACACCCTGGTGTCAATCCGAACGCAGCTCTTGTTTATGGGCTATTGTACGTGTGCCTTGATCTGTACGTTAACTAGCATTTTCGCTTTGATTTGCTCCAAGTGGCTTGCTAAAAGGGACAGATGGTTTCACTGGCGGTGCAGAAGGAATGGCTGGTCTGAGCGTCAATCAGATTGAAACTAGCTTCAAGGTCGGTATTGCCTCCATGCTGCACTCGATAATTTCCACTTGGGACAAAAAGGGAGAAGGACTTACACATACCCAGATCTCCTATGTGTCAACCATATTCTATGCGCCCTTGGCGCTCTTTGTTAAGGCCACTCTGCTGCTGGTGTTGGCCAAAGTTTGGAGGCCCTTCCGGAGCATCATAGTAGTCGATATCATTCTTGGCCTAATTGTGTCCTACTACATCGCAATACTTTTCGTCAAGACCTTTATCTGCTGGCCGATCTCAGCGTACTGGACGAAGTTGACGAGGCCAGGCGGACAGTGCCTCAATCGTCGCGCAGTGATCATTGCAGATTCCCTCATTAGCGTGATCTCCGACATTGCGATCTTGGTGCTTCCTATTATCTTCACCTGGTCATTGCACATGTCTTTGAAGATAAAGGTGAAGGTGATCGCACTCCTGGGGTTAGGCGGTATTGCTGTAGGTTTCAGCCTATATCGCCTGGTTCTAGTCATCTTGAATGGAGATGACCCAGAACAGACATTATTCTTCCTGAGGGTTCTATTATCCGGGTAAGACAATCTTCCTTGATTGGCTGTTTCTTCGGAACCCTTCCTAATGTTGTTTCTTCTATCAGAAATGCCGAGGGAGGGATCGGCCTCATATGCGCTTGTCTGCCAGCTCTAAGCAAGTATATAACTCGTCGGAGGGCGAGGACGTTATCCTCGACAAACCGACCGACAAAACAGGCACGGATCCCACTACGACGTATCAATGATGGATCCGAGAGCTACGATAGCGTTGATGCATCGTTCCAGAGCCCCCTGGAAACCGACGCCTGGCCAGGCTCCGCGGAATCCCCACAGTTGAATGCGCGCCGTGAGTCTTGACATCGGCCTACAACACCCCCACGGTAATACATGCCGACATTTCTCCTCATCAGCAATATGAGCTCATTACCCGAAAGAGTGCCTTTTCACACAATATCAATGGACCTTCAAACAAAACATCGGTTACATTCGAGAGTAGGCATCCACCGATATAACGAACGATCATGTTCTGACGAGAGTTCGTCGCTAGCCGACTTCCTGGAGGCCACAAAGACCAGGCCAAGCGCTTGCGCCAGTTCGCAGGGCTCCGGTGACCTGATCCGCTGCTCCAAACCCGTGTCCATCAAAGTGCTCTCGCTATGGCACAATATGGAACACACGACCTGGCATCTCTGGAAACTCCTCTGCCCTGGAAGCGGCCGATATGCGATTCTCGACAGCCCATATAACCACGTGTACGCACCGATCTTACTCCTCCTCTTCCGTCTCCTTCTCCTTTCCTTTTTCTTACACCATGAGCACGGACCAGATCACCGCAGTTGAACAGAGTAAAATGTTCACACTTATGAATATCACGGCAGCACTCTTTCTTCGACTCATTAGACGACAACGCGTGTATAGAGATGAATTCAGCTATATTGTACTGAATTTTAGGGGCACATAAATTACCAGGATGGAGTGTGTAGTTGTGACAGATGTCGCCTGTGTATGAAAAGTCCAGAACTCAACCCAATACTTCCACAGGTTTTGCCTAGTCCAACCGAATCTGCCGGTATGCCTCCCGTGAGGCGTGTTTGGGTTCTCATTTAAAGGAGGGCGTATATGGCCGGTACCTGCCCATGTCTTTAGCACAAAAGCTGAGGTTCATCCATGGTATCCGGGGGTACTCGGCATCCTTGATTCTGAATACTTCGTAGGGTCCATCAGCAAGGATCTGCCTGGGTAGCAGCACGCAACAATCCAAGGATATAAAGTAAACCGAAGCCACCATAGTTCACGGAAAAGATCGGTATGTCATCGAGCTGGTATTTTCGCGGGATGGCGAACGCCACACCCACCCATCTGGGAGTTCTTCGCTTCGTCGAGTGATATATAGCCGCAGAAAGAAGGCTGTATGTTTATCGAAGGTAAGTTCTTCATACAACCGCAACAGCCTGGGAGATGGATGAACATCCCAAAGCAACGTTCAACGATTGAAGATGCAGCCACCACCTCTCGATATCTGAGAGCGGCGATATGCACATTATATTCCGCCATGTCTTGGACAGCATTTAACGGTTCTGTTCTCGTCGAGTTGATACTGTATCGCAGGAACGGTATTGTGGTTCCTTGAAGAGGTCAGAAGACTACTAGTCTTGCAATGCCGATACAGGCTTTGTACAGCCGTTATCATTTTATGGTCGCATTCTCAATGCAAATATCGCCTAGACAATCTAGTCCCAACGAGTATCTCAGTGTCGGTGGCCCCATTTTGTAATATCCGGGGGAACGTGTGTGGCGGAGATATGACAGAGTCAGCTGGAGGTCTCCCCACCGTCATCATCTAGTTCTGTTAGCCCAGTGAAAATGTCATCTCCCAGTGACTGATGCTCATGGCGGATCTATACCTCTATCCTTTCACAAAAAATAACAAATAAAAAAATATCATGCCCGGACGCACGCATGCCTCCCTCTCTGCCACCTGGTGCAATATGTCCGGCCCCGGTCAGTCCGGCTGCCAGATCCCAAGCAATTATCACAAAATAGTTGGAATGAGTTGGCCAGAAGAAACAAGCGCGTGGCAACCTAGCGGACCGCTGACGTGCATCGTTAGGCCACATTCCCTCGTCTTCGTAACGATTGAGAAGAGAATAACTAGGCTAGCAACAGTATAGTATACCTCGGCAGCTGCGGCGGCGGCGGTCAGCGAGGACGCGGCAGGGGGGGTTGTTCTTCCCAGGCGTGTGGATACTGTACATATTGGGCTGTTTGTTCTTATAATCTCTGTTAACACAGAGTATTTCAGACACCGTGTGCCTGGTATGGCTTCAGAGGCTGTTGTGCTCTTTGGACGTGAAGATCACCCGCAAGGTATGGTGAAATCCGTAATCCGGACTGAGCCTGGAGGTACAGTATATGTACAAGTATAATTCTCGTTCACACGAACATATTACCGTGGTTGTATAATTTCATCTTGCTATAATTCTGGGGTGCCAGTGGTTGAGTAAAGATGTCAAGGAGGTTGAAGAGGGAAAGAATCAAGGGGGCCTACTGGAGCTATATATGTTGGATGTCAACAAAAGTCACTACTACAATGGAGGGTTTGATGATAGCCTTTAAAATTTTGAATGACCCCTTGTTTCACCTAAGATATTCTGTCGGGTAGTGGTTATTTATTGACGGGGAAGGTAATGGACCGGAGTATGTCAAGGTGGTGTCCAGTGAATACAATGTAGTTCTCGAGTGACATGTGCAGTTAGGGCAAGAAACCACCCTTTCTACATTGACCGCTATAATATCAGCAAAACAAATTTGGAGGCTAAACAAATAAACAAACAAACACAACAGCCATCCTAAGCCTTTTTTTAAATTAACAAAACATCGATAACAAGGTAAAAAGCGAAGCAAACCACTACAGGCCCCTATACCTTGACCCTCTCCCCAACAACACCCTCCACCCTCCCAACCTGCTCCCTAAACTTGGCCGAAAAAGGATTCTTATCAACATCCTGATCCAAGCCCCCCAGCGTATGATTGACATCACGATGCTTCGCCTCGTCAGCACGCACATAAAGCAGCAAAGAACGCATGCAGCGCCGCCCCTCCGGCATATCCCAGTACTTAATAGCCATAGGCGGCGCTTGGAGATTCTCCCACTTTGGAAGCAGACCCGAATCAAGATCCTGGATTGCCTTGGAGTAGGTTATGACGGCTTCCTCTTCGAGGTAGCCGACGAAGCGGTGGCAGATACGCGGGGAGAGGAGGTAAGCGATAGAGAAGCCGCTGAAGAAGACACATTGTGAGCCAAGGACCATGAGGCGCATGGAGCGGCTTGGCTCGGTGAGGTTGAGGAAGGTGAGGAGGTGCATTCTTTCGTTGTAGGCTTCTTCGAGAAGGGTTTCAATCCTGTCATTCTTAGCATCGTTATCGTAAGTAGTGGTTTGGTCTGGTGTGCATACCACCCATAGTCTCTCTTCATTTGGCGGAGACTCTTTAGATGCCGAAGCATGCCGGCTACCATACCCGGGACACCAGCAACGCTCTCAAGGAAGATGAACCTCGTTATCCACTTCTTCTCGGTCATGGCGTTAGTCCGGGACAAGCCGGCTGCGCTCGAGCGATAGCCAGTGACCAAGTCCATGCTCCAGCGGAGGAAGCGGACTGTGCCGAGGGCGAGCTTATCGGGGAGGCTATTTGCATTTTTGTGGGCGACTCGTACGGAGAGGATCTGTTCTTGTGTGTATCTGTTTATGGTGAGTCTTCGGTTGGATTGAATTAGAAGGGACATGATGACTCACACTGGATGGGTCCAGGATGACTTCTGGGTTGCTTGTTGTGTGTGATTTCTTATGGACAGGGTGATTAGGGCTGGCGTTCTTGAGGTCTGATACGACGAACGGTGTTGTAACTTGGGGGCGACGAGGCCAGCTCGTCGGATGCAAAGGTGGTGGCTCATGTTTGCGCTATGAATATGCTATGAAAAAAATATGGAGAGATGTTTGAGTTCAGTAAACTACAGTCTGTTGACGGGGGATATTTATATGATTCTAACACAAGGGTTGAGCATCCGGGATCTCCCTCGAATATGCATATCTTGGTCTGAATCACTCCCGATACTGTTGAGATCCCTTTCGGGATGTTGACTAGTGCTCGGCATATGGAACTCTAATCTAGACCTGGTTCCACTCATGGGTTGTTGATTTTCTGGGTCTGGGTGATGTGGGGGTGAGGTGGGATTATGGGGTTTGATGTCGACTCCAGATGATTTGATACTCGCAACATCGCATTCCAATAACATTAATTTCAAGTATAAAGTCAATGATTGGAAATCTTACAAAACAGTAAATAATTGACCAAAACATTGAGTGGATGACCTGACAGATTGGGAAGAAATTCCTCAATGTTCTCACACATACAGCGTAGATGTCTTCATGCTGTGCTCCGCTTCCACCCGGCCCGGTTTCCCTCTGGGAATTCTAGATTCATTTTTGATCTCCCCTATCTTTATTCAGATGACATGTCGACATCTCAACACATGCTTGTTCCGATGTTGTTGATCAGATCTGGTCCGGAAAATTATCGTAGCCCTAATGACGTTGCTCGTTGTTCCATCACATGTGATCCCCGTTCACTCTAGCAATTTCAGTCACTCTCCTTTCTCAGACATGTGTATCTACATTTGATATTGCTTCTATAGACACAAGTGTTTATTTCTAACCTATTCACGTGAATCGATAAATTCTCGATTAGTGATAACTGATCTCATGTGCTCTTGAAATTGGCACAACTGCCGACTGGCCGAACGGCACATCATTACTATTCATCTATCAGGATTCGGGTAGAAATGCACGACTCTACCCTGGTAGTGCTTAGGCAAATGTCATACAAGTGTTAACACCACATTCCTACAGTACATTACTCTGCCAAACTACAAGCACGACCTAATCATGACTCATATCAATACCAAGCTGGCCGCAGCCAGCCAGCACTGTGGCTAAAGCACATCAAACCAGGTAACTGAACAAGTCCTAGCCAATATCTCACAACTTAGCAGGCAGCGTTCCCAGCTTCTGCCCCATAAAAGCAGCAATCAAATCCATCAACGGCGGCGAAAGCGTATCAAAACTCTGCAAGCCCAGCGCCGCAAACCGCCCCCTCACGGCATCCATCCCCTCCGGCCTAAACCCCTGTTCAATGATGGACGAGACAAACCCCGCAAACTGAACCTCCTGCCATCCCTTCTCATCCGACAGTTCAACATGCACAAAGTCTAATCCCTTAAAAGGGTGCTCCTTCTCGATGCGCCCAAACATATGCACCCCACACTGCTTGCAAGCGTACCGCTGGATGGCAGCCTCCTTGTCGACGATGTGCAGCTTGTGCGCGTTGGCTGCGACGCGTAGGTTCTCACGGGGAACGACGCCCACGACGGAGAAGAGCGCCCCCGCTGGTTTCCAGCATTTGGAGCATCCGCAGGCGTGGTTGTGCGCGACGTTGCTGGAGAGGGTGACTTGGACTTTTTCGCTGGGACATTTGCAGTAGAGGTTGCCTCCTGGGAAAGAGGGGGGGCCTTTGGTGAGGCCGTTGTCGAGGAGGGGGTGGAGAGATGGCATGTTCTTTCGTTTTTCTTTTTTGTTCCTTTTTTATAATATTGTTATCATCTCCTTGAGCTCGGATCGGGCTTGGTGGGTATTGGAATTACCTATCGAGGTGAATGGTCAAGCTCAGTTGCTGGAGACAAAACTGAATGGGGGGAGTGTGCTGGGCATGGTTGTCCTCGTATATGCGGAGTACTATATAGCTGCAGCATCTACTACCCCACCCCTCATGCAAAGTCAGCAACCCCGATCATTTCACGTTTCCCCTCATGAGGAGAAATATTGTACTGGTTTTGTGAGTCCATGCATCCCCATACCAAACCCGGGATAGAGATCCGAGCGGGCCGTGGTCCGGGTAGGGTTTCCGTGCTGGGACGGGCCGTTGGCGGGAGTCAATACATTGTCATGTTATTATGCATACCTTAAGCTTTCTCGAGAATACAGAATACTGTCTATGATTAGAAGTGTGTATTAGGTTGGCTGAGAGAATCAGGGGTGCTTGGCTGAATGAATCTCCGTGTCTTTGTATTGAATCGTTATTTGGATCCTATTTCATTCTCTAGTTGATTCATTTGAGTCATTATCCCAAAAACTAAGTCAATTATAGTCTACGTCACTGTACTCCGTCATCATAGGCTCAAAGAGATAACGGATGGTAAAATAAATTCATATAGATGCATACTTTGTTTAGACCAAAGCTATACTGGAGAAGACGGGGGGATGTTTGGCCTTTTGAAGCTAACTGGTTGTCAACATCCCAAGTCGCAGCCAGTTGCATCTAATCCTAAATCACTATACTATAATCATGTAGACAGATCAACCACACACCGAATACAATCCCCCTTTTTCATATGCGCAAACGCAGCATTGATGTTCGCCAGCCTCTCTCGGTGCGTGATGAACTCATCCACCTTGAGATCTCCCTTCAGATAATCCTCCACCAAGTCCGGTAGCTGAGAACGGCCTTTGACACCGCCGAACGCGCATCCCCTCCACACACGGCCCGTCACCAGTTGAAACGCTACATTGTCACAGTCAGCAAGTCCATCCAGCAAGTCCATCCAGCAATAACGACCAAAACGATCAAGAGAAAATGCTGTATAGAGAAGGGGAAAATGAGGGGATACATACGCCTAGTAGAAATCTCCTGCCCGGCAGCAGCAACGCCAATAACAATACTCTCCCCCCACCCCTTATGACACGCCTCCAGCGCCGCTCTCATGACACCCACATTCCCCGTGCAATCAAACGTGAAATCGCACCCCCCATCCGTCATCTCCACCAATTTATCCTGAATACTCATCTTCGACTCAGCAACCACCCGCACAGGGTCCAAAAAATGCGTCGCGCCAAATCGCTTTGCCCACTCCTCCTTATCCGCATTGATATCCACGACAATAATCCGCCCCGCCTTGTTCCGCACCGCCCCCTGCACAATCGACAACCCAACACACCCCGCCCCGAAGACAGCGACGTTGGATCCCGCGCGGATATCAGCCACGACAGTCGCAGCCCCGTACCCCGTCGTGATTCCACACCCCAGCAAGCACGCCCGGTCCGTCGGACACTTCGGCGTAACAGCAACCACCGAAATGTCCGCTACAACCGTGTACTCCGCGAAGGTGGACGTCCCCATAAAATGTAGGATGTCGCGGCCGCGCGCCCGGAACCGAGATGTCCCGTCTGGCATGACGCCCTGGCCTTGGGTGGCGCGGATGCGTCCGCATAGGTTGGTTCTGCCTGAGAGGCAGAATTTGCAGGTTTGGCATTCGGGGGTGCTTTTATCTGTTAGTGGGTTTGTTTATTTGCTTAAAAAGTGAGAAGTAGAAAGAAAAAAAAAAAAAGAAAAAAAAATGAGGGGGGAGGGAAGTACTATAGTGCAACGACGGTATCACCAACGCTCACGCTGGTGACGCCTTCGCCTACAGATTCGACGATGCCAGCGCCTTCGTGGCCGAGAATAACAGGGAAGGCGCCTTCGGGGTCTTTTCCGGACAGGGTGTATGCATCTGCAGACAAACGGGCGTTGAAGTCAGTATTTTGAGTGCTGGGCTAGCTGTAGGATAGTCTACCTACCTGTGTGGCACACCCCCGTGTGCAGGATCTTGATGCGCACTTCGTGGGCTCTAGGCGGAGAGACTTGCACGTCTTCGACGGAGAGGTCTTCGCCTGCGACCCAGGCTATAGCTGCCTTTGAAGACCATCAGTATGTGTGCTAGAGGATTTTTATGCGGTGAAATGTCGGACCTTGCAGGTTATTGTCTAGTTGTAGGTATGTGTTAGTGCTGGCCCGATTATACAATCATGTATTGGGCATACCTTTCCAGCGGTGCTTGTCATGGTCAATCTTCTGGTTTTTCTCTCGAAGTCTTTGGTGTCAAAGACAACGAGTGCCTGGAACTGAAATATCCAGAAAGAAAAACATTCTCGGAGAAAATGAGGGGAACTCGTGAGGGGATCTGATTCCCCACAGTGATGGATAAAGTACAGGATACGGCAGATCAACCTATCCATACCATGATTTACCACATATTACCAGGCCGTACTGAGAAACTATAGCAGAGAAGTGACCGGGAAGCATGCCGTAGCCGGGTTCGTTACCGGTCCGGGTATTGATGGTGTATTTTATACTACGCTGATACGCGATAATCCGATAAGATACGGGGCGGATCCAATTACCTGATTGGAAAGCCCTAACTTCTCATCCTCAAGAGCGATCATACTGATATTACGAAATAAATTTATATCAGATGAAGTTGCAAAGATTTTGAAAGATTAGAGTATGATTACAGTAATAACAAAAATGCAGTTACTCCCTCCGAGTATCATTGACATGCCCCCCATCCCCCATCAACCTCGCTACAGAAACAGCCTCGCGAACCGCCCGCCCAACGCCTCCCCGCACACCCTTCTCCTCCAATTGCATCACGCCCGCTATCGTACACCCCTCAGGGGACGTGCCCTGGTCTCTCAGCGCCGCAGGCAACACTCCACTCTGCATCATGGCCGCAGAGCCCTTCATAGCCTGGAACACAGCTATCTGGGCGACCTCACGGGGGAGACCGACAGCGACAGCAGCGTCGATCATAGCGTCACATATGACGGCGAAGAAGGCAGGGGTGGACCCGCCAACGGCGGTGATGGCGTCCATGTGAGCGGGCTTGACATGAACGGTGCGGCCGATGCGGGCGAAGATGGCGTCTGTGAGGGATTTGTCGTCTGGGGAGGCTGTTGAGGACGGGGTGTCTTCAATTGCGGTGAGGGATTCGGATACCTGGGCGGCGATGTTGGGGAGAGTGCGGATGATGCGGGCTGTGTGGCGCGAGAGGGTTTTGGCGAGTTGGTCGTGGGTCCAGCCTGCTGCGACGCTGATGAGAAGTTTGTTTGAGAGGGCGGAGGCGAGGTCAGGTTGGGTGAGTGTTTTTTGGATGTCTGCTGGGTCGATGGCCAGGATGATTACTGAGGAGGACCGGACTGCAGATAGTGGGGGAGTGTCGGTCGTGGTCGTGGTGGAGATTTGGGGGGATTGCGGCAAGCTCTGCCTGAGTCTGGTTTCGGAGGCAGCGCTGCGAACGCAGGCAATGATGTTCGTGAAGATGGGACTGTTGGTTGACAAGTTGGTTGGGGGATTTCTGATGAGACTGGTGAGGATGGCGGTGCCGAGATTGCCTGATATAGCGTTATTAGGATTGTTTATCGCGCTATTTGTGAGATTACATACCGCAGCCTAGAATGCAGAGGGTCTTGTTGAGGGCTGACATATTTTCAATATCTGAAGTTCTGTGATATGTGAAAGATGTAGAAGAGAAGTTGAGAATTGGATCCGATGATAAAAGAATGAGGGGCACGGGATCAGCGAGCCCTAATCCCGGCCCGTCATCCGTTTCTCGGCCTGCGATCCCGATCTACCACGAGAAACAAAGAGGCCTTAGACTATTCCTTCAAAATTATATCCAAAGAAGAAGAAAAAGCCTACCGGTCCTGCAGCCCGAAGAAGAACTTAAATTTCCGCCCCACACCCCACTTCAACGCCTGTATGACCTACGTCCTCCCGACCGCATCCCGATTCTCTATGGCCGCCGACTCATGTATCCCAAACACTCCGACAGAGGGCCTCGAGTCGAGTACTTTACATTGACTAATTGTCCTATTTCACCTTGCATCTGTAGCAAAGACAGACTTAAGCCGTCAGGCCATGCAGTTGCGCAAACCCCACCTCACCGTAGGCCAGTCGTCTCACACGCCATAGCGACATCCCTTTGGACCACCACCAGACAGACTACAGTAAAGACCATAGCCGTGGCAGAGTCGATATGCACCAAAGACTATATTGGTTCACACACGGAGTAGCAGAAACCAGAACTCGGTAATAAACCAACAATCCATAATCCAAAGCCAAATGCGCGTGCATGCATTCTAAATCTTCGTCATGGACGGCTGCACTTCCACCAGCTCCTTCGTCCCCCCACCCTCCAACTAACATCTCCTCCCCAGTCCACCCTACCAGCCCTATCTGCACTCTTGAACGGCCACCGCGCAGCCCGCCTCCCCGTAGACAAGTCCAGCATCCACTCACCCACAATCGGAAACATCTTAAACCCATGCCCCGAAACCCCCGAAAGCAATACCACCAACTTCCTAGCACCGGGCACTTAATCCACAACAGAATCCGAGTCCCTCGTCGATGATTGCCATGGGGGATGATGTTGATTTCGAGGGGATCTTTTCTTCCTTGTTGTCTATCTTTCGTGTAGTATATTATATTAGTATAGTAGAAACGGTGCATAGGGAATACGGATACTTGATTGGCTGTGGATAGTACCGTGCTTCTTATGGGTTTGGAGGCTATATAGTATGTGGTTTTGCCAATGCTTAACATATCTAAGCCTTGATGCGGTTAGGCCAGAAATATTGCCGGTGAAATGGTCGGAAGAGTCTCCGATGCGGGGTGTTTCATTGATCATGGTAAGAGAACCCCAGGTTGAGGCGGCGTTAAACACAAAGATACCTCTAGAAGGACTGTCTGGTGTACATGGTGGACGGCAAACAGTCAATATTCGCAGGGGGTTCAACCACAAGATGAGGAAATGTGAAAAAAGAATAAAAATAAAAGATCATTGAAAATAAGAAGAACAGAAATTAAAAACAAGTAAGATTCCTCCTACTAATTAATTGGCGACAGACTGCAAGCAAACAAGAGGAGAGAGGGTGTATAAAATACATTTACAAAAAGAATGCGATGGCCGGGATTCGAACCCGGGTCCCGACCTTGCCCGTCCGTCGGACTTTCTCGATGAGATGGGAGGGTCGGATCCTAACCACTAGACTACCACCGCCCTGATGAAATTAGTCAGTGTTTTTTTGCTCTATATACTAGATGCTCGTAGCATGTTATCATCAATTGTGGAGCTTATGCTGTTAATTCCTATCCTTAAACCTGACGGCAAGATTATATCATAGATTGCATAATGAGAGATTCTCTTGAAATTGATATTCTCATGTTTGGGTGGGCTTTGCTTCATTTTCGTTTTGTCTGTGTCTGCGGCTGGTGATAGTCAGGGTTTTACATGAGGAATCTATCGCTTGGCCTTGTGAATGCTCAGGCATTCTTCACTACGCATCTTTGTTTATATGATTATTTATACTGTTGGGTATAAATAAGAAGTATTTGTTAACTCTCTGCTTGACATATTGATACCACTCAGATATATTTGCTGTTGTTTCCGTGGGTTTTTGGTATAGTTTACTACAATATATATTCAGCCCTAACTCTCCTCTCTTCGATATCTAACCCATCTATAGATATAATTACGACAACAAAACATAACCCTTACAATGTTGCTCATTATCATGTATCACCGGGAAATTGATTTATATGATAATACCAAATCACTAAGTAGCCATCAAACCATTTTCTACATCGCCCTCCTTTTAAGAAAATTCAGTCGACTATCCCTCACCAAATGCGGGACGACGGAGGGTTGCATCATATAAAGGCCATGAAGCAATAGTACAAGTTCTACTGGCTCATGGTGCTGATGTTAATCTGGACAATAACACATATAAAACTGCACTACAGTTTGCATCATCTGCAGGTTATGAAGCAATAGTACAAATTCTACTGGCTCATGGTGCTGGTATTGAGGCCTGTGACAAAAGCTCTATGAATGTATTACAGGATGCATCATTAAATGGTCATGAAGCAACAGTACAAATTCTACTGGCCCATGGTGCTGATGTCAACGCCTGCCACGAGGAACTTGGAACAGCACTACAAGCCGCAGCAGCCGAAGGCCATGAAGCAATCGTGCAAATCTTACTAGCACATGGCGCCGTTGACAGCTCAAGGCTAGAAAAGACAGTGGCGAAGAGGATTGCTGGATGGACACTGGCACAGAGTGTCATGTAATTAGGTAGCAGTTGAAATGTCGATTCAAGTCAATCATGTCAATTTAGTTATTCTCTACTGAGTTTCAGTTACGAACAAAGCATACGTTGCAAACATGAAAGAAATTACTACCCGGCTACAAAGAATATCATGACACTTTTAGCCATTGTAAGAAACCCTATATGTGCTACGGCATATACATGGAGTACTCGTGGCTGAGCCCTGTTCAAAAGCTACGTGGCAGCCAATCAACAGCCGTGATACCTGTTAGTGTTCGTTGAAGGATCGGCTTGGCAGGTCGCTGGCCCCCAATTCTCTCTCTGGCCCTTATAGTGTGATATGTCGAATAATTTTATCACTGCGGCTTTGGATAGTGACGGAGGCTATGAGGCTAAGCCTCCTTCTTAGTGCAAACCATATTAGATCTCGCCGTGTTGGCTCTCATTGGTCGACACGTAGAAGATCGTTCTACAGAGGTAGAGCGAGAATGGGTATAAAACCAGGGGCAAGTCACGGCAGAATAGGATGGTAAATAGCCAAATCAATTGAACAAGGACAGCATCAAGTCTTCTGAGAATGTATCTCGCCGTCGGGACGTTTCTGTCGCTTTGTTTGTTGGCCGACGCCGCAGCCCCCAAATACTGCCCGCCTCTTGGGCCCGTCTTTCCCGCTCCGAGTAACCTCTGCGAAAACGATGCGTGGGCCAAAGTTGCGAAGGGAATTTCCACAACGATTGAGGAGACACTCAAGCAAGTCCAACACGATAGCTCTATTGTGAACGTCAACTCGACCTCATTCTCTTTCGAGATTTTCTCGGCAAGAGACCCCAGCCCGCTGCTTTCGTATGCATACACGGCCCCTACGATCAAAAAAGCGACTACTGGTGTGCGACATGTCGACAAAGACACGGTGTTCCGCATCGGAAGCGGTTCAAAGCTGTGGACCGTCTTGCTCCTGCTGAAGGAGATGGGCGACCGTGTCTTCTCCCACCCTGTTGGGGCGTACGTGCCGGAACTACTGGAGGCCGCTGAGAAATTCCGCCACAACAAGACTGCAGCGAACGACCAGGCAAATTTGATGAGATGGGATGAGGTGACGGTGGGAGAGCTGGCGAGCCATATGGCTGGGGTCACACGTGATTGTATGATTGCCCTGCCACACAGCGTTAATGAAAGTAGCTAACACCCTGAAGATGGATTCATGGACACAGCATTTGAGCCCGAACTGATGCAGGCTGCGGGGTTCCCGAAGCTGCGAGACCAGGATGTTCCTCCGTGTGGTGAGACGAAGGCCTGCAACAGGAAGGACTTCTTTGAGGGTTTGCTCAAGAGCCATCCCGTCGTTCCGACCGGCGGAACTCCCGTATACTCCAACGCTGCTTTCCAAATCCTCGGTTACGTTGTGGAGAACGCGACCGGGCGCAGTTACAACGACCTCGTCCATACCGAGTTGGTTGACCGACTCGGACTGAACGGTTCATACTCTAGCCCACCCGATCCGAAGCTGGGCGTCATCCCGGGAGATGTCCGCAGCAGCATGTGGGGATTGGATATTGCTGATGAGACTCCGTAAGTGATAGACACCACTGCTGATAACTGTGGGTCCTGAAAAGCTAACATATCACAGCGCTGGAGGCCTCTTCTCGTCTACGCGAGACATGGCCAACGTGGGCCGAGCTATCCTGAACAGCACTCTTCTACCCCGAGAAATGACCCGACGCTGGCTCAAACCCGTCTCCCACACCTCGTCGCTCAATATGGCCGTCGGAGCCCCCTGGGAGATTGCATCGTACGAAGAGGACCGGGTAGTGGATATCTACACCAAATCCGGCGACGTCGGTTCGTACTCGTCGATGCTCGTGCTGTCTCCAGACCATGACGTCGGCTTTGTCGTCCTTGCCGCGGGTGACAGCGCTCCACAGGCTACCCGGATACTCACAGACCTCGTCAATGAAGCCCTAATCCCCGGACTCGACCAGGCCGCCAAAAAGGAAGCGCAGCGGTTCACCGGGGACTATACCCTCGAAGACGGCAAGTCTCATATGCGCGTGACCACGGACGACGGGCCGGGCCTCCTAGTCACGAAGTGGATCAGCAACTCGAAAGATTTGTTTTCTACAGTAATAATGCCGGCATTGGGCGTCAAGAAACCATCGCTAATCGAAGTGCGTCTCTATCCGACCGGCTTGAAGAGCCCTCGACAAATTTCGTTCCGCGCGATTCCTCGCAGTCGGGTTGAGACACCGGGATTTGGTCCCTTCTCCAACAGCTGTACTAGCTGGTTGAGTATGGACGCACAGCGGTATGGCAATGTGGGGATGGATGACGTTGTGTTCGAAATGAATGAGAAGGGCGAAGTGGTGGGGATCAGCCCTCGGGCATCGCGGGTCACTCTTCGCAAGGAGTGAGACCTTGTTTTTAGGTAGATCGTACTTTGTATCAATATATGTTAGATGACACGTCAATAGATGGTCAATGTTTTTTCGGCCGATACAAGTATTGATGACAGCATTGGGTGATCTTGCAGCCTGTATGTTCTTCGAATAGTCCCAGTGTACACACCGGCTTGTGTGGCCGATGACAGGTTGGCGATAACCCACAATTCCACAACAACGACTGGCTCTGTGTTTCTGGTGATAGAATCCTGCAATCCACAGTCCGAAGATCTGAATGAGGTGTACAAGTAGGTGAAAGATAAATGCTGATCGACCGACAGAGAGCTCCCCAGTATTTATGGCAATGTGCCTGGATGGAGCCGCGAAGAACCAGTAGAGATAGATGCCGCGTCAGCCAGGTTTCAAGCAATGTGTTCGCTCTTGGCAGGAGACAAATCGACTATAGACTGGACGATCAATCAACCCGAGAGAAAGAGAGGTGAGAAGAAGTGAGAGGGGAGAAAGGAAGAGAAGATGGAGTTCGGTGGGGAAAACGCTCGAGTCACGCGGGCACAGACCATGTATCTTTTTCTTTCTATCGGTGTTGAGTCTGGAATGTTCGGTTGACTTCACCCCAGCCCACTGCATGGATGCATTCCATGTTGGTTCTTGACTACTTGCTTGGAATTAAGTCACTTTTTCTGGCTAAATAACATAAGTTGATCCCAACAGACTGTCTGATTGGCGCGCAACCAGCCCCTGTCGTCTCCCCTGTCATGGAAACTGGACGGATCAGCCCGAGGGCCCACTATCAAAGTCGGATGCTCACGAGGACAGGGACGAGCCTGTCGATCTCCACCAGGGTCGAGATTTACTCTAGTGCAGGACACGATTTCCCCGGAAGCGCCTGGATGGGAAAAGATCTTGCTTGGGTGGTGGATTGGCCGAGACAATGGCTTGGGGGTTGCTCGGGACCGACAGAAAAGATTTACTAGTGATGACACCTCATCGTCCAGCCCTTTGTCTCAGGCGAAATCTGCTGGTCACACGGGCATGAACCCCGGATTGAGGTGGACCAGATCGCGCGGCCGAGTCAGCCGAAATCAGAAGTTGATTCCAGCGAATTGATCGGTTCTACGGGTAAGAGACAGCCACCCGGGGTGGGAGAGAACCCTCGAGAAGAATCAAACAAGGAGAGACAATCCCCAGGGTCAGACTGCTCCAATGAGAAGGGGTCAATGCCGATAAACTCTGCCGCGGACGGGCACTCTATTCTTTCCATAGTGGGGCTTCCTCATCACGGGATGCAGTCTCAAACGGTGGTCCCTGATCGGCTGTGGGAAACCGAAGGAATCCATCGGACTGTATCGAGCAAGGGACGAGCTGTGTCGGACAGAGTCGCATCCACTTGATAGAAGTTAACCTGATGTTCCCCGGAAAATTCGATTTTTTTGGCCAACCCCGTGACCGATTCCACCGCTGCTTTGGGACTGGCCCCCGGATTTCCCGATCGGGTAATCCGATACCTGGTGTACTCAGTACGTCTCCCAACTCCAATAATCCATCGTGAGATTTTTACACTAGATGTCAGCCATGTACACGTCTCTGTGGGTAATTACAGAACTATCTGGTGCAGCTACTAAATGTATTAATCCTACCACCCTGATAGGAAGAGGAAGACTCCGGATGATCGGAAGGAAAAATCAATAGGACACTGCATAGCCCTAATCCAGTGACAATGATATCCAAGAATAGCACTGCTGGATGCCACGATCGGTTCAATTGCCACGGACCGTACCCCAGTGAATTGTCCGGGTCTGGACCAGACTCTGTCTGCATATTCTTTTCCTTCTGGTTGAGACCTCATGACCTTTGCCAAGTAGATACCATCTTCCCTTCCATGGCTCGCTCCACTATTTAAGATGTTCACGATCCCCCTCATTCCTGTCCATTCATTCTCAACTATCCTTCTCTATCTTTTACATTAGGCTCACTTGTCTCTAACTCTGATCGTGTCTTTTCTCAACCTTCACTCTCTCAGTCTTCTATCCTTTGATATCTCTCAACTCCATCTCCTTAACCTTCCTCATTATCCAAAATGTCCGTCTCCATTGAGACCACCGAGATCCCTACTCCCGCTGCCCTCCCCATCCAGACCCCGAGCCTTGGCTCCAAGTCAAGGATGCCCGAGTTCAGCTTGGCTGGAAAGGTCGTCTTGGTCTCGGGTGCCGGCCGTGGCCTGGGTCTCGTCCAAGCTGAAGCTTTGCTGGAAGCCGGCGCCGTTGTGTACGCACTAGACCGTCTGGAGGATCCTGTAAGCATTCAACTTTCACTGCCCTATTTACGAACATGTATCATCTAATACAACACATACAGTCTCCCGAGTTTTCCAAAGTGCAAGAGCGCGCGGTCGAGGAGTTGAATACCCGGTTCTACTACCGCCGCATTGACGTCCGCGACGCAGAGCTGCTCAATAGCACCGTCGAAGCCATCGCCGACGCTGAGGGCCGCATGGATGGCCTAGTCGCCGCCGCTGGCATTCAGCAGGAGACCTCCGCGCTCGAATACACTGCCAAGGACTCCAACACCATGTTCGAGGTCAACGTGACCGGGGTGCTCATGACCGCGCAAGCAGTCGCCAAGCAGATGATCCGTTTTGGCAACGGCGGGAGCATGGCCCTGATTGCTAGCATGAGCGGCACTGTTGCCAACAAGGGACTCATCTGCCCCGCATACAACGCCAGCAAAGCCGCCGTCCTCCAACTGAGCCGCAACCTCGCCATGGAGTGGGGCCAGTACAACATCCGCGTCAACACCATCTCCCCGGGCTACATCGTGACTGCCATGGTCGAGAACCTATTCGTCAAGTTCCCCGAGCGCCGCGACGAGTGGCCCAAGCAGAACATGCTTGGTCGACTGTCCGCCCCCGAGGAGTACCGCGGCGCAGCGGTCTTCCTCATCAGTGACGCCAGCTCCTTCATGACTGGCAGTGATCTCCGCATGGACGGAGGTCACGCAGCCTGGTAGAGACTTTCTCTTCCATCGTGACTTTCTTCTCTTTTCTCTATCATGATTTGCTCCCTTCTTGAAGTATCGGCTTTCAACGGCTATCACCACCGTTTATTTCTTCTCAGCGATGAGTTGTCTATTGCATGGCGTTTTGTGGCGGACGAGCGAGCGAGCGTTTACGGATTAACGGATGACCCTAGCCAATCATGTATACACATCATTGGCACAGCGTTACCAACCCCATTGTCTTTTATTTTACCTGATTTATCCACATTTCTTCAGCGTCACGGGAGTCACAGGCTGGGTTACGTTATTGGCGGGACACTACTAACTAGACTTGGCACATACGATTCTGTGATTCTTTACATTAGTTACTACATAGGTACTTATTTTTCTAATGCATGCATATAGTTCTTCTTCTCAACTTCCACTGCCTTGCCTACTGGTTTCTAGCGCGTGTGTCCGGGTTGGGTGGGATGATCGGTATTCTTTGATTCGGGCTTCACGTTTGACTAAGTCTGTAACCCAACGCACCAATCTGACTGTCTATCTGGCAGGCGCATGACCACTAAACCCACCGGGTGAAGTTCCCACTTACACAGCAGACTCGAATTTACCTTCTTAACCTGAGTTATAACAGATGTGGCCTGGGCAATTCTCAGCTTGTCCCACTGGACAGACAGACTTCAGCCACTATACACCTCGACTAATAGTGACCTAGTAGACTATACGCCCCGCGGGAAGTAAGGAATACCGACGATCATCGGGCACAAACATCCGACCTACACCACAAACACAAACAAATCAAGTAACAAAAAGATTCAAGTCAAACGCGTCACGATCAGTTGCAAAGAAAGCCACCAACCAAAGAAAAACACACAAGGAACGGCGCCAAGACGCCCAGCCCAACCCAATCCGGGGAATGGAACAATGCCCCACCCCCGCAACCCAGACTCGGACCTGGTCCGGATTTAGAGCCTACTCTTGTTCTGGGAGTTAGGTTGTGTTTGGGTTATTGCTATGGTCATGGGATACACGTATTTGAGAGGGATGGTTGGTTTGTTCGCTGGAGGGGCCGGTTAGGGTTAGCGAAGGGAGGAGGGCTTTGGTTGGTCGTGTATTTGGGTCATACTTGCTTTGACTAATTACTAGGTTTCTGTAATATTAGAGTAGTACCCGGATAGGCAGGCTATACTAGGTTGTGCAGTGCCGTGTTCCGGTCTGTCGTACGTCGACGAATGCTCTATGCCTTTTTGGGCGGGTAGGGAGGACAATACTGTATGTCGTGAGGAAAAAGCGGTATTGTGATAGGAGTAAAGAAGTAGAGATTGTAGGATGGTTACCCATCTTCGTGTTCTCAGCCAACCGGACACGCTCTGTTTGTTCCAGTAGTGCTGAGCTATGGGCACTTCTATTAAGCCGGTCTTGCCCAGTGACAGATACTCATTATACAGTGGAACCATGCAGGAGAGAGCGTGGATTTCCATCATTTCGGAAGGTACAGCAGAATATTCGTCCAGGCTATTCAAACTCGTCTCACGCGCAGCAAGTCTATCTGACAGTCTCTATACCTAAAGCCAACATACTACTATTTAATTGGACAGTCCGCAGACGCGATGCTCACGCGAGCAATACACTGCCTGTGCGTCAGTCCAGTCCCATCGCACAACAAAGAGTCATCTTAAACGCGTCCAACGTATGAGCGCCTACTAGAAGAAGCCTCTCAACGGGTAGGGCTCGCCGCAGGCTTGGCTCGGTTTGAGTCGGGCTCAGACTCGGGATCAATGTGTTTGGACCGACTAAACTATATTCTGTAGGATCGTCACATGGTTCGTGTTGAGTCCCTACTTCGTACTGGTCCTGCCTTTGCTTCAAAGACTGGTGTGTATATCCGATTCTGTTATGAGGTAGACGTGTGAATATCACGCTGATAGAGTATAGAATGTCACTTGACTTCAGCTTCGACGTGTCGCGTCATGAGATTTATAGATTGGCCATATAGGATGTGCCACGCCGATTCATCTGTATAGTTCTGTATTTAGCGTTGGCGAGTTCGTCCAGTTGATGTTGTTCTCGAGACGACACCCGGGAGAGACCGGTCTACTGCTTTGGGTGTTCCGGAAGAGGCGCATTGTGAGTGCCGTATGAGGCTCTGTCGCGAGTGGTGGGTCTGCTCGTAGGTTGGCGATTGTGCCAGCCGTACTGACTGTAGGGCCTTGGGAAGACAAATGGTGAGTAAGAGGTGCGTGGAGAGAAGAGGCTTGGTGCAGGTTAGATCAACCGGCATATATAGCGAGAAGTATGAAGACTTGACATCACATGACAAGCCGCACACAAGGTTTAGTCCTCAAGGATATAGATCGATTGTGAATAGCACGCAACCTGCTAGATACACCAGCTGCCGTAACAGCATGAATTTTCCCTCTCCACATGGAAAACAGAGAAACAGATATAGACCAACCCACCAACTCCAGAGCCCCGAATATAACACCTTAGAAATCAAAGAAAATACTCCAGATTTACCACGCTCACTCCGGCGCAGCATGGTACTTCTCCGTCGCAGACCGGAACAGCTCTTGTTGCTGGCGCAGCAGCTCCTCCTCCGACAGGCCACTCTGCTCCATTTTGCTCTGCTTCTTTTCGCGCGACTATATCCCAGCGTTAGCCACAATTCCAACCCGATGTGTGTTGTGTCGCTGTACGCACCTTCAGCTGCTCCTTGTGCTCTTCCGCCACGGCTAGAACATCCTGGACGTAGTCCCCGAAGCCGAGATCGCGCAAGGCGCGCTCAACATGTTCGCACGCGATGGTCTTCTTGGCTTCCTTCTCGCTGATATCGTTGGCTTCGGAGGAGATGAGGGTGATGAACTCGACGCAGCATTCCATCAGTAGGTCGCGCGCGTCTTTGGAGAACGTTTGCCCTGACGAGGGCGGGAGGATCTCTGTGATGATCTTTTGGACCGTCGCTGTATATTTATTTCGAGATTAGTTTCATCTTGGGCACGGTGGGACCAGACACGTAGGAGAGGTATGCGCACCCTTTGGAAGCGACAGGTCGTCGTTGGCTGTCATTGTTCGCGGTTAGCTTGGTGTCCCGCATTGCGACCATACTCCGCATCAAGACTCACAGTTGAATTCGCGATCCGACATGATGGCGTTGGCTGTGTTGGTGGTTACGCGACGGCAGTTTACAAAGCGAGAACGAGCGCGGATTAAAGTGGGGGACAGCGACAGCGTCCTTGGAGAAAAGTGCGATCGTCACCAAGAGATAAATGGGTCATCGGGGTCATTTCCGTCAATGCTGCCTGAGGTGCCTTCATTTCGCTCGGAACGGATCAACTAGGGCAGAAACTCACCGCCTCCGCGGGTACTTTATCTCGCCGCTCGATTTTTTCTCGTCAACACTTTTTTCTTCTTCTGTATCGAGTTTTCCTCCCACAATGGAACGGTCAAAATGTCTGGCAGCACCATTCGTGGTGCTTGTCGACCATCAGAAGCCTCTGGGTGATACTAATTGAATGGTATGTGACTTTTCCCTGCTTCCCTGCATTCCTTTACCATGATGAACATCGTTGTCGCCCCTATCAGACCATTCTATGGTGACGTACACTGTCCAAGCCAAACGGACTACTGAACTTTTTTCCACACACTATTTGTTTCTTCAAACTGTTGCTGGTTCTTCGCTGACCTAAACAAGAACAGGATGTAGATTTCTCAGCCAATTGGGTGACGGTGCGGTGCAACGCAGTGGAAACAACCCAAAGGTAGGCGCAATTCGATTTTTCTTTTACACACATATTATGATGATCAAAATTACATTCCATGCTAAACATGAAGGTGCTCTGCACCTAATGCTTCTAAATGTATTTGCTTTTCATCTTTCGGCTGATTAATATTCCCTTCACCGTCTATGCAATCTATCTACATTGTCCACCGCAGTAGCTAATTGTCTTCTGCAGGAATCCGTAGTCTACGCCTGGAAGGCATCCAATGCCTGGTCGTTCCATCTGCGTCCGTTAGCGAGAGTTTAGCGATACCAAAATATTAGCATAGAGATAGACGCACGAAAGAAATTTGCCGGTCAATTCACGTGGCGCGTCCAGAACCAACTTGGCCATAACATGTCCCGGCTGCTCGGGCTTCAGTAGCTTCCCGTCCTTGTGGACTGTAGCAAATTTGGCGTGCACCTGCGGCTCAAGCGAGGTCTTGTGGTCCTCACGGAGCTCGCGCTGCATGTTAGTGTCGACCATGCCCGGTCGAATCGAAACGGACGTGACATCGGGCTCTTCCTCGCCCAGGCTCAGCGCGAGGTGGTTCATAGCGGCCTTGGTCGACCCGTAGAGACCCCAGCCACGGTACGCCGACACCGACGCGCCAGACGAGGTGAAGATGATCTTACCCTTGGACTCCCGCAGCGCAGGAAGACCGGCTTTGACCTGTTGTGCTGGTCAGTCCAACAAGCTCCTAGTCCACGGCGCACAACAAGACGAAAACGTACAAAAGCAACCAAGCTAACAAAGTTCACATCAAACCCCTGCTTCCACTGCTCGGGGTCGGCATCGGCGATCTTGCCGACCTGGCCTAGGATCCCGTGGTTAAGCACCATGCCGTCTAGCCGGCCGAAGGATTTGAGAGCCAGATCGACGGCCTGCTGGGCCAGCGAGAAGTCCGCCAAATCGCCATTCAGGATCTCGACCTGCTTGGAGTATTCGTCTTTGAGCTTCTGCAGGGGCTCGCGACTGCGGGCGACGACCACGACATTGTGCGATTGCGGCGCTGACAGGAGGTACTTGGTTATGGCGAGACCGATGCCTTGGGTTGGTTAGTACTGCTGCGATGGTGGGGTTTGGGTTGTGGCTGAGGGATGGATACCTCGCGAGGCACCGGTTACGATGATTGTCTTGGACATCTTGTGTATCTGGTCTGGATTTGATGTAGGAATGAGGAATGACCGGAAGTATCAACCGGGAGACTCAATTGAGGTAGGGTAAGTCAAGTGGGATGAAGATGGCGGTGATGTAATTTTCTGCCGCCTCGTCTGCGGGGTTGTCGGCCAAACCAAATGCAGCTCCGGCGCAGAACTGCATGCCGGGTTTCTTGGGGTTTCTTACAAAATATACATCTTCATTGATTGATTGATTGTCTGATTCATATCGTCTATCATGATTTCCATTGAGACGTAGGAATACTCCAATTCGTGATATTCACCCGACATGGTGTTTATACACCAGTCAGCCAGCCCCTACCGGTTACTTCTACCCGTGACGCACCCCACGCCCTGCAGGTGATCAACACTACCTGTCCACTTCTATGATGCTATTCGCACAGGCTGAACACCGGCCCGGTACCCTGAGCAGTGTCGGCGACCAGACCCAATAGTGACGGTGGAAAGCACCGCTGTTATCGCGCGGGGCCCACCATAGGGTCTGGGCGGGTCCTACCCGAGTCAATCATAATTATGCCTGCCCTCCAGCCCTTGGCAGAGCTATCGGCGGGGGGCTTATAAGGGAACGCAGAGGCCGGGGCAAAAAGTGAAGCATCGCCCGAGTCAATCACCCCACGTTGAATTTCTGCTCCGCCCCCCCGCACAACGACACCTTTCCCACGGGGAAAACCCAGCACACAAAATGCCTACCGTCATCTTGGGAGGCGGCATCATGGGCGCCTCCACCGCCTTCTATCTGAGCCAAACGCAGCCCGCCGAGGAGATTCACATTGTCGAGTCCGCTGCGCAGCTGTTCAGCGCTGCGTCCGGCTACGGAGCCGGTTTCCTGGCTAGGGACTGGTTTGCCCCCGCTTTGGCGCCCCTCGGGGCGTTGTCGTTCGACCTTCATGAGTCGCTGGCTGCGGAGTATGGTGGCGCGAGGCAATGGGGGTACATGAAGGGGACTGCGATGAGCTTGGCTTCTAGTGACGCGAGCAAGAAAGGTGGCGCTCGGGGTGACGACTGGCTGCGCGCTGGGACGAGTCGGGCTGAGACGTCGGCTGGGTCGACCGGACCGGTGCGCATTGAGCAGCCGGGGTGGTTGACGAAGCAGAAGGGGATGGTGGCGGAGAAGATCAGCGATGAGGGGACTGTTGCTCAGGTGTTCGTCTCAACAATAGGATTTGGCTCTGTTGTCTCTATAATGGCTAATTGGGTTGCAGTGATCCTTTGCGACTGTGCCGGTTTCTGCTGGCTGCGGCGACGGCTCGCGGAGTGAAGCTCCACCAGCCGGCAAAGGCTACGTCTGTGGTTACGGAGAATGGTACCATCAGTGGTGTTAAGATCGCTGGCCTTGAATCACAGACCGAGTATACCATCCCGTGCACCAACCTGGTTGTTTGCGCTGGGTCGTGGACACCGCGTGTTTTCGAAGAATTGTTCCCCTCCTCTCGCGTCTCTATCTCGATCAACCCTCTCGCAGGATACTCCCTTGTTATTCGCTCCCCACGTTACAATCTGGAACACGAGCGAAAGCTACACGGCGGCCGCAGCCACGCCGTGTTCACTACCCACCCCGAGACCTGCGGCTTCAGCCCGGAGATGTTTTCGCGAGAGGGCGGAGAGATCTACATCGCCGGACTGAACAGCACTCAGATTCCGCTGCCCGAGCGTGCAGAGGGCACGGCGGAATACTTTGACCCGAAGGAGATGGAGCGGCTGAAGAAGGTCGCAGTCCGTCTGATGGGCAAGTTGGCGCAGGGTAGTGATGCTGCCGATGACCAGACGCCGACCATCAACGACCTGGAGGTTATCCGCGAGGGCTTGTGTTTCCGCCCGGCTGCCGCGCGAGGTGTCCCTGTTGTTGCCCGCGTCGAGGACCGCCTGCTGGGCGGAGTGAAGACTGGGCCGCAGGGCGGCGTCTTCATCGCCACGGGTCATGGCCCGTGGGGTATCTCGTTGTCTTTGGGAACCGGTAAAGTGGTGGCTGATATGGTGGCGGGAGGTCAGCCGACGGCTGACCTGCGGGGGCTGAATGTGGAGAGTGAGCTTTCGCGACTATAAGAGCAGAATGCATGGGCTTAACAATGGGTTCGAAATCTTTAACGGTCTGAAAGGGTAACCAATAGATGAGTGATGAACTATACAGAATATAAGGACATAATAAATCAGTATACTGTAAAGACGTGATCCGTCGATCTTAATGGTATCCAGCTTCGATGTATGAAATATGAATAGCATCAAAGATATGGATTGCGTTAATTATCGGCTTAGTAATGGTAAATTTATGCACTATTTGCCACCTCAGGCACCGACGGCATCTCATTAGTCATCCATCCGCCACGGCAAGCTCTCCAGAATCTTCGGATAGACGAAGAAAGCTGGAAGCTCGACGCGACAACCTGTCTAACTCTCATTACTTCTCTATCCGTTTCCCAGGTTAACCTGCTGGACCATCCTATTCCCCCTAATATTCCAGTCTACTTGCGATAAACGAACCCCCAGCAACACCATGGCCAATTATCTCGCGTCCATCTTCGGCACGGAGCAGGACAAGGTCAACTGCTCGTTCTACTACAAGATCGGAGCCTGTCGCCACGGCGATCGATGCTCGCGCAAACATGTCAAGCCCTCATACTCGCAGACGATCCTCATGCCCAACATGTACCAGAACCCGGCGTACGACCCCAAGACCAAGATGAACCCGAGCCAGCTGCAGAACCACTTCGACGCCTTCTACGAGGACGTCTGGTGCGAGATGTGCAAGTATGGCGAGCTGGAGGAATTGGTGGTGTGCGATAACAATAATGACCGTATGTTTACTCTCTTTACCCATCTCGTCCATCCCATCAGTCATAATCTCCACCTGTCAAGACAGAGTTGCTAACATGAACTTCGCACCAGATCTAATCGGCAACGTCTACGCCCGCTTCAAATACGAAGAAGACGCGCAAGCCGCCTGCGACGCGCTCAATTCCAGATGGTACGCCGCGCGTCCCATATACTGCGAGCTATCACCGGTGACGGACTTCCGGGAGGCGTGTTGTCGGTTAAATTCCGGCGAGGGATGCGTGCGCGGCGGGTTCTGCAATTTCATCCACAGGAAGGATCCGAGCCCGGAACTGGACCGGGAGATGCGGTTGAGCACGAAGAAGTGGCTGAAGGACCGTGGGCGTGATGCGCGCAGTGTGAGCCGGAGTCCGAGCCCGGAGCCTACTCGGCGGAGATGATTGGTTGGTTTGGTTTGATTTGTTGCGACAAATGGCGTTGGTGATTTCATATCCTTGCTTTCTTTGAGGGTTGTAATTGTTATTGTACTCCGTGTGATATCAGAGGTTGTTAATGATATACCGTGAAGTGGACCATATTGGAAGGGAAATTGCTAGTAAGGTACGCGGAGCTTACTGCGGTGGAAGAGCAGTTGATATACTGTTACAGGGACCATTGCCCAACCAGAGAATCGTCCTAGGTACTTTCGACGATCTACCAGGAAGTTCTTACTACGTCTTCTACCATGGATGTTATACCCAGTGGTCTCCCCTTATCCTCGCCGATGATTCTCCATCGCATACTAAATCTGTGACCAATCCAGCGTAAACATGGTTGATCATCGAAGAACATCAACCATAGTGATAACCACCATAAAATACAGGAGTCTTTTAGAACAATCCACACGAGTGATCAGCTACTGAAATGGTCCTCTGGTACATGGGGATCAACTGGGTTGGTTTTTATGGCGTAAGGGAGTGAACGAGGCATGATCGCAATCATATAGTATAGTAAATTGGAAACCAAATCAGCAAAGCGTCACATCCAAGATATGGCACAAAGAATCTCGCAATCATGAAAGAAACATGTAGATGTAGACAGGCGTGATATTACTGTTCTAGGAAATATCATGCCTGAGGCATAACAACCCACGCGTATCGCGTTTCCCCACCTTTCATTATCAAGAGTTCTTTGTCTTCACTTCACATCTACTTCTCCCCTTCTTTCCTCTTCTCCTTTTCCACCGATTTCGTCAATAGCCCAAGATGAGCGACTACAACCACAGCCATCGCGCATTTCTACAAGCCTTCATGGCGCGCTCCACAATGACCTACGAGGAGGCATGCCCCATCCTAGCGGCCATTCTCAGCATCTACGGTATGCCGCCCGCGCAAACCGTCCTACTCCGCAAGGCTAACGCAGAAAATACCAGAACGGAATCCCATCTCCCCAGAAGACGTATCCGAAGACGATTTCTACTCATACATCGCCACCGCCAACTCCGCCATCTCCCCCTTTGACCTTGAAATCTGCAGCACCACGCGCCAGGTGACTCTCGAGCCAGGCGCCGAAGCCGTCAGGCCGGAGCCGATCTTCGTGCTCGTGAACACTAGCAGTGATCCGTTGACGCAGCTGGCGACGGCGTTTAGCGCGGACGAGATCGCGTTTGTGAAGCGCGTGCTGGATTACATGTTCGACACGAATAATACCCGGAGGTGCGAGGCGATGGTCGTCAGCGGGATACAGGCGATGCAGCTGGCGAAGGCGTCGAGCGGGGATGCGAATCGCCGGGAGACGCAGGGCGGCGCAACGCAGCAGACGCAGGGCGGCGCGGCGCAGTCGCTGAGTATGACGCAGGCGGAGACGGTCATGAAGCAATTGGTGGAGGATGGGTGGATGGAGAAGAGTCGCAAGGGCTTCTACAGCCTTGGGGTGCGCGGGTTGATGGAGTTGCGGGGCTGGCTTATTGCGACGTATAATGAGGAGGACGAGGATGGGCGAAAGATCACACGGATTAAGAAGTGTTCGGCGTGTCAGGATATTATTACTGTGGTATGGTTATTTAATTGTGTGGTGCGCGCATTATGCTGACTTGCTTCTAGGGGAGACGCTGTGGCGACCGAGACTGTGGTGGACGACTGCACGATACGTGTGTGCGGAACTTCTTTCGCGTACAGAAGGCGGAGAAGTGTCCCGTTTGCAAGGGTGACTGGCCTGATGATAAGTTCGTCGGCGAGAGGGCTATCACTTCCACCAATGGACATAGGACGGAAAAAAGACGGAGTACGCAAGTCCAACGGCCGTCTGCCGTGGGACCGAGTTCGCAGGTCCCAAGCGACGCGATGGATGGTCCGGCGGACAGTCCGGCAGACGAAGCTGACAGCGATTGAGTAAGAATTCCCACTCGTTATTTCACCAATACGCATGGTCTACCGACATCATGCTGGGACGAAGCCTGGGCCAACACCATACTACGGCAGGACTGCCCACCCCCTGACATCGCGTCGAGATGTGCTCATCCAGCACGCCCGGCCGTCGGATGACATATCAAACTTTCGACAGCTGAGATGATCTACGATATGGTTCTATGATAGCACCATGAGAAGTCTTTCATACACAGAGGGTATAGACTAGCTGCAGGATATACAGCTTCCTACTCAATCAAACTATTGGACAAGACGGAAGCTATGGTTGTAGCGATTGTAAACGCTAGCATTCCACCGGCACTGGACATCATTGTGACTTTCGTTCTGCCCACCTTACATGACCTCAATGGAATCTCTTGTGGGCTTTACTTGCCTTACCTACTTCCGCAGAAAAATTGCATAGGTCAGTAGTCGCGTGTACTTGTGGCTTATATCACACGGCGAGGGTTTTTTTCAGCGATTGGCAATGACATCGTGATACTAAACGCTGTGCACACACATCTTTAAAACAAATTGGTATTCATTGCGGAAGACCGGGTATAGAAATGATATACAGGAGAGGAGAAGTACCGTCGAAACAAACAGCCCTAAATGATAACACCAACATCCCCGAAGTACCTCTCGAACCGCTCAGGAAGCCCGCTGTCCTCTGCAACAGCGACATACGTATCCGGACGAATGAGATATGCAGCGTCGTGCGCCAGACCAGCTTTCGCATACGCCTCATTCCACGCAAACACATGCAGAGGGATCTTCTTCTTCTCGCACCATTGCCTCAGATCCTCTGTTACCTCCCCATACACTTGGACCTGCCACACAATCTCCTTCAACTTACCATGGTTATCTTCCCCATCAATCACAACCCAGGGTAAACGGTCACCCCCATGTACACTCCCAGCAAGTCCAACCGCAAGGCCACTTTCGCGATAGTTGACCAGGACCTGCGACATGCGGCTGAACGCCTTCATCCTGAAAAACGCGAACTGGCTCACAATAGGAGCGACATAGGGCACGATCCAACTGCGCAGAAACCACCCGGTCCAGCCCTCGTCGACCAAGACATCGAACGCCGTGTCGGTAGTCTGCACAAGCGTCTGCGCAAACGTGCGCCGCTCCGCCGAGTAGCTGTCCAGCAGTCTCTCCTGCGCATCATGTCCATCCACAGTCCCCCGCATCACGGCAGCGATCTTCCACGCTAGATTGATCGCATCTCCAATACCGGTATTCATCCCCTGTCCGCCAACAGGGGAATGCACATGCGCGGCATCACCGACCAGGAACGCCCGCCCGTGCCGAAAGGACCCTGCTACGCGGTGATGCACATAGTACGTGCTGAACCAGTGCGTCTTGTCGATAGTTACTCCCATTCTAGTGAGCATCTCCGTCGGGACCACGTCTTCGTAGGCCACATCGGGCTTCCCGTCGCGTGACGAGTTCTTTAAAGAGGAATGCTTGACCGCGCCATTTAGCCGCGCGCGGTTCGCAACATGCGAGAACATGAGCATGAAGTCTGTGCCGTCGAAGTGGACATGCGCCTGGCCATTGAATACCGGCCCGCTGCCCTCGATGTCAGCGACGTAGAAGAGGCGTTCGCAGGCTGCGCCTTCGAAGGGGATGTTGCAGGCGTGGCGGACGGCCGAGTGTCCGCCGTCGCAGCCGACGATGAACGCAGCTTTGTACTCTTCTTCAGAGCCTGTGTCTGATGAGCTAGTGTCTCGAAGTCGAGCGACGACGTGTGAGTCCTTCTCGACAAACCCCACTAGCTCTTTGTGTCGCTCGACGTGCACGCCGCGCGCCGCGAGCGTCTCTTCCAGCAACCGCTCGTGCAAGTCCTGGGGAAACATATGGAGAAACGGATACGGCGTCAAGCCGGTCCCCGCGTCACCAAGCCGGACGGTTCCACGGCGAGCCCCGCTGATCCAGATATTGGACGTTTCGATCTTGTGGCCGGCTGCGACGGTGGCTTCGGCTATGCCGAGTTGTCTGTAAAACTCGAGGGTACGCGCGTGAATTACGAGCGCGCGCGACGTCGAGGGTTTGGATTCTGCGCGATCGACGATACGCACAGGAATGTTTTGCTGGGTTAGGCTGAGGGCAAGAACGAGGCCCGAGGGGCCGGCTCCGATTATAAGCACTTTGTTCATGGCGATGTTATTCGGTTTTTTATTTTCTATGTTCATGGCGATGTTATTCGGTTTTTTATTTTCTACGTCAGCCCGTCTGACAGGAGATGCTAGCCCGCTTTTATAGTATTTCCGTCGGTTAGGCGTCCTTGACTCATGCGGCCAAGAAGCTATGCCCGATTGTTACTTTCGGACGTAATTCAGTCCGAGGCCGAGAGTGGGGAAGGATATTTAAAGGATACATGGCACATGTAAGCAGGATGGATGGTCATTTTGATGCCGATGAGGCTAACTAAGACATTAGGGCTAATAATACAACATTGACATAAACATCATGGCAAACACGAATAAAACAGTGTACACAGGTAAAACCACTAGCTCTTCATACCCAGGGCGTCTGTGAGGCCCCCAAGACCCAAGCTGCCCAGCAATCGATCAATTCCCAGTCCTCCAAGTAGGCCATGGACCAGCGGCCCTAATCCAAGGCCTTCGAGCAGTCTGCCGACCAGACCCAACACGCCCGTCAGGAGAAGTCCAACGGCGGCGATGATCTGGAACAGCGGCTCGCTGAGCAATCCCCACAGCGGGTTCAACTCCTTCTTCGCATGCGGCATGTCAGCGATGCGCTTCTTGCCGTTGTCGATCGTCTGCACAACCGTGTCGGTCAGCTCCTTGAGTTGGTCTGCGAGCGCATACTCGGCCGGCGTGGCTTCATGAGAGGCGGCGCGTGCCTTGGCCGTCGCAGCGATGCGACCGTCGGGGTCGAGAGCCCGGACCGCGCCATTGCATTCTTGTAGGATGTTGCCGCCCTCTTCGAGGAGAGGCTTGACCTGCTGGACGAGGGCTTCTTCGTCGAGCTCCTCGCGGGGAGTGCGGTCTGCTTTGTCGACGTGCTGGTCATCTAGTTAGTATCGAAATGTATTTTGTCAGGGGAAAGGCAATGTTCATACCTCAGAGATCATCTTGCAAATCGGACGCATGCGATCCAATGCCTGCGACACAATGGTGCTCATCTTCTGCGCCAGCTGACGGTCCTCCTCGGCCTTGCGCTGCTCCTCCTTCTCCGCCTCTGTTGGGCCCTCGGGCTCGGGCTCGGGCTCGGGCTCGGGGATGTTCTCCAGCAGCGTACACTCTCCCAATCGGTTGCCGTCGTTGTCGACCACGTACCCGTTGTCGTCGATCTCGCGTCCGACCAGCGTAGCCAGGTTCCCCGCGGTGAGCTTCCCGATCAGATTCCCATCGGTATCGCGCACTTCGCCTTCACGGGTGACCTTGCGGCCGGCCATGGGACTGACATTGCGCGGCTTAGACTCCGGCTGCCAGCGCTCCGCACGACCAATTCCATTGCCGTTCTTGTCGAGAATGTCGCCATCCTCGTCAACGGGGCGTCCAAGCAGTCGCGCCGCATCGCCTTCGACAACGCGCCCGATCACCTGTCCGGTGGAATCAGCGACGACCCCCTCGGCGCCAACAGTTGCGCCTTCGAATCCAAAGAACGGACCCTCAGGCCTCTCCTGTTCAGCACCGGGGATCAGCTCCGCGCGTCCAATGACATTGCCGCTGTCGCCCCAAACTTGGCCCTGTCCATCGACGCGTCGACCAGCTAGCCGACGACCATCGCCCGAGACGATCCGGCCGACAACAGTACCGTGCTCATCAACGACATTTCCGGCCTTGTTGACCGTCTTCCCCTCAAGGATAGACAGATCCTGCTCCTCAGGCTGCGGCTCCTCCTCTTCCTCCTCCTGATACGGCTCGGCCCTCCCCTTGGAAGTTCCGAACCGATCAACGATATCACCATCATCATCGACAGCGCGACCGCGCAACGCAGACGCATCACCCTCCACGATGCGCCCGACAACCATACCCCGCACATCCTGGACTAGCCCGTTATCACCAACGACCAGGCCTTCCAGACCAGCGAACGGACCCTCGTGCTTCGTCTCGCGCTGGTCCTCAGGGATGGCTTCCACGCGACCTAGCACGCGTTTGCCGTCATAGATGCACCCGTCTTCGCCGTCGATGGCCCGTCCCGCAAGCTCACGGGGGTTGCCCTCGACGACGCGACCGACAGGGAACCCATCCGGGCCGATGACCACCCCTGTCTTGTTCGGTGTCAGACCATTGAGGATAGAGAGGTCAACCTGCTGCGGCTCAGCAGGGGTTTCGTCATTCTGTTCAGCCTCCTCCCCGGTGGGATCCGCAGAGGTATCGTCATTCTGTTCAGCCTCCTCTCCGGTGGGATCCGCAGAGGTATTGTCGTTCTGTTCTCCCTCCTCCCCGATGGGATCCGCATTGCTAGCAACAGGCGTCGCCTGCGAGGCAGACGGCGGCGGCGACGTAGGCTTATCGAGGGTATCTCTCTTGTCGTCTACTGCGACGCTCTCACCGGGCGCAAGGGACTCCCTGCGCGCGTCGACGTCCTCGTCCGACAACTTCAGGTTGTCCAGGTCCTTCAGACCCGCCTCGTAGTCCTTGTTCTTATTGCTGCTGGCGCTGCCGGCGTTGCTTCCTGTCACGGCTTGCTTGACGCTGCCGAAACCCTTGGCGAGACCGCTGCCGAGGCCCCAGCGCGAGCCCGAGGCTTGCGACTGGCTGTCGTCTGGGGTGGGAGAGGGCAAGTCGCGCTGGTTGGGACTGTCGGTTTCAGACTGGTTGGTATCAGGCTGGTCGGTGCGGTTTTTGCATTCGGTGGGGAGGGCGCCGGGAATGTGGTAGTTTGCGGTGGAGGATTCGGGGGGGTTGATATGTTGGCTTTGGTTGGACATTTTCGATATTGTTCAAGGTTCAAATGTAGTCGAGTATTGAAGTACAGTGTTGAGTGTATGAATGGATATGGGTATAATATGTCTTGAAGAAGGGTATAATATGAAGTAGATAGTAAAGCGATATCAAACAAAGCAGACCTGAACAGCATATATATAGATCAACTTCATCAAACGATGTCATACCCCATAGACGTCATCGCTATCCAGGATCCTCTCCATCTACTGACAAGAATTATACCTAATATCCATATACAAATCAACCAACCAGACAAGAAATTCATGTCGATCGGCTAGCCACCCGATAGATTAAGTGGCCATTCTGGAAGCAAGTGGCGGACCCACCTTCGTTTCGGGGGGACGCTATTACATCACTGGGTCCTGTTTACTATGTGGTATGCTGTCCGTGCACTATCAGAGAATTAACCCAAGGATAGTATTAAATTGAAAGGATGGGTCTGTGTAGCCTGTGTAGGTCATTGTGTACCTCGACGACCTCATAGAGAGTCTTATTCTGGTTGATAGCCCCGCAACGTGGACAGGGATAGACGCGCTCAACCAATCGGTGAATAAATCGACCCTTCACTGAATTAGATACTATATTATTCTTCCACCTGAATGTAAATTAAAGTAAAAATCGAACAAGAAAGTGGCCCTGAAAAAACCAAAGAGGCAAGACAAAATGACGTAGAGGCAACGCGCAAGCACCAGCAAATAGGATTAGGGCTTGGGCATATGAACCCTGGTTCTGACTCTCTCCTGACCCAGCAATGGCATTGTAACTATGGTTGACAGTTGAGTAAGCCAGTCCACTTGTTCAATCAGGATTGTCGATTCGAAGACTTTATATTAATGATCTCATCTGACAGTTGAGCCTGTGGTTGACATGGATGTGATATTGTAGGCTGTGGATGGAATGATGGTGGATCTGACGTAATGAGTCTATGTATGGTTCTTGGTTTATACTTTCTATATTCTATCATAATCTATAGGGAGATGAGATATTGTGCCTGGTTGACTGCATTTTGTAGGCAGGTCATAATTTCAATTTGTACTCTGCACATGGAACCTTCTTTGCTGGATATCAACATCATGGAACCCACATGGGACTATGTGAGAGGAACAGTCATAGCCATGTGGTTCTTTCTCTCAACGGGATACCATCCGCCAATGAACTTCATAATTGAATTTTATTCTGGTCAATTATCTGGAGCTGATACTGAAATAGAGCCAGTCGGATGCGTTGCCATCTGAGCAGTGAATCAATAAATTATTCTGTAAATAGCATGGTCTGTCTAGGCGAATAGTATATTACTTTGAGAGAATCGAAATTCTATCCCATGGTTCAGCGGACTGTTCCTGGATGGATTTTGCTTTAGGGTGTAGGTGTTTTCTTGCTCTGTATATCTTCAGCTCACAGAGTAGTTTGTGGATATTATGCTGTATCAGCACCTTTCTAAACCACACGCATATGCATTAGAGCGCCTTTGTAAGCTAGGTAAGTAATGCCAGCCCATTCTTTTGAGCCCGGATTTGGATCAGAAGGGTTTTCACGCTCTCCCCTCGTCGGTCTTGAGATAGCTGGATTCCGTGTCGTTTTATACGGAGCTCGGATATCGCCGCAGGAAGGCACAATAAGACAGTGTAGCTGACCATGTTGTTCGCAATTCTAAACCAGTTTTTTATTGGCAGTCACCCAAAGAAAGCGGCCTTGAGAACATGTGACCCTTATAAGTAGAGTAGGGAAATAGTTCAATATCAGTCATGGAATCGGCGCAGCCGGAAGAACAGTGACCGGGATAAACTCCCATCCTTGACGCCCGGAGATTCCTAGATGGCGTAGACACGGCACCCGACTGTCGGCAAAGCGTGTTGCTTTCCGCTTCTGCACACAGGATACGCACATGGACCCCTCGTCATCGGCTACCGGGCTGGAGCATAGTTTCCGCAGTGGTGGTAATGAAGGATTAGACTCCCACAAAGTGCTTAGACTACCTGCAAGCTCACCTTCACGGTTACCTTGACGAACGCGGGATATGAGAGTTGCGATATGAGGGACATCTCTTCTCGGGATATCATCATATGCCACATTGTCACTGATAGGGTCTGGAAGTATCAGCCACTGCAATCCAACAAAGGCGGTAATTCTGGCCACTCATGGTCAATGATCGGGTTGAAGCATAGCTCCTGCGGCAGTAGTAATGGAGAGTCAGACTCCCACAGTGTACTGAGGCTGCCCGGAAGTTCCCCTCCACGGTTGTATTAGCCAAGGTGGGAAGGACATCAGACCGGTCACTTTTATCTCGGCCACCTCATCATATCACAACTGGTCCTTAGCTGTGCTTGGTAGTATGTTTACCCTTGTGCATTTTGATATAGGTGTTTTTGCAGACAGGCCACCGACAAGCTGTAAAAGATGATGTATATATCGAGATATAAGCCGTATCAAGCCGGGTTGAAATATGAAATCGGTATTTTCGTGCGATGGCTGTCAATATATATAGACATCTAATAAATAAGCTTCATTAATACTCTGACACGCTCATGGAAGGATAAAATATCTTACTCGGGTATATGTTTAGCTCATAATCCCCATACGTGCTATGATAGTAGGAGGACATTGGAAATGGTCAAAATGGAGATAGATTCCGATAATTCTTATATACTATACGAAGGTTGCGAATAGTTGCAAGGTTGTAAGAAGTCAAAGTACAATTTAAGCAGGAAAACCCTGCAAATCAGCTGACGTGTTGACCGATTGCATGTCTCACAGTGCCTTCACATAACAAGATCAAAGACTGTCAGGAATGGTCAAACATCCTACCATTCAGCGAAAATTATATATGGCGAACAATGTGTATCCTGACAGGTTCATAACCCCGCACCATGATCTGCACACATTATTCCTCCTTAGGATTGTCTGACATTCAACTACTTCTTTACGGTGCCAATTTGGTTTGTTGTGCTTCATTTCCCATTCACTGGCAGCTATAATCACTAACCACTATACTGGTAATAGCTGTTTGCTGGATATAAAGTGAAAGAAATGCCTGAATCACTCATTGGCATCTTCTGCACCTTTCCAGTGTCATTTGAGGTATGTCTACCGATTTACACCCTGACTCATATATTCTTTCTCATTTTGAGACAGACTATATCATCAATTATACAAAAGTCCTACAAAAAGAGCGCCCAATTACTTTCTCCACCATCTTTACTTGTTTTGTTTGATACAGACAAAGACACTCTCAATCACTACACCACTGATTCAGTGTCTCCCCTACCGATCGACTCAACCCCGTCACCGTTCATAGGATGGAGTACCTCAGATATCACTCGTTTTTTACGCTCCAACGCCACCGGAACGGTCATCAATGACAGCCTATTTCTGTTGGCGGACGAAACAACTGCCACGGATGGAGAGAGCCTTCTCCTGGTGCAAGCGGACTATAGCCGGCAGGAGCTATCGCTCGAGAGTGTGCGTCTATCAGCGGAGTGTGTCAATTCTGCGTCGGTGGCCGTATCAATTGGATCTGGTGATGTCCGAGAGTTGCAAAGTACAGTGCATTCAGATGGGGTATTCAGGTACGGGACTCCCCCAGTACAGGGCGGTACAGCGCCGAGGAAGCAGCTATAGAGGCTGTTCTCTTCTATGCTTTAACTTTGGACGTTTTTCTGTTCTCATCTTAATTGCTAGTTGAATTTGATTGAGAGTCTGCTTCTATGAGAGGCTCGGTGTATATTTTGATATATCGAGGTGTCCCTCGACTGATCTCCGACGGTAAAATCACCTGTTTACATTTGATCGATATCTTCATCATACCTGGTGTTGGGCAGTGTGAAGAATCGACCCCTGTAAATTCCCCGCTCGGTGCAACCCAGAAAAGGATTCTAGACCCGACAGGTCATTACATATTGGCCACCCTCCCGGTGACCCCGCAGGCTAAACAGAGTGCCGATATAGGTTCCTTACGCCGAGGAAACCGATTGGAGGTGAATTAGCCGGCCAACGATCCCCGTGGGGAGCCCAGGTATTTAGCCTGTGTGAGCACTTGATGAGAATAGATTCTCCATCACGAAGGACGAGCTATTCCAATCGAATGGCTCGCGAATATTGACCACCTGTAGACATGAACAGGCTGAAATAAATCGAGACCCGGCCATGGAATATTCATCCGGATACCATGCCAGTTCCACACGTGGAATCCCCAGATCATCTGCAGCTCAAGCTGAAGAATTATCCCAACTGGGCAACGATCAACCGATCAGCCTAAATCGCATCCTGAAGCAAGTTCGTCGATCACCAGGGTATAAATACAGTGTTCCCTATCGAGTTACGATCAGCATCTCCATCATCTTCAACAAAGCGCAGAACAATTCTCTACCATGGTTTCCTTAACCCCGATTATCCTCGCAGTCTCCGCTGCCGTCGGAGCTCTCGCAGCACCGGTGGAAGCCCCCGAGTCGTCCCTCAACGAGACATTCGCCGTGCAGTCCACCCCCAGCTCGACCGGCTGGAACAACGGCTACTACTACTCCTTCTGGACCGACGGCGGCGGCGACGTTACCTACACCAACGGCGCTGGAGGTCAGTACAGCGTCAATTGGAAGGACGTGGGCAATTTCGTCGGCGGCAAGGGCTGGAACCCAGGTAGCACCAGGTATCTGCCCTAGCCCTACTTACCCCCCAGACAAGCCACTAAGTGATATCAACAGAACGATCAACTACGGAGGCAGTTTCAACCCCAGCGGCAACGGCTACCTCGCTATCTATGGGTGGACGACCTCCCCCCTGATCGAGTACTACGTCGTCGAGTCATACGGCAACTACAACCCCGGCAGCGGCGGCACCTACCGCGGCACGGTGAACAGCGATGGCGGCACGTACGATATCTACACGTCAACCCGCTACAATGCGCCGTCAATTATTGGTACCGCGACCTTCGAGCAGTTCTGGTCGGTGCGTAAGTCCAAGCGCACGGGGGGCAGCGTCACCATGGGGAATCACTTCAACGCGTGGGCGGGTTTGGGGTTAAAGTTGGGGACTCATGATTATCAGATCGTGGCCACGGAGGGCTATCAGAGTAGTGGC